GGCATTTACTAGAAAACAGTCCTAGATAATCTTTTTCTCACTTAAATTTAATATCCTTCTAATTTTTATTTAATAATTTAATTAATATAAGTTTTTTAAATAATAAATTAGTTTTAATATAATAATAAAAAGAAAAAGTTAAAATATTTCTAATATATTATATTTTCTTTATTATATAAATAAAGTTATCTCTTTTTATAGCTATTAATAATTACTTATATCCTTTTCTAGATTTAAGATCTGGCACTGTTATCAGGAAGTAGACATTCTAGGGTGTTAGTCTGTTGAGCTCCAGGACCTGTTGCATATCATTGAAAAAGTATATGACTTCTCGCTCTATGTATCTAGCAATTTCCTCGGCCGAGGTCCTCGGACCTGACCCAAGGCCTGGTCAAGCTCAGTAGTTTAACGACCCTCCACCTATCTCGGGACGGTAGGTGCTGACTAGAATCTTAACCACGACACCACTAACCACAGCTCTCTTTTCTCCGATAACAGCACGATCGCGACGTCAGCTCCCAGTAACACTTGGTTCTAGCTGCAGAACCTCTTCGAAGGATCTGCTGGCTCGGATCAGAACACTGACGGAGCTCATTTGTTGGAGGTCGGATTGAGTGTTGCCGTATATATTGACTATCTTAGCAATCGCCGCTCGGCACGTTGCCAAGATATCCCAACCCTTAGATAATTGGCACATTCCAGACCATCCAGGAAGCAAAAGCCATTAGACCTTATATACTACAGACATTGTCAACCGTCCTCGAACTGCTACAGGAGGATATCATGCTTTCACTGCCAGATTAAAAGTTGGACTAAAGCTCTCTTCATTCACGCCTCCCAATCCGTTCCATTTACTTGGGGATGAGAGCCCAGACTGAAGGGCGAGACGTCATACTAACACTTGTACCATGGAGATGAGTCAGAAGTTAAAGACGTCAAGCATGCTACCTAACATCTGTCGTTATGATACATGTCTTATTCCTGCAGAATGTTTTTAGAATGCTGAGCTGGTGTTTGTCCATAACTTAGTGTTATTAGTTGTGTGCATTGCTGACTTATTCAATTGACTCCATTATTGCCTTTAGCCTCCTATTCAGTCTTGGGGTGACTCAATGCCCGCAGTTCAGCGGATAGAGTCATACTCGCCGGAAGCCGGAAAGACTGACTTCGGGCCGAAGAGAGAGGCGTCACAATGATTTGAGTCCCACAAATTTGAGGTTCTAGCTTGAATGAGAACTTTTCGAGCTGTTAAAGGGCGCGATTGACATTTGCTGCTGTATATATTTGATATCTTATTTAATCCCACCTTTTCGTCATCTTCTAAGCTCAACCGACTAAAAGACGATCTCTCCACCAAATTGCACATTGGCCATTGATATGTATCATGTCGGCTCCGAAGTTCACGCCCGTTGACTCACAGTCATATGACTCTACTTACGAGAGAGATTCGAGGCATGTCGAAGTTGACAATTACGTCAACTCACACCTTTTAAATAATGCCAAAGACTCGTACATCTCAGCAATGGATAGAATCTATCGCGATTCCGTTGCCGCCGGCCTCCCAGATATCGCCTGTTCTTCAGCACAGGCTAAGTTTCTCAAGCTACAAGTCCAGCTTTGCAATGCCATCAATGTTCTCGAAGTCGGTACACTAGGTGGTTACAGCGCGGGATGGATGGCATTAGCGGGGCCAACCGTTAAGGTAACGACGATAGAGATAGACAAGGAGTACGCTGCTGTGGCATCGGACAATCTTACAGGAGCGGGCTTAAAGGAACAAGTTGAGATCCTTCAGGGTGCTGGCCTCGACATTCTTCCGTTATTGGCGACCCAAGTTGAAACTGGAGAACGACCGCCGTTTGACTTTGTCTTTATCGATGCCAATAAGCAAGACAATCTCGCATACTTCAATCTGGCAGTCTCCATGACAATTCCCAATACAGCTATCATCGTAGACAACGTTGTTCGGAACGGCAAGGTTGCTTCTGCCGATGAAGCTAAGAAGGATGATCGCGTCTTAGGCACTAGACAACTCATAGAAGCGATTGGGAAGGATGACCGTGTTGACGCAACGGTGATTCAAACAGTTGGGGAGAAGAACTATGATGGATTTCTCCTCGCTATTAAAAAATAAGATAGGGAAAGGGCAGTGTAGCTAGCTATATAAAAGAATATATTAAACCTATAAAAGTATATTAAGATATATTATAAAAAAAAAAAATCTTTATTTCTTAAAATAAAAAAGTTATGTAGTTAATTCTCTCTTTTCTTTTAAGCTAGCTAAATACAGATAGGCAGAAATAGCTTTTACATAAGCAGCATTCATAATCCTGCATAATTGATCTCCACTGACCAATCTTAATTTATCCATTTCATGCAACCCTATCAATCACCAACCGCCCAAAGCCCATCGCGAAAGCGATAGCGAGACCATCCTGCAAAAGAACAGTCAACAAAGCAGCCACAATGCCCCCGCGCTTGGGGTACAAAAAGTCTCGAAGGGGTTGCATGCGCTGTAAACAACGACGCGTCAAGGTAAGAATGGGTATCCAGCACGCGTCAATGTCGTCTGACTAATTACCTAGCCAGTGTGATGAGAAGCAGCCTTGCTCAGCGTGCGAGAGACACGGCTTATCCTGTGTCTACCAGGAACCCTCGGAAGTACGAAGAGGGCGTTCAGCTGATAAGGTCCGTAGGTTGTTATCAATGTGGATATGAACAGACCCTGACTTGATTGATCACACAGCCCGATACCCTGAGAGATGATCGTCAGAAAAGCTCAAATGCCGACTCGTCGATCGCGAGCCCGGATCCATTGCCGTACCTAGCCAAGTTCGTCACAGGCCAAGAGTCAATAGAGCAGAGCACTTGGCTCACGGATCTTGAGCTGATGCACCAGTATTCAACGTCTACTTACCTTACCCTTCCGCGAGCAGATGAACTTCGGCAGATATGGCAGATCGAGCTACCCAGGCTATCGCTGAGCCATGTTTATCTACTCCACCAAGTTTTGTCTGTGTCTGCATTCCACTTGGCCTCACTGCATCCAGATCGACCAGATTACGCTATCTGTGCGTCACAACATCAGAATAAAGCTATTGGTGGTCTTCGTTCAGCTGTCGCATGCATCACTGAAGAGAGCTGCGTGGAGATCTTTTTATCATCCTCACTACTGGGTATTGGGGCGTTTGCTGGTCTCGGCGCTCACAATGCTGGACAACAGCCTCGCATTGACGATCTTCTCGATGTTTTTGTGCTTATTCGGGGCATGAGCGACATCTTGAACAGATATGAACCACTGCTCAAGGAGAGCAGGATTGGGCATCTATTCGTCCTTGGAAGCCAGTCTAACTCAACGCCTCTTCTTGACGCCACGCTCACGCAGCTTCGACAAATTGTCATACCAGATGGCTTCGACGACAGGGGAATCGCGATATGTCAAGAATCAATCGCATCAGCAATCACATGGACAGAAAATCATACCAGGGCAACGACTAAGCCTGATGAACGAATCGCCATGACTTGGTGTTTATCTGTCAGCTCCGAATTTCTGGATCTCATCAGGCAGCGACACCCTGTTGCTCTTTGTATCCTCGCGCATTATTGTGTCATATTGGATCGAGTTGGAAGATCACAGTGGTTCATGAGGAATTGGGGGAAGCCGGTACTGCAAGACATTCGGAATGAAATGGGAGCACGATGGTCACCGATGCTGCAGTGGTGTTTGGCAGCTGTCGAATGTGAGAAAAATGCTTAAGTTCATTGAATCTAAAGAGGGATACACCATCTACATGTAGAACAAAAGGAAAGATGACTGGAATACAAAAGCCAAACGAATGCATGAGTAATAAAACACGAACTCCATCCAAGTATAAGCCCAGGTAACTCCTTTAAGATCTGTTAACGCAACCCTGTCTTCATGCCTCTCTCAGTCTCTCAGCCTTATCATAGTCGTCGTGTTATTTCTCAGTGGCGATAAGCGGTGTCATCTGAGCGGAGAGTGCTAAGAGATTCATCTGTATTCTTGGTCCTCGTACCGCGGGGAAATCCATTCTTCTTGTAGAATCGCCAGTCCAGATAGGTGACCACAGCAAGGTACTTGTAAATCGGGCTGATTTGTTAGTGACAATCTGCTAGGGTGCTGAGAAGGACATACCTCAAGAAACCAGCCAGCACAAACACAACCCAACCCAGCGCGCAACTCGTTCCGACACAAAGCTGAGAGTTACCCCGGATCATCATGAACGCAACAGCTGCCCAGAAGACAACCTCCATTGTATTAAGGATGAAGTAAGCCTTGAGGCTGCTCCAGCGATGGAAGCGGATAGAGTGCTCGGTGAGGATCTCGTATGTCAGGATGATGAGTGACTTGGCACCCTGAGAATAAACATGTTAGATCTGAGAGATCGTGTGTCGGAAAATAAGCTTACCATGCCGAGACCCATAGTGGTGGAGCGACCTGGGGGCCGATTGGGCAAGATGAGTCGCACGCCCGAGAGGGTGATGACGGTAATGATCAAGGTGACTATAACAATCTGCAGGGGGAGTTTGTTGCGGAGGGTGAAGAAAGGCTCCATCTTCTTGAGAAATACAGGCGTCATCTTGAAGGAGTTTGTAAAGGTAGTGAGGAAAAAGAAACGGTCGTGTGATTACAATGGAATGAGGATGTTGAGGCTTGAGATGATGATATGATCAAACTGAATAGTGGTGGAAACACCAACATTTATAACATTAGCAATCGACTCAAGACAATCTGAATCAACAAGTCTCAACTTTATTGTTACGCGGCAGTTACCGTAGATTCTCATACACGTATTCGAAAAACCTGCAAAGAGCAAAAGAGAAACCGAGCTCTGAGGCTTAGAGGCATAGCACGACCCGGAAAACCAGCCCTACCGGCACTATTTTTAACCCGACCCAACCAAATAAGCTTGTTGGAATCTCAGGAACGTCAGCAAGACTCAAGGCTCAGTCTGGGCCCTTTTGATCGTCTATCTCTGATGAAGCAGCTGCTATCTGATTGGTTGAGTGGGCTTCGGTGCCGCTCTCGGTTTCGGTTTCGGTACCGGATTGTGCCGTTCGTTAGTGCCATCTGCGGCATGATTTCAAATTGCATTACGGCTCTGGGGTTGATCATTGCGCACGCTACGCGTGGCTGGACCTGCCATACAGTTTCACTTTAATCTAAACTTGGCCTCGTAGGGCCTCAACACCATTCTTAAGTGGAGGACCGCTTGATGAGAGGCTCCGTTGATGCCGAACAGATCAGCCTAATGGGCCGGGGTACTCGAGCCTGCATTGAGCTAGTTAAATATCTTGCCTCCTGCTCTTCCTAGTGGAATGCTGCCAGGTTTCGTCGCTTTTCTCAGGTTCCGTTCCATCATGATGGACTCCAAAGACCAGCAACTGTACCATGTACCAGCAGGGTAAGAAGCATACTCGCTTTCTGCATGTCAGCAACTAACATGAACAGTCCTCTACCACCACCAAGCTACTCGGAGGCAACTACAACAGATCCTCTCACAACAGATGGCTTTGTGTCTCCTATGACAACGACCTCCAGCCCCGTCGCCTTCAATGTCTCTGTGTCCCCAATGGCTATGACACCAATCACCTCTCGGTCGACCGAGTCATTTACATTACCGCCCCTTACCGAAACGGATCTCGACTCTCGCAATCATAGCACACTCGAAGTAGCGCACCCCCTCCGAGCCGACTCTGATTGCCTTCCACAGGCTGTTATTCATGATGCGCCCGAACTTGCGCTCGTGGAATATGCTCATAACCGTGACAACCTACCTATGAGTATAACATCACAAACAAATACTGAATATGCTTCTGGCTTGGAGGTCATACCTGCTCCCCCAGTCTCAAAAACTGTAACGCCTCTGCATCTCCTTGGGGACCAACCTGAAGCTATAGATTGTCCGTTCTGTCTACGGCGGAGCGAAACAAGAGTGAAGAAGAAGCCATCAAGCACAACTCAGTACGTGAAAGATGTCAACTCGACAGAGACTCAGCTAACAAATGACAGCCTACAAGCGGTTGCGCTACTGATGACAACAGTTTGTGGAGCTGTCGCTCCATACATGGCAAAGTGGTCCTTCGACATTGAACATATCTGCGATAACTGCCAAAATAGGGTCATGTACAAAGCGAAAGGGAAGGATATAAGGATTTGCAAAGCACCAGAGGCCTGGAAGGAGGAGTCGAAATACCCTGAGGTTACTACTAGTATGAGTCCGGTGACCCAGTGAGAGAAGCATCAAGGAATACTTGGTCCAAGTGAAGGGCTGGACTCTGAACTGTGTATAACTTTTGCACGTCTTATCAACGTGCCTGCCGTTGAGCCTGTTTTCCAAAAGCCTATTTTACATACTTCATTCATCTTATCATTGGAGCTATATAATACTTACATGCGCATCACAGCCATAATAGAAAAGCTACTATTTAAATTGATCGAACATCGGTTCTTTCGATATTCAATATCTAAACTATATGCAGCTTCCGATGTCAAGCTTAAAGTCGATTGAATCGGCATCGCCTGCAAGCCATAACATGACACTGTCGACACTCAAAAACGTATCGGGGAAGGACGTCGAAGCATTCCTCGCATTGTCGTACACCTTCCCTCTGGACCCAGGCTTCATGCTCACATTCATGATTCTCCATTAAGTTGACTCTCTCTTCTTCAACACGAGCCTGACGAATCCCCGGGTCTAAGCGGGCAGCATCATCATTTCGGTCGACCACGACATTAGCACGTCTGATCAGACGTTCTTCTTCCCACTGCGGACAAGTACAAGTCTTCCAGGGGTCACCACAGAGGTAGCAGAATTGCGCTCGGCAAAGGCAAGCTATGAGATACATCAGCAATGGGCAAAAAGACTAAACGTTCAAGACCTACTCATATGGTAGCATCCGGTCTCCAACTCAACAACTCTGGAGCATGCATAACACTGCTGCCAGCCATTATCAGCTGCAAGTCGCAGAATCTGCTGCGACCCAGTATCGTTCGGGCAGACGCCCCTATGATACGGCCCCTTGCAGTGAATACAAGTCTGCCGAACGCATCGAGGACAAATGCCTACATCATCTTCGATAAACGCAGGCGGTACAAAGGTCGAACAGGACGGCTCGCTGCAGTACGTGCGGTTAGGCGTGTCAAACTCCAACTTCTTGGCCTGGAACTGGCCGACGAGCTGGGGTGAGAACCATCGGCTTTGCTTGACTGGGATGGCGCGACCACAGCACTTTGGCGGGAACAAGCTTTCATCTTGGAGTGAGGAACGAACCAGGCCTACGAGGCATACGCGACAGTATTCATGCGAGCATGGTGACTGAGAGAGCGCAAGAGGTGGAAACTCGTCGTTGCAAGCGATGCACTCTCTAGTTTCAGGCGCTTGACGCGAGGACGCCCAGCTTGACGACTCGGGCTGACCTGTGATCGAGTCTCCCGGGACGCCAAGGTTCAGAGACCTTAGGATATCAATCAAATCATCCTCGCCGTCGTACATTGGCCCCTCTTCTTCAGATTGTTCTCCATATGGCCGTCCTATCTCGCTTGGGTCCGCATCCAGCCTAAGAGCATACTCATGGTCTCTCGCGGCCTGTTCCTCCGCCAGTTGAGCTTCCATAATGATCTGAGCATCTGCATCAACAGCCCGCGCAATGCTGAGGGCCAAAGCATGGTCAGAAATTTGTGCCGTCATGGCCTCAAGCTCAATGCGACATGCCTCAAGAGCCAAGTCTGCGTCTGTGAGATTGCCTTCGCGCTGCTTTCCTTTCGCCGACTGCTCCCAGATATTCAGGTCTTGCTGCTGGAGCTGAATCGCTAGCATGAGAGATGAGTTGTCCATTTTGACACCGTTGTAATAGCTGTTGATGTATTTTGTCGATGAGGAAATCAGCGATATATGAGGTCAATAATTGTTTCATGCTGTCGATCAAAGAGGAGTTGCGCCAGGGCGGTAAATAAAAAATCCGGTGGGCCTCCCACGCGTGGAGCATACCCCCACTTTTACGCGTTTCAGTACCTGCAATGAAAACAGAGTAGTCTCAAGGCAGGGCCTCTACCTCTACACTTGTCTTTTCCTTTCAGACTACATTCATGGCTTAAAGTCTTGTTGCTCACTTTGCGTTGTATCATTTGGTGTAAAGGCAATGGCTTCTAAAACATCAAGATCATCGATAACTATGCTAGAGAAGTATTTATAATAAAAGTTAGAGACTACTATAATATCGTTGCTCATCAGCAACTCTTAAACCTCATACAGTTCGAGGCCATAGCTCTCATAGCAGGTCCACTTGAAACTCCTGGCTGGTAAGTCCAAAGTTGTTGGTAACAGGCTTGATAACAGTCTTCTTGCAACCCTTGTTCAGCTTGACCTTGTTGAACCGGTCCTCAATCCATGGCATGAAGTCAGACTGAGAAGCTGTAAGTGCAAGACCATGATCCGTCTTATGGTAGAGTCTATACTCCGCAGTTGACTCCGGGTACTTTTTGCAAGTGGCATTGAAGTCCTCTTCGGCATACTCAGCGTATGTCAGAATGTCATCATCTCCCTGGATGACAAGCATGGGTGCTGCCAGGGGATGTTCTCCAGCGCCATTGTAACGCTTCTGCCAGTCAACAAAGTCAGGATGCTCAACCCAGCTAGTGTTCTTGTATAGCTGTTTCACGGTAAGGCTACCATAGATTGTGCCTCCTGTGTTGATACAGCCCTGGTCCGCAAGGGCGATGCGGCTGAGGACAATGTCGGTGGCGTAGTCTTCGACCTTGATCGAGGGGTAGAGACGTGAGATAGACTGGAGGAGGAAGATGGAGACAACATCGCCAGCTGGGCCATCCTTTGCCCGGCGGAAGGACTCGGGGATGAGCTTGATGGGCTGGAGAGCCGGGGCGATTGCGACAGCACCGAGGAAACCACCAGTTGCCTTGCCGGGCTTGGCCTCTCGCTCGTCAGTTCTCCATGCAGTCATGCCACCCTCACTGTGTCCGATGACAACCCATTCCTTGGTGATCCGCTTCCCGAGAGCCTTGCGTGCAGCTTGAAGTCCAAAGCTGACATCTGCAGCATGAAGCGCGCCAGATTCGTACATGAAGCCCTGGGGAATATCACTGCCTTGACCAGCATAGTCGGGGGCAATGACAACATAGCCTTGTTGAACAAGAGCAAAGGGTCCAGTCCACTCATAGTACAGAGCCCGGTGATTTGACGGCGCACATTGACGCGTGCCACCAGCAGTTCCATGGGTCCAGACAAGTGTTCGGAAAGGCTTGTCGTTGCCGAGCGGGTTCGAGTAAGGAGTCAAGACAAATCCAGTGGCAGGAATTGGCTTGCCATCAATATCCTCGGTCATGTAAAAGAACCGAGACATGGACACTCCGCCGGGAAGGGTCCACCTCTTGGAGGCTTGATCAGCGGGAACATCTTCCCACTTGACAAGATCACCAGCAGAGTATTCAGAAAGATTGGACGGGTTGGAGTAAAAGTCATCTGTTGAGAGGTTCTGGTTAACCCAGCGATTGGTCTCAACAGAGAGAGCCTTGCGGTATGCAAGTTGGCAGGCAACGTCGCAATGGTTAGGCTGCAGGGGTTCTTGAGTAGCGGCAGCAACGAGAGCGCCTGAAACAAGGATATTTGTGATAAACTTTGGTAACATGGTTATGGTATAATTGTGAAAACTCAATCGAGAATGTCACTGTTTGAGTTTATGATAAAAGTTATTTTCATCGCGAGTGGATGGTCTTATTTATACTCTGGCAACTGCTTATTCCCATACAAGCTCTCTTGGGCGTAATTGCCGTTATCTGTCCCCGCTAGTACCACCGATGGCTCCGTTAGAGTTCAAGAACTATGGGGTAGTGCTACTACATCAGGAAGTTGGAGGCCCTGGAATATTCACAGAAGCATCCGACACGGTCAATCGTATAAACAGCCCCCACGCTTGCTGATAGCATTGGCCCGTCTGGTTCATCAATGACTAAAGGCCCGTCCGGTTATGAACTCTAACGTGCTCCCCCGCCTTTTATCTGGTGAGCCTCTTATGCTTAATCCTGGCCCGAGCTGTGTGTAATATCCGAGGTTCCCCTCAGAAAGAGGAGATTCACGAGGATCATCCTAGCTTTGTGCAGATCTCCCATGGTTCTTGGCGTTGTTTGCGCGGAAGAGCTAGACTCGATTAAGCAGTTGTAGGCGCTCTCGCTTAGCCGTAAGCCCGAAAATGGGTTGTTACTTATCTTGGCAACCCACAAGAGCTCTGCTAACCTATACAAGAGAAGTTATTCTTGTCCATTGGTATTATCTCAAGACTACATTGGGGCATTGATTTACAAGGAAATATCGCATGTATCTCGCTTGAGTCAAGCTCGCTCATATTGCTGTCATCAATCAATTGAGAAGGCCCATATGATATACAGGACTAGGGAACTTGAAGCTCTTGAATACAATAAGCGCATCGTCGATTCGTGCTTTTCCCATAATAGGTGCAAGCTGAACGCTCTCTTGTGGCACCAACATGATTAGACATCATGTACCAAAACAGACAACGTAAGTCAATCAGCAGATAGCTAAAACCAACAAACCCGGTTTCTTTACCAAGCCTCTTTTGTTATTCGCTGAGCGGAGCCTACTTGTCCCCTGCCAAGCTGTCACTGACTTGGGCCTGAGTCATTGCCAACCACAATCATCCCACCTGTCGTAACAATAGATATGTGCACGGCCCATCCCACATGTCGTATAAAAAACGGCATATGCCAAAGATGGTTGTCCATGTCAATATGGAAAAGTGAAGTGTTAGTGATTATACCTCACGGGTAAATAAACATCCGACTTTAGTGCATGGCTGCCGAATATTATGTCTCTGTCAAATCCGACAAATAATTGCGATAGGTTGTCTCGTAAGTTTCTCCCAGTCGATGAAGTGGCTCAGAGATCTTCATGGTAACAGAGGTCATGTTTCGCGAATTCTACCAATTTCTCACATTGACATTAAGCAAGAAATCCAAGACGAGTAGAGGGGCATGGAGTCTAGACACTAACGTTCATCAACAACAATAACCGTGGATAAGTAAAGCGATACAAGAGACTAATTATTCTTGGAAACTAACAACACCACTACTTATGAACACAGTTATCACTCAATCCACAGCCAGTCGAAAGCTGAGCCGTCTTCAGCTTATGCTTCTTCTTCGAGCCTCCAACACAAGGACAACCCTTCTTGTGAACCTTCTCACCCTTGTCATCAACCTCGCCCTTTCCAGCTCCCTCCTCAGCACAAATACAGACGGAAGAAGCAAAAGCACCTCCCTCTGTGCTAGGACCTTGAGGTTGATACCACGGGGGACAGAAATCAGGAAGCGTAGGCATCGTCTTGACTCTACCGTAGTCATTGGTGCCAACCTTGTAGTCCGATTCTCCAAAGCCATCGAAGCGGATCTTCCATGTCATGGGGAAGGGAACGAACTCATCCCAAGTTGGGGTGAGATACGTGTCACTCTGCGGCCGCAGATCGCCTTCGGTGACAATATCCTTTGCCTCTCCAGGGCTTTTCAGCTTCTCGGCCTGCTTCTGAATCCAGCTTACTCGGCCGGGAGCCATGTAATTGGCATAGCCCTCGGGAGTAGAGTCAAGGTTGATCCTCTTGAGCTTGCCTTGCGCATCGTGACCACGACGGGGGTTCTTCATCTGAGCGACGAACTTGATCATCGAAGTAAGAGAAATCGTGACAATACGTCGGGGTGCAAAGACGCCAAACTTGTCAGCGATGCTGAGCTGAGCCAGTAAGAGCTGTCGCTTCTCCGGGCTGTTCTTGACAGCTTCCTCGTCGCCGGCTTTGGCCTGTAAAGATTGATTAGTCCGTATTCTTGACAAGCAGGTGGTGACATCAACTTACAAGATCGAGGATAACAGCATCACCTTTTTTGATGGTAACTTTCTCCCCATTGTTCGCACCAGCAAAGATATAGTCGTCCTTTTCAAGAGCCTTGCGAACAATGGGCTGTCGAACGGTGATTCGTGCCATTGTCTGGACCATCTTCTCAAGATGCTCATCAGCGTTTGGCTTATCGCTGAAGACACACTCCTGGACTTGAATCCATTGTGGGCGGGTGTCATGACGCAGGCCTAGCGTGAAATGTGGACGGCCATCAGCTGCTGCATAAAGATCCTTCATGTAGCCATCCAACGTAGCAGTGAACTGGTAGTGGTTAGCGTGTCTCAAATGCTGATGAACTAGGTATTGTAGGAACTTACCGAGACGACTGCATTATAAGCAAAGTCAAGACAAATGAGAAGAAGAATAGCAGCCGCTTTGCTCTGCTCCTTCTCATAACCCAGAACCTGCTTCGCGACAAATACTCCAAGATCATGCATAGCATTAGTCTCCTTCTTACCGAACAACGCCCTGGTGATGTCCCACTGCCCAGCCTCCCAGATGGTTCCTCTCTGAGTCAGTTCGATGAGCTTCTTCATGGAAGCCTTGAAGGCCTCACGACGCTGCAACCACTTGGTCTCGTCGGCGTTGTACGAGAGGAAGATCTGGCAGTTTGTGATGTGCTGATAAATCTCGTTCTCGCTGTACGTGTCCTTGGACTCGGTGGGTTCCTTGAAGAGCTTGTTGCCGAAGCCGAGGAAATCGGCGACATATCGAGTGACAACGGGGATGGCAAAGCTGTGAAGGGTCAGTTGGGTCTGGTGGTCGGACGATAGAAATAAACTTACTCTCGAGTAGCATCGATCTGGAAGGTCGAGTTGGTCATAGAGATCGACTCTCTCTTGACGATATGTCTCATTTGATCGTCAAGATACTTCTTCAAGTCTGCTTCCACATCCTTGACGTAATCATCAATCGCGGGTGTGTATTGAGGGTCGCGCTTCCCATCCACCGTAGTCAACACGTCTCTAACTACTTGAGGTAGATTTGCCTTGTAGTAAAACGCAGAGTTTGTGAAATTCTTAGCCTTCTCGCCCTGTAGGATGATCTTGATGTCATCAAACTTGCTGAGATACAATGGTTTCTCAGGCTTCTGCACTGGAGCAGCAACGGTGACCTTTGGGTGATCAACTGTCTCCTTGAACCAATCACCATAGCCTTGAGCCTCGGCATATTTGCCGTTCTGCTCGGCTGTGTAGAAAGGATGGAAGAAGCGGATGGTGTTGGAGGGGAACCAGCCTGGGAAAGCACGTTGAAGGAGACGGTGGAAGACTGAACTCTTGCAAATCTCGTTGTTAGGAGTGACCTCCTTCATGCCCCAAGAAGTCAAAGAGTTGGTATTCCAGTCAACAGTGTAGAAGCGATCAGATCGCACAAGGGTGATGGCATCGGAGAAGATGGCAGACCAAAGAGCAGAGCTCGACTCACTGGGTCCTGGGTCCAGGCCCATGTACTCATCAGACTCACAGAAGATACCAGGATACAGCTCGATCTTGTCAGGGTGTTCATAAAGATCTCGAAGGGCATTCTGGATCTCAGCGTTCTTTGTGACGCTCTCAAAGGACTGGTGCCTGGGCAGACCAAAGAAGTCTCTGAAGTCATTCAGAGTTCCACACTCCCATCGACGAGCTTGAAGAATGCCCATGATCTCAACCGACTTAAGACACTTGGGAACGTTGCGAGGACCAAAATTAGAGATGGGGTCATCCATGGCTGAAGTCAGCTCCTTGAGCATCTGGTTATCATCGAAGAGGTTGGTGATGGGGTTGCGAGTGAAGTGCTTGGACTCGGTGACCTTGTCCGCACCGACATTGTTGGAAGCACCGTTGAGAGCGACACCACTGTCCGAAGTGTTGCCTGAAGAGCCAGCCCCAGCCGTAGGTGCCGGGTCCTCATCAGGGATACCAAAGGTGACCTCCCATGGCTCAGGCTCCCTCTTACCATACTTGTGATCCTCGGCAGCCTTCTGCTTTACAGCAGCCATGGTACCCAGAAACTCAGGAAGAGAGGTATTGCTCGGGTCCCTAAAGTGCAACACATTCTTCATAAAGTCCTCAGTGTATTTCTCATCCTTGAGAGAGATGGCGCAGTGGAAGCGGTAGAGAAGGTTGAACTCTACCGTGACTTGGTTGCCGATACCACGGCTCGTCTTCTTCTGATCAAAGTCGGCGCGAGGATCAAGCGTGAAGTTGGTGTCGAACTGGTGGAAGCCCATAAGCGCTCTCAGGTAATCGTGGACTGAGATCTGAATGTACATGCCGCAGGTAATGAGTCGGGCTGTGTTGAAGAGATCATCATCTTGCTTGTTCCAGGCTGCTTCCCAGGCATCCTTGAACTCGTCGCACGCCGCTTCAAAGTCCTTGGCTGCTTGATGGTCACGATCCTTGAGCTTCAAGGTCTTCTTCTTGAGTTGGAGCTTGAGTTCGTTGGTCAGGTCTTCCAGGTCTTGGTTCAGCTTAGACTTGTTGAACTTCTCAATCTCTTCCAGAGCGTCGTGTCGCTTTTTCTCGGCTTCCTCTCGCTTCTTCTTCTCCTTGTCTGTCTCATTGGGTGTCTTGGGGGGAGCGTATGGTGCATCGCCAGGCCTAGCTGCGCGAACATCTCGCCAGAGCTTCTCGTACGTCTTACACTTCTCCTTAACATCGTCATCCAGTGGAAGCTTTTGGCCGTACTGGTCCTTCTCAGGAAGATGCTCCATGATCAAAGAGACAAGCTTGGTCTTCTCGTACATGGCGGGGACTCTGAAGCGTCCATTCTCGTTGATGCGGAGAAGTTGTCTTGCAGCATAGTTATGATAGCGGTTGTACATAACGAGCATGATGCAGACGCCAGGCGGCTGTCGCAGTAGACGGTCCTCAGCAAACGTATCGGGCTTCAAGAGACCAAGCTTGAACTTGTCATCTCGAACCTTGCGCTGCATCTCTGTGGTGTATCCATAGAGGGGAGACAGGTCAAGATACGACGAGCTATCAGAGATATTCTTGTCGTTGTCGTTGGTTCTGAAAATGTCATGGATAATGATGGTTGCGTGGTAGATGAGCATGGCGGAGAGTCCAGACTTGCTCTCTCGGCCACCTTCCTCTCGCGCCATGAGCTTGTCAAAGAGATCAGAAGGATCGGGAAGAGCTCCCAATGGCGCTGTCTTCGACGGGACAGTCTTGGCATAGGGGGCACCAGCTTGGCCGAGATGGGGATTCATGGCGCTGTTGAACTTGCCATCAGCAGTTCGATACTGGAAAGCATCGCCAAGGTATGTCAAAGGCGCTGAAGGAATTAGTATCAGTCATCAGTCTCCCCTCAGGTTGTTTAGACTTACGGTGCAGCATCTTGTCGTACTTGTCCTTGACTTGGCCATCGATGAGCTTCTGGCGTTGGACACTGTAGTCGGAAAGACTGCCAGCGATTGTCGCAAGACTCTGTCCCTACGAATTGTCAGTATACAGAGTTATTGAATACAGCACCAACTTACATCAAGCCCAGTGCCTTTGATGATCCCATCTGCCGTCCTCTTTAAGGCGGGCCAGTTGCTTGACTTGGAGAACACGGCTTTGACATCTTCCCATAAGCCAACCTTGGGAGCAATGGGGTTCTACAGACGTTAGCAAGCATGATACAATCTGGAAGTGATACATACTCCAATGAGTTTGTCGCCGTGATATTTAGCATACTTCTCGGCTTCTTTCTTGTTTCTGAGCTGCAACGTGAGCTGCATCAGATCCTCATCCTGCTTACTCATCACAGGCTCATGTGAGTGCTGTGAATGGCCGTTCATGATGACGGTGAGGACTGTTCTGCCGTGTTGCTAAAAGAACACGAGCAGGGGGAAAAGGGAGTGATGCTTGGTGAAAGTGACGTGTGCACAACTTCTGGGCTGAAGATGAAGAGATATAATGGAATGAGATAGTGTGAAATAAACAGAATGTTTTGTGATGCGTATTTTGAGCTGGTGCAGCCTGGGGGCCTATTATCAGTCAATGTAGATTGGGTATCCGAATGCAGATTGTGAATACACTGTAAAGACAAACTATCGATTAGACCCTGCCTCGCTTACTCCGCTCTATCAGCTCTTTCGGAACCAATTCTCGGGCATTGTTATCCAAATCTCGGCATCTGCAATGCCAAGAATATCTCAATCATTGTGTTTCTGGCCCATCCCCGCTCATTTCTCGAGCTGACGAACCTTGCATGCCGCGTGGCTGACATTCGTGGCCTGCTCATTCGTCATCGTGACATTTCTTAGTCCGCCGCTATTGATTTCATGCATTTGTTCCTCCAGCAATCACAAAAGAACTAATTTTCAGTAGACCAAAAAACAGCCAAGTCAGATCATTGGAGGCAAAGTTCAGAGCTGAACTTGAACACGCACACGAGCAGTGGTTATCACGGCTTTAACCAAATGCCGCATCGCTATCACATTCCCCGCTCAGCCACCTGCAAATTCACCCACTCAACACTCCACACGGCCCGTTGCGGCTGGCTGACCGCTAACTGGTCTAAGATAGCGTCTTTTTCAGACTAGCAGAAGTGCTCAGGCCACCTCCGGAGCTGAAAATGCGTGCATCGTTAGCCGTTGATCTGATCAGCATCATCACATTCCTCTTCCAGCGTCTCCAAGGCCTCCAAACAGCTTGTGGCATGAAAGACTGTAGCGGTGTTGTGCACTAATGCGCCAAGGACTATCCCGTAACCCGGTTGTCAACCGGTCAGGTATCCAGCGCTTATCGTGAAGCTGTCCTCCCCTGTCACTACCCGTGCGCCGTCGGAGAGTGTCCTAGCTGCAGGAGGTCTAACCAACTGAGTAAATACGTTGCCAGTTTCAGCAAGCCACAAGACGTAAGCAGTAATGCAGCTCTCGCATCTGGCTCGTTTCCGTCCCCCACATACATCCGATGTCTCAAACTCTGGCTTTGGTAGTGCGGTTGATCTTGGAACTATTGGAAATGCTCAGCGCTCAACTGGCCGCCACAAATACTACGCTACAGGTCTAGACTCCAGTGTAATGAACCTGGAAACCATTGGTCAATGATAACTGAAGCTCTTGAATGACCCTGCAGCTTCTTCTCTTCATGGTATAACAGCTCATGTTGATTCAAGGAACGGCAATCCCACGTCCTTCTGCCGTTGCGAAATCAGCTCATTTACTTTCACTTGTTCATTCTCCATCACTCAAGACCAACAAAGTCCATGTCGGTCACCATCCCAATGCCTCCTACACCTGCAGTTGGAGAGTTTGCAAAAGCTCCTCCCAATGCCAGCAGAAGTCCCTGCCCCGTCGTCAATGCTCTCGCAAACCATGGCTATCTTGAGCGCAGCGGCCGCGGCATTTTCATGGATGATCTCAACGCCTCAATGAAACACGTCGGCATGAGTCCTCTTCTCGGCTCTGTCTTTGCCATCCCCACCTACTTTGAGTACCAAAACCCAGCCAAGGCATACATGAAAAAGCCTGTTGGCACATGGCAGAGGATCTGGTCCCTCATCAAGAACCCCTACTCCTTCTTTGACTATTTCGGCTGCTGGAATTCGAAGCAGATCACTGATGGAAAGAAGTATCTCAATCTTGAGAATCTTGCTTCTCACGGCGCTATTGAGCACGACATCTCTCTATCAAGACGGGACATTGCTCAGAAGCAGGGAAACAATGATCCTCAACAGGACTTGATTGAAGAGATGCTGGAATATTCTTATGATGGTGAAACTCTCACCATTCCAGATCTTGCCCAGTTCATCAAGGCTCGTATCTCACGGCAGCTGGAGGATAATCCAGAGTTGGTTTATGGACCAGCTGAACATCAGGTCAATTGCGGACAGCTCGCACTGATGATGGGCTGTTTTGGAGATGGAAAGACGATTCCAGTCAAGTATGTCAGAGCTATCTTTGAAGACGAGAGACTGCCTATTGAGGAAGGCTGGAAGAGGCGATCGTGGTGGACAATGGGTCTTGTTGAGTTCTTTGGTGCTGTCAAGAACTTGGTCAATGCTGTTGGTGTGCAGTTCTAGCTATCACGTCATTAATCGTATTATTTATTTTACAATTCTATACATGTCTGTTCAACTTGGGAGTAATGGTCAGTTGAGACGGAGAGCCAAGTAATGGATTTATCACCAGGGCCTGCAGACGGCCGGATAAGCTCACGTGCAACCTTGCCTTTCTGAATATTAAGATTATTTGGAAGCTACCCAGGACGTGCTGCATAATTACCAATTCCCCATCTCCCGAAAAACAAAAACCTCCTTAGATAGCTTTGTATCTACTCCACAATGATCAGCCGCTTGGAGGGCCTCAATTTCAGAAGCTCCGATGCGAGCCTTATCTTGTTTCGGGTCAAATGGACTTTTGAAAAGATACCATGTTTCTGACTGTCCAAAAATGCCCAAATTCTACAGAACAGCCAGCCACAGAAATAGTGCTAAGCCCAAGAGGACCAGAGGACGGCCTGCCGCCTGCTAGCGCTGAGGGGTAACTAACTATTGCAAAAGCTACTGCATGCCGGGGGGAGGCCGGGGCAAGCGCTAAAGCCAATATTGCGACCCTGAACGCTGTAGCCAAGAACGTCTTGGGGATTGTAAATGTCTCAGTTCAAGTAAACAAGATAGCGAGCGAATTGCGACTCGTGGGCCGTCGTTTGTTATCCTTAGACGTAGCTGGTTGCGATTTTCAGCTCTCTCCACAGCCCCTTCAACAGTCACATCGAACCCTCAGCCGGTCAGCGGCTCGCCCAGTGGCGCACTGCAAACCTCCAGTATATTCTCAGCTGGAGTTCCTTATCGAGTTAGGACCCAAAAGAGCATACGCAACCAGGACCTTAGTTGTGGACTGTGATGACTGCCAGTTCGGCTCGCCGTGCGGCAACAAAGTGTCCAGTGGTTTCCATGCATGACAGTTTGGAATGTAAATTCCGGCGCTGCCCTCGCCATAGTTCAAGAATAGCTTTCTATAACAAAGGGCTTCTCTTTCGATTGCAAACATAAACATCAAAGACAACCACTGGACAAGTATTTCTTCCATTTCTCATCACTTTATTTTACGCATAGTCACAAACAGCTTCATCATCCTCATCACCTGATTCAAAACATCCTCCAATAAACACACAAACATGACTTCCCTTCACGCCTACCTCCCAGCCCTCAAGGGTATTGCCATCGCTGGCAGTCTCATCAACGGCGGTACCATGACATCAGGTTACCGTCTCCTCCCCTCAGTCTACCCAATCGTCCAAAAGTCCCCCAAAGACGCTGCAAAGCAATGGGAGTACTTTTACTGGTCCATGTCAGCCACCGTGCCATGGGTCGACCTGACCACAATCATTGTGATCGGAACTATTGCCTATGGAGAGTACAAGGAGAACAGCTCTGCTTTGGCTTGGAAGATCTGGGCTACTGCAGGAGGACTCATGCCCATCGGTTGGATCTGGGTTCGAAAGGTGATGCTCGGCCCGTCTTACAAGTTGCTTGACATTGCGGACTCCAAGTCTTCGGAGACTGAACCTTTGAATTCCAGTGCGAAGAATGTTTTGGACCTCATGCAGGAGTTTAATGCGCAGATGGCTGTGAGAATGATGTTTCCTTGGGTTGTTGGTGGACTTGCGCTCTGGGCTACCCTGGGCCTCTAGAGGATGTTTTGAAGATGTTGAAAAGCGCCGAGCATGGTATTTATCTATACGGCGGTAGTGTTCTGGAGTGCGTTGTCTGGAGTAATAGTATCGCTGAGTATTCGGAGAGTTTGATTTACAGATCACGATAGCCTATATCATCTATGAATAAAGATGCAGATATGTTTTAACCCATTCTTAGTACAAAATGTTGTGTTTGGTCGTCCGTTCATGTGCGTCAACGATAGATGGGTTTGTTTATATGATGACCTGCAACGAAGTAACAACAACAGCGGTGCAGAATCGGTATCTTGATAGTCTTATACCGCAAGCGTGTGAGAGCATAAACTATCCTGAGACCAAAACTCATCATCAGCATCATCTTCCATGGCCCTGGAGCGATGCACGAACCAGGATTGTCCGCGGACTCGGCACTTCAAGACGCCGACGATCTAAAGCACATGTAGTTAGTTTTGTTTGTCCGTTCTTTGAAGTGTAAACTTTATGTGATGATTAAGCGGGTAAAAGCCGGGATGCTGATCGATGACTGGCCGTTTGCCGGTGCAACATACGCCGGTGTCTTACTGGATCCGGCAAGTCGGGTAGCCCGGAAGCAACCAAGAGCCGACTCCGAAGAAATAAGATTAAATCAATACCGTCAGATTTACCCCAACGAACCTTGCACCATCAATCAAAACATCCCTGAGCCTCAAATTCGACGATTCCCTCGAGAGACAAGAGATCTCTCAAAGTGTCAGCCGCAATGTCGGAGCCGCCGCCAAACAATGGCTTCGTCGGTCGCGTCCGCGGCGCGTCGCTATCAATCATCAATGCCAATCCGCAGCTGGGAATGTGGCAAGCCACCGGCACAGCCATCGCACAAGCCCCCAATCTCACTGAACTCCGCGACGCCGAATCTGGCGGCGACAAGATCGAATTCAACGCCCAAGGCCATTCTGCGCGTTACGCTGTGCCCGAGCCAGATGGCGAACTCACGCTGGTGAGGACAGCGACGCTCACCCGCAGACCCAGTGTGATTCCGAAGTTTGACAAGGACCCTTTCACTGAGGAACCTGTCGCGATTCCTGAGGAGGTGGACGTGGAGCAGGGGTCGTCGAGGGAGGAGACTATCACCGAGGCGCCTGAGGAGCATCATCATCATCATCATTTTCATTTGCGCGAAAAGCATCGACAGCGACTGGAGCGACGGAAAAGTCTGTATGAGAAACACAAGGCTGACGAGAAGGAGAAATGGGGACCAACCATCATAAACGGCCTCAAGGCATTTTGGAAATTCTTTCTCACGCCGTCTGGCTTCCTCATCACGCTCTACGGCTTGAATGTTGTGGTAAGTAGCCCTTGTCCGGTTGTTCCGTAAGTTCAGCTCGCTAACTAACACTCTCACAGGCATGGGGCGTAAGTGGATTGACGACTCGATATCTTTCTGTTATACACATCTAACCCTTCACCTCTAGGCAATGCTTTTCTTCCTGCTGCTCAATGTCGCACCAGCCATGAACCATCCCAGCGCAAACGACAACAACTCAGCGCGCAAGAAATGGCTGGAGATAGACAGTCAGATCCTCAACGCCCTCTTCTGCGTCACAGGCTTTGGTCTAGCCCCATGGCGCTTCCGCGATTGGTACCGCTACACCCGCGCAGTATTCTGGAAGGATGTCCCTGCCATGCAGAAGCTCACAGAGCAAAACAAGGCTTGGTTTCGTCCTCCTGCCTGGGCCACGGAACAGACCGCAAGCCCGGCTGACTCGACTACTACTCTTCCTCGCTCGACAACGTTTACTGGCGAGAAGGCGCCTCCGACACCGCTTTGGAAATTGGGCTTCACTATATATATGATGGTGCTGAACACATTCCTGCAAGCTGTTTTGTGCTATTTCATGTGGGGGTATAATCGCATTGATCGTCCCGTAAGTTCATGTTTCTAGTCCCCCAGGTAATTCGAGCTTCGCGTACTAACTTGATGTAACAGAGCTGGGCTACTGGCACTTTCATCGGTCTAGGTTGCGGCACAGGTCTCTTGGCTGGTCTGATGTCATGGTGGGAGGGCCGCAAGGTCAAGAAGATCGAAGGCCCCGAGGTTAAAGTCGTCGCTGTATGACGGGATCATATCGCGCAGAGTCTGTTCAAAGTCTTATAGAGTTTTAATTTATGTAGTGTATTTAATGGTTAATGCAAGTCTCTGAGCTAGGGCTCGAAGAGAGCAAATGGAATTTCACATTTTAGAAGCAATACTTGCCTTCCTGTAATCGTCTTGTCATTATATGTGACCGGCAAAATTGCACTAACATCTACAGCCACGCGCTCTAGTTAGGTGTAGTTGCACCAACTGTTGTTACGTCCTGAAAATGGCGACCGTATGGACATTCCTTTAATTTGAGTATACTACATAAGGGATATGAAACACCGGTAGGGCGATTGAGCAGTGTTGGTCATGCCTTCATTTTGGCAAATTCTACTAAATTAATGGTCCAGGTTAAGGGAAAGAAATTGCACGCGGATGGCTAAATACGAAATACGCGTATAGTGAAGATCTCCGCGTATTGTGTTATGCACGAGCCAATGACGTGTTTGTGGAGTACAGAATTTGATACTCACATTAGGGGCTGGCACTATTAGCGCGGTACAAGATGTAATGCAATGACTTGAAGTAATAGATAAATAAGAGCAAATATAATGGTAAATCCTTTAGTCTATGGAGATTAAAGGCTTTAATTCATAGGTCAAAGCATGCTGCGATCTCCGTTGGGCTATTGAGCCTTGATAGAGCTAATAATAAAGTTGGAAATGGAAGTTTTGTACTAACAGTCCAGATACGTGTGAGACAGTCAAAAGATTATAAGTACCTGTCGTTATGACTTTGCCAGGCCATTCATTGCACATACAAGGGCGCGTAATTGACACCAATAATCACAATGCATTACTGCAAATCATTCATACTGAGCTGTGTAGGGAGGGCACTGGGACTTCAGAAATCTCAGTTCATCATGTCGACCGACAAAGCGCAACATGCCCCACCAATTCCAGAACCCATCAGCCTTTCGACACTTCCCCTTCCACCAGTTGCACCCAGCAATAATATCGGTGCTTGCACGCCAGAAGTGAATCCAAACGGCACTGGATGCATGACTGCAGCGTCAAACCAGGACTTCCAAGCCGGTGGCTTTCTACCGGATGGAAAGCATGTTTTGGTCCACGTCACTTTTACAGGCGCTCCATCATCTCCAGACCCATCCAGCGTTAACAATGGTAGCCAGATCATTATCGTCAAGACCAACGGCAAGGTATTCCCTAGTGGAAGTCCATGGAAGTGTCTCACTTGTGGATTGGCGGAGCAAAACATTAGAGGATCAAGCCCAACATACAGCTATCCTCAGGCATTTGGTGACGGAAAAAGAATTCTCTTCGGTACGAACATACTCGATTGTGGAGAGCATAACCTGGCTGATGCGGCCTGTACACCGGAGCGCACCCGTGTTTATCCCTTACGGTGGAATACTAGCCCTGATGGGACTGGGGAAGGAGGCGCGATTAGGGAACTGCGTTTGCACCCCGACAACGTCCATCTTGGGTTCAATGCATTCACAACTAACGGTCGAAAGATCGGTCAGTACGCGTACCTCGGGAGATTGAAACTCAACGCGAAGCCAAAAGTCGGCTTACCACTTGTTCCACGTTACGATCTCGTCAAAGTCACCCGACTGTTCAACCCAGAAGCAGACCAACCTATTGCAGCGCATGGTAAACACATCACCATAAACCGAAACGCCATAGCTGTAGGTGAGCTTCGTGGTTTCAGCGGTAGGGGAACTGAAGCTACGTACATCGGCTATCCGGCCGACTCCTCCAACATTGATGTCTTTGCTGTTCACTTGGAGACAGGCAAGGTGCGGCGACTTACAAGCCATCCAGAATACTGCGATCCTATTGCTATCTCGCCTGATGATAATTGGATGGCAGTTTTAGATACGCGGGGAACGGACCGTCAAATGTGGCTCTCTGGCATGAGACACATTCCGCCCGTTACCGACCTGATCAGTACGACAATTACATCCTCGACAAGAAACAACGGACAGAGACGATTCTTCAGACCGTATATCTTGGATCGTTATGGTGATCGTGGGGAATACTTCGGCCAGAAGATCAGTGGGGAAGGGGAAGGCGTTCCTGGTAGTGGCGATTATAATGACCCCGAATGGAATGCAATGGCTGACCCGAGATGGTCTCCTGATGGCACTCAGATTGTTTACGCTGAAGCTCAAACGCTGCCTCCTGCGTGCGGAGGGATCAACCCGCTTCCTTGCTATGCGTCTAAGGAGCCGGGAGGCAGACGAGTACGTGTAGTCGTGGCAACTCTTGCATCTCGGGAGCCCCTCGATCTTCCTGCAGTGGATGTCATCTCGGATGAGGTCCCCTGGGGGGTAAAGTACTCCCCAGGAGACATTGATCCACAACGTCCGGAGCCGACACCTGGAAACTACACACTGATGGGGCTCAGTTGTGGATATGCCGATGTCGAGATCGTGGGGGGAGATGATGCGTGTATCAGTGGGATCAGTGTTGTCTATCATCACTTCTCAGATGATGGAACAACGTTCCTGTCAGGATCAGAAACAGTTCGCACCACGTTTCCATCCCTGACGCTCAGCCATGTCGACTGGTATTCTAACCTGACTCAAACTGGAAACTCGAAGAATACAAAGAGGACAAGCCCAGATGGCTTTCATCTGACTATTGACGTTTTGAGGAACATATTCCAGGCAAATGGGACCATGAACACCACGATTGACGGCAATCTCAATACACAGCCTGCAAATGGAACCTGAGACAATGAGGATAAACAAAAATGGGGTAGAATGTCGTAATCTGGCGAAACAACTCTCGTCACAATCTATCTATTAATACATGTATCCAATCATCCCTCTAGCTATCTGATGATAGGGGCGCTCTACGGTATACCTCTAAACTCCCGATGAGCCTTGAGACGACTACACGCTATGCAAGGGATACTCATCTACCGTATACCTGGGCTTTTCGTCTCCCAGCTTGTTGATGACTTTGCTTGGGTGGAAGACATTAAAGAGAATAGCAACAAAGGACATGAGCGTCGCATCGAAGATATAGAGCCAATACTCATGAGCCTGCAACGCCCCATCTTTCCCAAGAACATATTCCGCGACACGGAAGACTGAACGAACGAGGATAAAAAGGCTCGAAGCGTAAAGGATGAGAATCAGCTTCTCCCAAGGAGTGTTCAGGACAAGCGATCGAGATGTTGGGCGAGAGCGAATCCGCATATGAAAAACAACCGTGACAACCATAAAGAAGCCAAAGAAGACGATCTGAATGAGCAATCCGCCAACGATCATGTTCTCACCCATTTTGACGTTATCATTAGATTTTGCTGAGGCGAGCATACCGCCACCTCCACTCTGTGCCAGGAAAGATAGCACGTCGCCGATGACAAACACCTTGGTCAACCACTTCGTTCGAATCAGGGATAAGTGACCGGCATCCAAAAGAACTATCAATCGGCCCAATATCATATAAATCGAAGTGGCGAGAAGTGCAGGACCGAGGAGGAGTAATATCGACTGCATGATGTACGGGTTCTTGGTATAGTCTGGAGCTTCCTTTGCGGAGAGCGCGCGGCCGACGTAGCCGAATGCCTCGACTTTGGAGAATCAGTATTCTTCCATCATGTAAAGGCAAGGACACTTACAGAGACAGCCAATGAGGAACGGGACAAAGTACCATGTTCGATGCCTGAACATCTGCCATAAGTGGATAAGAGCGGCAGTAGTGAAGATGATGACAAATGCGGCAGCCGCTGGCAACGAGGGCTCGTAATTGTAAAACTTAAAACCTGCCATGATGATGTTTTGTGAAAGTGATGGTAATGAAAATGATTGTGAAGTGCCGAATCTGTTACAAATGAGAGCGTTTTGTTCTGTAATGACAGGTAAATAGATGCGAAAGAGAAAGAAATGAAACTCAAGAACGATAAACTAATGAAAACAATAAATGTGAAGCAGATACTGAGAGAAGATCCGAAATTATTAGTCTGTATTGCTGAAGTACTTATAGAATGCATTGAGAACTCCTGTATTGCAATACGCGAACTTGGCCCCTGGACGCGTAGGGGCGCGTACCTGACACCGCATGTTCCACCACAAGAGGGGGACTGGACTTCAAATGTCTTAAGCTTATTTTTGACCCGCTTCACTAGCCATTCAGCTTGCTGTTAACAATATTATCTGTTAGCTGAGATACGGATACTGCGGAAGGCCTGGTTGCTATACACGTATAGCCAGTACCAGCAGGGATATGTAGACTCGTATAAGTGGAACAAGTTTCGTGTATCGCCATTGACGGTAAGTACGGTAGGATTTCCTAATTATAGAATTTCTCTAGCAGTATATATGCTGCAACTTTCGCTGTCAATTGCCTACTTCTAATGGGCGAGGTCCTTCTTTCATACGCTCTGGGTGTTGTCAATATCTGCAGTAGCCCTCCCGATATGCACATGGTACCTCCTTTGGCCAGGTGCTTCCAGTCAGCGAAGCAATAAGGAGGTAGAGAACTTCACAGTCGCTAATTGTCATGCTATATATAGCATCCTCATTATGCTGCTGTGGAAGGCATTCAGCATTATGAATCCAGATCTTGAGCTACAGCCTCATCTCTGACAACATGTTCATTCCCACATAGCATCTAGCTAAGTCATGTCATCTATTTATAGATGCGTTCAAGCCACAGGCTCGGTTAAGTCAGAGCTACATCATCATCAGTCCACCAAAATCCACAAGTTCCGAAGAAAATAAACAATGGGCCATTAAACCCGAGAGACCTAACTGCATTGACCCCTTCAAAGCCCGTTCGCCATGTTGTTCCATTGGGATCAGCCAAAGAGCATTCCCCGTTTACGAGAAAAATAGTGGAATGCACGTGACAGCCCGAGTCTTTGGTCGCGTTTTTCTTCGGGTTTCTCCTCAACGTCTCTTCCAACTCAGATCCCTTTTAAACTGTGTATTTCAAAAATGCTGAGGCCTGAGACACGTCTGGAATGGGCGTTTGTTGGGATAACGGCTGCTCAGGCTGTTATCATCATTTCTGTGCAAACGTAAGCCCCCGATCCCTTTTTTTATGGCGCAAAGCAACTGACAGTATCAGGGCCATTCTTGTTGAGTACCTTCATTGGGTTAATCCCGTTGTATACCAAGTCCCAGTCTCATATGTTACGCCTGTAGCCTCTACAGTGTCGATTATCAGTTTTGGGTTCCAAGCCGTTCTGTCCGTGGATTCGTGCCGCATCAAGAACAAGATCCAACTATGAACTCAATGTCTTCTCAGCATTTGCTTCTCAATCTCCATTGGTATGGAATACTTCCAAATAAGAGGCGCTACGCAGAGAGTTAGTCGCGGTGAGGACATGTACAAAATGCCTTTTGCAGACAATAGCATGCCGTATTGGGATATCGCTGGCCCAATGTCAATTACTTGCATTGCTGTAGCATCGGCGTGCAGTCTTTGTATGTCTGCGTTGGCCTATTACCTTCACATAGAGTTCTCATGGTCTTTGTACGAGCACATCAGCCCGGACCTGAAGATGACAGCGAGACACGTCAAGTACCTAGTATGTGACCAACAGTCCTAGTAGGTTGTATACTAAACCTGATAGGCATATCTGGTGTTTCTCAAAGTCTCCCTCTTACTGCTAAACCTGTTTCTTATCACGTATGGCCTTGTGGATGTCCATTACCGAGAGCCAGAGTTTGGACTGACCATGACAATCATTCCTGTCTCAATCATCCACGCCATTCTTGCTGGTGTATGCGTCAAAAATGAACATATGCTAGGTATGACATTAGCGATAGTATGTAATCCCTAAAAAGTCATATAGCTAGAACTGACGGCTGTCAAGATGTTTCATATTGCGGCGATAGTGTACCTAAGCACGCGGCTCATAGTGCTAACTGGCAATGGCCTGCTGGCACGCACATTGATGAAGGAAGAGATGTTGCTATTTGCCTCATTTGCTCTTTCTTTCAACATCATATCTGTGACTTTTGCTGCCATGTGCGTGTTCAAATTTGGAAAGGGATTGAAGCCGCTACTGCAAGGACAAGGCACAAACAACATACCTACTTCAACGAGCGCATTTGAGCTAAACCCGCGGCATTTCAGCATCCGGACTATGGACAGTGAGCGGATTTCTAAGCGCTTTGACATTGATTAGATCTCTATAGTATACTGTTACCAGGCCTACACATTCTATAATGCCTGTACTCTTTCTTACTTTCCCCGGCTTATCTTAGACCTGACTTCCGTTCATATAAGAAAGATAACCCGGTAGTATTAGACCGTTCGCGAACATGGTACATAGCCGCTAGCACAGCCGAATGAGCGGGTATGTTCCCGCTATCGGCGAAGAGACTCTTGGTGCAGTGATTGCTCCTAGCTTGCTGCCCGCACCAATATTGTGTAAGGTTAAATTCAAGCTTAATTCAATCTCAGCCACAGTCTGCGCGTTCATTAAAGATTTGTTGAATAGAAGATACCTCAAGATCGTTCACTGTGTGGATTCAACTTGCTCTTGGTCCTCGTACTCTTGTCCCATGCGAACACAGCACTTCAACTCCCTTGACCCGTTAGAGGGTATGGCAGTTCAATCTAGATGAGTATATACTTCAATCAGCACCCGTCTAAGTTCCCTGATATGAGATATGTCTTAACAAGTTTGCGATGAAAGTTGGCCTCCGTGGTCGGACTGCCAAGTGATAACAGTGGATCACAGAGCTTGGCAATACAGGAAATCGCGGGGTTACAAGTTGACCTTTATCTTATTCGACAATGATAATCACCTACTAGTATCAAGAGGGAAGCTCACTGCAACACCGGGACTTGGCTCGGAGGTAACTAACTATATATAAAAGAAGGGAAATATGCGTTTTAAATAGCCTCATCCAGCAAGCAACGATGCATTCTCTTGTATTTTCAACTCTTCTTTCTGGAGCCGCAGCGCTGTCTTATGCAGGAAATAAAGTCCCTTTTGAGACGGATCCTCCCCAAATTGCTGCCAACTTTCCGGATGTTGATCAAAAGCTCTACTCTCCAGCCTTCATCAATCCGGAGAATGTTGCTCCGGGTTTCGCCAATGGCACAGCAGCGCCAAACTCCCAGCAGACGTTGGAGCAGTTCTTGTGGACGCTTGCATCGCGAAACGACTGGATGACCTATCATAACCCTGTGTTCACTTCTGAAGAGGGACGCTCGATTCCTTATGTTGTTTTGTCTGCATCAAAATCGCTATTGCAGACATCGCCAGTAGGTAACACCACTAACAAGGTCAGAGTCTGGCTACAGGGCGGAGTTCATGGGAATGAACCGGCTGGTGAACAAGGACTCCTTGCACTCCTCGGCAAAATGGATGCTGAACCGGAATGGGCACTTGGACTTCTGGAAAAGCTCGATATCATTGTTCTTCCGCGATATAACCCTGATGGGTCGGCTTATTTCCAGCGTCTTCTGGCGACAAGCTTTGACCCCAATCGAGACCATACCAAGATGGCTTCGCAACAGACCATGGAAGTCAAGCAGTTGAACCTCAAGTTCAATGCCCATGTCCATCTCGATTGCCACGAGTACGGTGCCCGAAGAGGCTTAACATATCAGAACAAAACCTATATCCCGGTCCAGGACAACCAGTTCTCAGCTTTTAAGAACCCAAATGTCCACGCCGACATTCGTTCCATGGCGGAATCTCTGTTTGTCCCAGAAGTCGCCAGCGCGCTACGAAAGAAGAATCTTACAACGAACGGCTACGTTGTTGCATCACAAGACAACGACACCATCAAACTTCAAGACTTTGTCACCGATACCCGCGGCGAAGTCACTATTTTTCTTGGTCAAGGACTAGCTTTTCTCTCAGAGACAAGAGGAATCGGAATTGGAGATCGCAACTTCCAGCGCAGAACAACAGCCGGTTTGACTGCCGCTGAGACGGTCTTGCAAGTTGCCGCTGATAATGCGGAGCTGGTATACGAAACTGTCGAGGAAGCGAGGAAAGACTTTATCGAAAATGGCCACGAGATTATTGTGAGGGATCAGCCAAGATGGATGGAGACGACATGGCCATACCTTGATGCTGAGACTGGAAACATCACAGAGGTTCCTGTTTTGTTTGGTAATAATACTCCTCCCGCTAGTAACCTTACCCGCGCTCGTCCAGAGGCCTATATCTTCAGCAGAGCCTGGGCCAACGCTGCTCTCCGCCTCCGAGCAGCTGGTATTATCGTGGATGAGCTTGCTGTCGACTTTGAAGGTGAGGTGGAAGCATACAACATCACATCTGCGACACTGGCAGAGACGAAGTATGAAGGTATTGCATTGACTACAGTAAATACGGAGTTGAGCAAGAAGATAATGAGGTTTCCTGCTGGGGCATATTGGGTTGGTACAAAACAGCAGCATGCGGCGCAGGCCTTTGTCAGACTTGAACCTGAGAGTCCAGATGGGTTCGTTACGTTCAATATCTTGCCTGTCAATGCAGGGGATGAGTATCAGGTCTATAGAATTCCGGCTAAGAGTCAATAGTGTGAGGCAGCAGGATAATAGGATAAAAAGATGTACCTATAGTATTTCCGCGCTTCTAACATATTTCCATGCAAAAGTTCAACATTAGCCAACTTATCCTAGACTAAATCCCCGTCGCAGTTATGTGTGTCTGCGCATGTCTCAAACATCAATCGAGATATCCCAGCGCTATGGCTGTCTGCAAGGTCACAGTTGGGCGTAGCCAGTATGGGCTAGGACGGTTGATACCGCATGATGGTCCGGCATGAGAGAATTAACCGTCGGGTATTTAGTCCCAACGACGCCAACCGTATCCACTGTCAGATACGTACCAATGATACTCTATCAAGCTGCAGATCTCATTTGTAACGGGCCGATATGATAAAAATCCCTCTGAGGCGTCTTAGCGCATTGAGAACTGTTATATCCAAAATGCAAGTCTGAATAACTGACTTCTATCCAAGATTCATAGTGAAAGGACTAATACATATCCCCAATCGCCATAGCCACAGATCTCTCATTCTTTATCACTTCAACTATCTCTATCAAATAAACATCAACTATCTCAATCTAATAAACATCAACTCCCTTTTCTACTCCAACACAAACAACAACCAAGCAACACAACAAAATGTCACCAACCTCTTCACCCCCAGCCTTGGTCATGGGCGGAGCAGGCTTCAGCTACCAACTGAACCCTGACCCGGAATCTCTTCCTATCGTCGACATCCTCTTGCGCGCATTCGAGCTTGGCGTGCGCACCATTGACACATCACCATACTATGAGCCCTCAGAGCAACTCATGGGCGCTGCATTATCAGATTCCCGCATCCAGTCTAGATACCAACGGAGTGACTACGAGCTCATGACCAAGGTTGGCCGCATCAAGGAAAACGAGTTTAATTACTCCCCGGACTGGATCAAAAAGTCTGTCGCCAGATCACTGCAGCGATTTGGGACTCCGTACTTGGACGTTGTGTTCTGCCACGATGTTGAGTATGTCTCCTTGGATGAAGCCGTCACAGCTGTTGGTGTACTGCTGGAGTTTCAACGAGCTGGTGTTATTCTGCGGGTCGGAATCTCAGGATACGACATTGATGTTCTAGCTGAGGTTGCTAGCCTTGCCGGACAGAAATATGGACACACTGTCGACGTTGTTCAAACATGGGCTCAGCTCACTCTTCAGAACACACAAGCCGAGACCCGTGGTTTTGATCGTTTCCGCGCAGCCGGCGTTAACTCAGTCTTCTGCTCCAGTCCACTGGCTGTTGGGCTATTGAGGACAGGAGGTATTCCTCTTGGGCTGACAGGCGATTGGCACCCTGCGCCTCAAGGTCTGAGGGCTGCTGCGGCCGAAGCTGCTGAGTGGATGGACAAGCACGGAGAAGAAGAAACTCTATGCTCGCTCGCGATGCAATATGCTATTGTGAAGGCAAAGCAGAACTGCACTCCTTCGTTCTCGGTCTCAACCATAACAGGAATCAGTACTCTTTCAGATCTGGAGCAGAATGTGGTTGCAGTCAAAAGAGTACTAAAGACTGATGGAAACTCCGAGAGCTTACGAGACTGTACCGAGCTAGACCCTCAAGCAGTGGAGAGCAGATTGTCGCTCGCTGAGCGTGTTCGCCTGATCATTGGGGAGTGGTTAGACTACGACTTTTCTGGGAAGAAGCCCAAGACAGTGAGCAGCGTCTCCAACGGGAATGGTGTCGATGATTCTGAGGCAGTAAATATTACAACACCGAAGAACAAGGAGTTGAAGCAATTCGCAACGATCGGAGTAGCAGCGTGAGGGAATCATGCGCGTTTATAAATTTACACCAGGTAGCGTCCGCAGAGGAACAAAACAATATCCTTCTTCCGTCCTTTCAGCATGTTCAATGTTTTATGTTTGTTTTGTTTAGGGCCTTGTTTGATAGAGTAGCTAGAAGAATATGAATCCTATTTCTATCGCTTCCCTTAATGTTGCACGATGGTAGTGTGATTGAGTCTAATTGAGCTGTTCAAATACACCCCCCTCGTCAAGGTCTCCATCGTCTTTGGCGCAATTATGAAGCTTAATGCCATCTATTAACAACTAGTGTATCGGTGTTAAGGAACGTAGGTGCTGTTGGTCGGAAGTAGACGTGAGTGAGTTTGCACGTCGCCTATCTCCCGCCTATCTCCAGCTCCCGGCCTCAATTGTCGGCAGGATGACGACCTGTCTTAAAGGTGCTTTTCAGCTCGTTACCGATTTAGCTGGCACGGCAAGAAGTAAGACTATGTTAAGCTCAGGTAACTAATAAGACTCCATTCACCAAGTTAGTGGCGGTCGGAAACGCAGAAGAAGCTCGTCGCTCGGTGACATGTAATAAGTTAGAACGAAAATTGCAATGCGGTTGAACCGATAGTCCAAGGTTGAAATACACCATGGTCTCTAAAATGCCTTGACCCTCGGTTGGTTAATAACAACCTCTGCCTCCTTACTTGTCCACCAACTGGCGTCGTTGCCCGGATATGCAAACCTCACCAGACTTTCCGGCTTCATCTCCACGCTATATCCCGGCGTCAAGGGCGTGACATAATGTCCATCAACAACCCTCGACGGATGGTGGAAATGCTCATGGAGATGATCCACGTACTCTAAAACACTCTTCCTGCCGCTGATGACAACGTAATCAATAGTACTCAAGTGCTGCGTATACTCTGGTAGTCCTACACCGCCTGAATGCGGGACAATGGGGACCTTGAACTTTGCAGCGAGGAGCAGAATCGCCAGAACCTCGTTTACACCACCGACACGGCATGCGTCGGGCTGGATGATGTCTACGGCGCCTGCTTGGAGGAGCTGTTTGAACATGACGCGGTTCTGGCACATTTCCCCTGTTGCTACTGCGATGGCGCCGTGTGTTGTGTTGGATAGACCTTGGCGGATAGCAGCGTGTCCGAGGATGTCGTCTGGAGATGTTGGTTCTTCGATGAACCATGGCTTGAACTCTGCGAGAGCATTCATGTGTGTGATTGCTTCGGTGACGGACCATACCTGTATTAGAGAGTAAGTTAAGTGTTCTCAGACCTAGGGGTTGGGTCATACCTGATTCGCATCCACCATGAGTACGTTGCCTCTATCATAGCCCAACACATCACGGGCGATCCTTAGTCTCTGCCGATCTTCCTCAAGATCTGTGCCAACCTTGAGTTTGAAGTACTTGAAACCCTCCTCCACACTCTCTTCAAGTAGCTTCTTCATCTTATCTTCACCATAGCCCAACCAACCGGCACTAGTAGTATACGCAGGAACCGCACGATTATCCAAAGCCTCCTGAACCCTCTCAGCCTTGCCCTTCTGTGCTGCTCTCAGGATTTCCAGGGCATCATTTGGACTCAGCACGTCGGAAATATAGCGAAAGTCAATGCACTGGATCACCTCTTCCGGCGTCATGTCCGCAACAACACGCCAGACAGGCTTCCCTAAGGTCTTTGCCCACAAGTCCCAGATTGCATTGACGAGGGCACCGAGAGCGAGATGTATAACACCTTTTTCCGGACCGACCCAACGGAGTTGTGAATCTGAGGTTAAGTATCGCCATGTTTTGCCCCAGTTTTTGGTGAGCTCAGAAAGATCTTTGCCTTGTATCAATGGAGCGAGGAGGTCGATTGCGCCACAGACAAGGTCGTTTCCACGGCCAATTGTGAAGGTCTACAATCATGGTGTGAGACGCAGTTCGATGCAGAGTCGGGGGTGCTTTACATACCATGCCATGACCGGTAAAGTTGGGGTCGTCGGTTGCAATGATACAAAACGCAGCTGAGTAGTCTGGTGAAAGATTCATGCCATCGGAGCCAGCCTTGTCCAGTGAAGTCTTGGGGCTGTAGTTAGCGTATATCAAGTCGACCGTTTCTTTAACCACCTACAGGAAACCGCACATCGTGTGAGGTAATATTCTTTATTACAACCATGGTTACTTAGATGTCGAAGGTAACTTCTCTTAAGTTTGAGCAGAAATGTATGGCTATACCAGTGCTTCGACAACAGAGTGTTTTATACTAAAGCTACTTATAATTGCTGTACCAGGTCACCTCCACTCAAATCCCCATTCAAAGAGCGTCAGGTAAATCACACTCATCATGTACTACAACTAACAGCAAGCCATTGCTTTATTCTTACCGAAACTGGTAACTAGCTCCTCTATAGCAACAGTTCTAAGTTCACAGTAGAGAGTAGCTAACGCCTTTTTCCGGATGCTTCAAATCCACAAGAATAGAAAATGTAGGGTAGCGTTAGACTTTACCGAGAACAGCCTAGTATCTTCCCCTCACTCTGGCAATTTGATGATTGGCCCAGTTCCCCGCCGTCGGATAAAATAAATCACCCTTTGGACGGAGTAGCATTCCGGCGGCAAATTACCAAATACCCGGACCTCGCACGGATGTTTCTCTGCCTCCTTAATTATCCTGATTATAGTGGGCGTCCCGCAATGTTTCCAAGCAGTGGATAATCATGGATCCTCATCATAATGAACCGCGTCAACATGCCAAGAGGGATCCACCGAGTGGACGGAAGCGAACAAGACTTGCTTGCGATAGATGCAGCACTTTGAGAGTCCGTTGTGATGGTCAGCAGCCGTGGTGAGTAACAGGAGCAGAACCCCAATTACATGCAGGACATTGAAGAGCTGACGTTGGGATACACCCCAGTCGTCGTTGTCAAGGTAAGCATGCGACCCGCGACATGGGGTAGAGTTGTGCTTACCTACTCATGATTTAGAGTACCAATCAACATGTCATTATACTCGAAGTATCGGTAGACGTGGCCGTAAGCCAAAGTCAGCAAATCGAGTACAGCAGCCACAGCAGGACCGAGAGCCTGACTCATCAGAAGCTGATTGCGATCTTGAGCAAAGCACACTGAATTCACAGCCGGAGCAGAGCGGGACATATGACGTACAGGAAAGTCCCGGCCTCCCCGCAAATCCCCAGGACACAGTCTCGTCGCAATACTCGTCCAGCCACTCATCACATCATGATGCCGTATCTCTTGACATGCCAGCCGATTCAATTCCGGCACCGACCTTTGATCAACTGTATCATGTAGCTGACATTCAGCCTTCCTATCCTCTCCCTGATTTCGACCTCGCAGTCCATCATGGCGCCGCTTCTGTTCACGAGTCACCTACACGCGAGCGAGCCTCAACAATCACCCAAGACTTGCCGTCTCGTGGATGCCGTTACAAGTGTCTCGAACCAATCATTCCCTTACTCCACGGTATCATCGATGCCAGGCTTGTCTGTGAACTGTTCGAGCTCTACTTTGTTGAGCCAGGAGGATCTTTGTTCAAATCTTCATCTCCATACGTTTTAGCACACGTCATGCGAAAGGAATCGCTCCTTCGAGACGAGAACCCACGAACATGTACGCCAGCTTTATTGGTAACCATGCTGTGGGTCAGTGCACAGACAGCAGAGAGTTCCTTGTTCCTGCTGCCAGGCCAGAAGGCAATCGTGTGTGAAGAGCTGAGAAAGTTGATGATGGGCCTAATCCAGGGGAGAGATCGCGACGTTTGGAACAGAACTACAAGTCAGTAAGTCTTATCTGTCTTATGAACTCTACCAACTCAATCTATTAGGCGGTCCCCTTGTGAGAGATCTTGAGTATGCCACGGCTGGTGATCAATATCGCCAAGAGTACCATATTGGATCAGCCTCTGCCGTCTCTCCACCAGTTCCTCTGGTTGATGACGTCCTCATGTTCATCCTCGTCACTATCGTCTCTTCTGGCGGCGACTTCAAGACAGATTGCCTCCGGTGGTGGAATAAAGCACTACGACTATCTCATAATATGGGCTTGAACAGGGAAGACTCGCCCGAGAACAGCTTCACACAGCCAGAAACATCTCTTTGCACGAGTCAAACAACCTCGTGCGGCTGCAGGTCCTGTGAAGCATCACGCACAGGATTGACCATACAAGAAGTCCGAGAAGAGCGTCGGAGAGCGTTTTGGTTGATCTTTTGCCTCGATCGCCACTTGGCTCTATCATTCAACGCACCACTGCGCATCCTCGATGACGAATGCCAATTGCATGCACCGCTTTCAGATGAGGCTTGGGCAGCATTATCGTCAGAACGAAACCCAATTGATACAACATTTGGTAGCAGCTCACACTCGGCAAACTTCGGCGCTCCAACGCGTATTTCTGGTATCGGCTTCTTTGAATACTTTCTACCACTTATGACGATCCTTGGAGATGTTATCCAACTGCACAGACAAAAGTCCCATCCAAGATTTGGCAACATGCGAAGAAATCAGGTCAATGGGCAGGAGGAGGAAGATGACCCGGCTACAGCAATGATAGAACAAGTCATGGCGCAGTGTGCACAGAGCATAGCCGATCTGGCCAGCGCATACCAAGTCGATGCGCTTGACGCCTCAGCTATACCAGCGAGTCAAGTGCGCACGCCTCAATGCGCGATATCACCACAACAGAGTCACGGCGATCCTCCCAGGACTTCACATACCGCCAGTCACGCCTCATCACACCGTCAACACGCGCAAGCTCAGCTTGTCACTGCATACAGTACATTCATACTGCACGTTCTTCACGTCCTTCTCCATGGAAAATGGGATGCTGTATCAATGCTGGATAATAAAGATGGTTGGATACCATCTGTAGGCTTCATGAAGTGTGCATCTCATGCTATAGCTGCATCTGACGCCATGTCGCGAATCCTGGCGTGCGACCCAGAGCTTTCATTCATGCCATATCTTTTTGGCATTTATCTTTTACACGGAAGCTTCATATTGTTGCTTTTTGCAGATCGTATGCCTCAGATCGGGTTGAACGAGTCTGTCGAAAAAGCTTGTGAGATTATTATACGAGCTCATGAGGTTTGCGTTGTTACTTTGAGCACTGAGTTTCAGGTATGTTCCCTACCATGCCATATACCAGAGTGGCTAGCTCAATGCTAACTTCTGTGCGTAGAAGCGGTTCCGAAAAGTGCTTAGATCGACTCTATACAGCGTGAGGAGTCCAGCGACATCTAACTTGGAGGAGAGTAAAGCTCGCCGCCGGGCATTATCTTTGTATCGATGGAACGAAGGTGCAACTGGCCTGGCACTCTAGCCGTTACTTGTTACTTAATATAACTCATGCATAAATTGAGGCACAGAGAATGGATCCTTCATCCAGTTGATGAGTCACAAATCTCTCACACATGATCCGTTTCAGGGTCTGTCATTTGCGTTACTACAAGGGCTCTGATTACTCAATACTGAAAGTGTAGGTGCTCTAAGTTGTGATCTATAAAGACCATTTGAAGTTGAGATACGTACCAATGGAATCATATCACGACACAGAACTTAGTGAAACATGCGAAGATTCATTAGTCAGGACAACAAGACGGATCTCTAGAGTGGAACAATATGAACAGGCGATCAATCAAAATATAACCACTTGAGTTTATTGCTAGGCCCTAAGGGCGACTTACAAGTGGTCCAAGGATACGAAGAGACAATCTCATGAGAAAATAGAAATCGAACTAGCCCAATTTACCATAGACACCAAGTCGGGACCAATAGATGCTGAAATCCATCATGACTTGACCTCTCCAACCACTGTCTCATGACGCTGCTCATCCTGGCTGCCCTTCTCTCCCCACTCGGCGATGCTGGATGGTTCGGTTGGAGTGTTCTCAAAAGCATCGATGCCCTTTTTGTAGCCAGGAAGAACATTGACGCAGAACGGAAAAGTCCAAGCAGCCACAAAGAACGCCAAAGGAACAACCATGGCTATTCCCGTACCGTGTCTGTCTGCAGCCACGCCAGTAAGAGGAGGAACACAAGCACCACCAATGACTCCACCAATGATAAAGCCACTACCGCGCTTCGTGTGTCGACCGAGACCTCTCATGCCTAGAGCGACGATTGTTGGGAAACAGATGGATTCGAAGAACAGCACCACGTAGAGCATGGCAATTCCCGTATTACCCCTCTCTGTGATTGAAGGGCAGAGGAAGATAACACACATGCTCAAGAACACGAGAAAGATGTGGCGAGGCTTGAAATACTTCATGAGGAAGACGCCGAAGAAGCGACCAACGGCAAATGCGGCCTGTGCACCTGCAAAGAGTTTGGAGCCAGTGGAATCGCTGGTGTTCTTTCTCGTTTCGGTGGCATAGTTGATGAACATGCTTGCAATACCGACCTGAGCTCCACAGTAGCAGAACTGTGCGAAGGAGGCATGAAACAGTCGGTATTGCTTGCGTAGAGGCTTATCGTGGGTATCGGAGTTGGAGGATTCAGCTTGCTGAGCCATATCTAGATTTGAGGAAATGGTGTCAGAATTGGAGATCTCGGAGTTCGCCACGGGCATTGCAACGTACCAGCATCAGTGATCTCAGGGATGTTTGAGAAGAAAAATAGGGTGGCGAGAAGCAAGACGAATACGGCGATGGACAGATACACCCACTGCACATTTGCCAATGCCTTTTCATCGTCAAAGTTGAAGAAGACATATGAACCAAGAACCGGTGCAACAACCGAGCCAATACCGTTGAAGGCTTGTGACAGGTTGATTCGCATTTCGGCATATTTGGGAGGGCCACAGACTACTTCGGATTAGACACCAAGAACGTAGGAGGGCCACTGCGAAGGCTTACCAGTGATAAAAGGGTTGGCAGCTGTCTCAAGGGACCCAAGGCCATTGCCGATGATGAAAATGGCGGCACAAAAACCTCCAAAGGACTTTGCTTTGATAGCGGGAATGGCAATCAGGGCGCCGATAGCATAGAGACTGAGTCCCCAGATGAAAACAGCCTTGTAAGAGTAGTGTCGCAGGATCCAAGCTGCATGACCGAGAGAAGCGAGCGGGTAGGCACTATCAGAGTAGCATCGTTAGATGTGACGAGACAAAATGGAGTAAATGAGACGAACCCAAAGTAGGCAGCTTGCAGCCCAGCAGATCTCGCTCTGTCGATGTGCAGAGTCACCTGAAAATGTTTGTTCAGAGTGTCCAAGAGACCATAACTAAAGCCCCAGAGGAAGAACAAGACCGTAACAAGTGCAATGGGCCAAATGGACTCGCGCAAGGTAAGGTCTGCGGCTTTGGTCACTCGATCGTCGGAGACTTTGAGTGATCTCTTCTTGAAAAATGCTCGAACACCCATCTTGACAATTGGGAATCTGATTGAAGTCGAAGGATTTCCTGGGAAGGTATCGAGATACAGAGCCAGAGAGCTGACTATGCTTGCTGATGGAGAAGAGGAGCAGTATGGAGGAGTTTGTAATTATTTATATCCACTTCGCATGTAGATCTTGAGCTAAACTACCCCATGGGGAACAGGGAAGCTTGGACGAGGAACTGTATCTGGGGTAAGACCCCCAAGACTGATAGTTAGCCCGTCCAATTGGGTTATTTCCTTCATGGTTGTAGGCGGGGGAGCGAACTCGTCCCGTCGGATAATTACACCTAGTACTACCCCTCCCCCGCTCATAACAACCATCATGAACTAGCTTGGCAGCCCTGTCACTTGACGACTACGTATTGGGGAATCGCATTCTTTGTCTTTACATGGAATATTGTATAGCAAGTGTCGGATGGAAAATAGGGCGATGTTGGGGGTGGCTGTTTTGGCGGTCTTATCGTAATATTGATCGCTGTGGCATGTCTATAGCGTGGCAGTAGATGGTGAGCCAAGTGCTAGGGTGATAGTGTTTTCCGCAATATCGTGCCCAGTAAGAAGACTGATTTAGATAGTTACGAAAGCGACGGGATCGCTGTTTGCAAACTTCTCTCGGCTGAATGATGCAAGATTGTTACTAATGAATGACTCGTTTCTAGAATCATAGATCTAGCATCTCTTGCTTGTGAGGTTGAAAACAAAAGGCCGTTTCTAATAGTTTGCGACCTTGTTAGGCCATGAGAGACTATGCCAATAGTTATGATCATTGCACCCAGTCAAAGCAAGGGTACCCCAAACTTGATCAAGTTTGGTGCCCCGTGCTTCACGAGCGTTGACGCCAAACTCAGAGGGGATGAGGGAGTTGACCTTTACAGAAACTACAACAGCAAGAGAAACCTTCTGCATTGTATGAACATTACCCCCAACACTAGACGCAATCGCATCTTGTCCCTTCCGCGATATTATCCGAGAGGCTGTCGAGTCAATTGGGGGTCATACACACAAAGCCTTTCAGAGACACTGCAAACATCGCCTACACTATAAGATGACACATCTAGCGCCCCTCTCTTTTAGCTGTCATGTGGTCATACATACAATCTATCGTCATCTAGACTGCCCCTCCTTTCAAAACAAGCCACGGCAACTGTAAACCAGTCAAAATGTCTGACGAGCCTACTCGTCGCTTCGCGCAAATCATCAAGCTCAAACCCGAGCATGTGGCAGAATACAAGCAAGTCCATGCAAGGGTATGGCCCGAGGTTCTCGCTCAGAATGAGCAGTGCAATATCCGAGACTGTACGTTGCAGCCCTCTCCATTGCCAAAGCAACAAGATTGCATAACGCTAACAATTCAAATTTGTTACCGTCCGGCAGATAGTATCTTTTACGATGACCAGAGTCATTACCTCTTTGCTTCGTTCAAATACGTCGGCGCTGATTTTGCCAGCGATATGAAAAGAATGGCTGAGAATCCTCGTGTGAGGGAGTGGTGGAAGATGACTGATGCCTTTCAGGAGAGCCTTGTTCCTGGCGCAGTAAGCTCAGAGTCTGTCGAGCCATCCTGGTGGAAACCTATTGAGGAAGTATTTTATCAGCCTTAGGAAATGGCTTGTACTCACCCTTATGTTAGCAACACTGGGGGAAGGAAATAATAGACATGTGAGAAAAGGACTAGCTTAAGATACTTGAGTTGGCGTTACCAAGTATTGTTTCTTAGGAATGTTCGAACTTCCAGTATGTACAAGATCGAGGTCAAACCGAAGCTCAGAACTATCAAAACACTACAGCTAAAACTTTAGTCTTGAACCGAGATACTTGCCATGCCCTAAGTGAGCAAGACCTTGACTATGGGATTATAAGTTATATGCCTGTCTGGCAGTGCCAAGGAAAATCATACCCTGCTCTTCTGGGGTTAAGCATGCCTCCTGACATAACTGGGCAGTTACATCACGCCAGCGTGACCAAGCATTCGACACGTTGATAGTACAGACAGGCCAATCACTACCAAACATAATGCGCCTTGGTCCAAATGATTCGAGTAACACGTTGAACCATTTCTCCAGCGCCTTGCAGATGTCATTTGTGGAGAGACCATCAACCGGCTCGTCCATCTCTGCAAAGCCGCCGGAGAACTTGACATAAGTATGCTCGTCTTGGCCCAGCTCGTGCATTGCAGCACACCAGGTCATGAAAGCGACATCCGAGGCAGAATTCGCATCGCTCATATCAGGCTTGCAGAGGTGGTCTAGTACCAAGACCAACTTCTCATTCTCGGGTACTTTATCTCGCACCAATCTTGCAAACTCAACAAGGTCTTTTATCTGCTGCTGACCTCGTCGGTGCAGGTCAATACAAACATCGAAAGTAAAGCCGCGACGGCCAAGGAGCTTCGTATTCTCGATGAAGGTATCTTGGAGCATAGTACCGTCTGGCTTATCTTGCAATAGATATCGAAACCCCTTCACCTTTGGCCAAGCCACTCCGGCTGCTTCTTCTACCTTGAGAAGGTACAATTTCATAGCATCTGCGGTGCTAGGAAGTGGTGCCCAAAGCACGATTCCCAGACATAAGTCTTTATCTTCGATACTATGTCCTTCGCCAGGGCGCGGCTGTCCTAGGGCGATACGTTTCATCCAGGCTAGTTCATTCAGAGGCTCCCTCCACCCTGAGCCGTCGAGCTCACCGGACTTTAGGTCATTCTTTCGGTCTGTTTCAACGAAGATGAATCCCGTCAAAGAGGGCTTAGACGCCGTTGCCTCGCGGTATTGGTCGACTGAGTGCTGACCAGCGAGAGGGTGATCATTTGTATACCAAGCAAGAGAATTGGTTTCAGAAGCTGGGAATAAATGGATGTGAGAATCGATGACTGGCATGTTACCGTGAAATTTCATCATGACAGACAGAGGCCGGCTGAGTAAAGCGGCAATAAAACTATTGAGAAAGAGGTAATAATGACAATTAGGATCCCTCTATAGATAGAGTAGCAAGTATCGCTTGTGCTGTGTCAAATACAAGGCTTCATGATCATCTACCAGCCGCAGAATGACCATGCCATATATGTTGGCTAGTGGTGTGCTAGCGGGTTAATGGCTAGCGTTGGCTCGTATGAGATGAACTACAGTGACCCGCCCGCTGATCAACAGTCACCTGGCTCATTTTCCCGTTGCATATTTAATCGCCAAGAATTATCCGCGATGAGTTGGTCGCCAGTACTAAGAAGCAACGCCAAAAAAAAAAAAAAGCCATGAAGTCTGTTTGACGAAGTTAGTGATTTCACTGCAACGTATTATGCGAGATGTAAAAATATGCATAGTGTGGTCAAGTTGATGAATTACATGTGTGTTGAATTTAGGAGATGCTAAGCTTGTAGATTCTAGAAAGCAGATGTTGAATGCTGCTTCTTTGTCGAAGCAACCGTACCTACAATACTTATTTCCCAGTGGCGTATGCAATCTTGATTGTCCAGATGTACTTGTCTCCTTTGATAACATCGTCGGGCAACTCCACCGAAAATGACCCATCATTGCTGGAAGCCTTAAGGACTGTGCCATCAGCACTACCACCCACAGCAGTCACCACATCGCCCTCGACCCAAGGCACAGGCTCTTTGATGACCAACGGGGAAGATGGCTGACCAACATGGTGGATGTAGAATGCATCTGGCTTCGTAGCAAAACGGAGTGACCCAGAAATTTGAGCAGTTGGCCAGTACCTAGTGCCGAAAAGACCCTCACCGTGACTCTTGATCCATTGTCCAGCGTCCAAGAGATTAAGCTGTTGCTGCTTTGGAATGGTCCCATCAGGCTTGGGGCCCATGTTCAGCAGAAGGTTTCCGTTGTTGACGACGTTATCCACTAGAGTCTTGACGATTTCCTCACCCGAGAGGTATTCGTCGTCCGTTGTCATGAAGTTGTATCCAAATGAGAAGGGATCAAGACCACGGTTGCTCTCAAATTTGCTGGCCTTGAAAGAGATACCGGCATACCTTGAAAGACGTCAGCGTGATTGATGACACCAAGTGGACTAGTGGTGAACTTACTCTGGGGTACTGTAGTCTCCAGACGGGCCGCATCGATCATTGAAAGTGACTTGCCTACCCTTGTCACGAGCCCAGTTGAGCCAAGGCGCAAGGACATCTACCGCCTTGTTGGGACCCCCAATGTCACACCAAAGGATCTCGGTTTCATATTCATAGAAGAGGGCCTCAATCTGTGGATTCTGAATATCATCGAGAAAGTCATCGACTTCGACGTAGCCAGTGTACTCAATGCTCTTGTTGGTATAAGGATTGGTCGGTGGTCGCCCATAGTAATTACCCTTGTAATGCTGGTCCCAGCCATACTTGACGTAAGCAGGGTTAAACCATTCCGGCATGCTGAAGTAAGTGCCTAGAATGTGTTAGCCTAGCCAACAGGAGCTCAACTCGTGTAGTATACTTGCCTCGGCGAATCTTGGGGTGTTTGGCTTTCGCAACGTCGAGAAGCTCTTTGAGGAAGTCTCGTTTTGGGCCGTAGTGAACAGTCGAGCGCTTGCTAACTGACTCTGGGAAGTCAAATAGCGCCCATCCGTCGTGATGTTCTGGACATGAAGACGTTATTATGCTGTATCTCGATCCCTATGAAATGACTCACTTGTAACCGGTACGACATACTGCGCTCCCGCATCAGCAACCAGATTCATCCATTCCTCAGCATCAAACTTGGCGGCCGTGAAGTTAGACACGAAATCGTCGTAGTTGAAGTTCTCGCCGTATGTGTCGCGATGGTACTGGTAGGTTTCGGACGGGAAGTCTGGCTGAGTCATGCGAAATCCATACCTGGATTATCAAAGGGTAATCAGCAGAGGGCAGCGACAAGGCATAGAGTCTCACCTACCATTCAGCATAATCCTGTTTTGGCCCTGGCTTGTTTCCAAAGGCCGGAACGGAATAAAGTCCCCAATGGATAAAGATACCGTATTTGATCTCGTTGAACCAATCTGGGTTCCAGTGATGACCAAGGCTGCTTTCCGAAGCAGCGTAGTCACCAATTCCACACTGACCAGAGAAGTCCTTGCTCGAGTTCTTAGGATCGTCTTTGGAGCCCCAGGTTACAACTGCCTTTGCATCGCATTGCGTTCCGGGTTTTACTCCCGCCTTGTTCTTGACGCCAACTTGCACAACAGCGCTTTGATTCGGTCCCAGGCGAAGCAAGGTGCCGGGAGTGGTGGTCTCCAGCGAAGAGGATTCAACGCTGACGTCAAGTACATCTGCCCAGGTCAAAGGATTGTTCTCATCCGAGTTGGTGACGAAAAACTCCACGACCTGCTCGTAGTCACTGCCTTCAAGCCACTTGGAGGTAAGAACAGGATTTCCGATTTCGAGAGAAGCTGGGCTTGTGGCTACGACTTGTTAGTCAAACCATATTTCAAGATGTTGAAGGATCACAGAGTTATTACCTCTTTTGTTGTGCTTTAGAGAAAGCGCTCCTACAGAGGCTGTTCCCAGGCAAAGGACAGTGCCGAGGTGAGAAAGAAGATGTATGTGCATCGCTGATTTGACGACAAGAATCCACGTAGAGGTCTGAAAATCGAAGCTGATCATTGTCCGATAAGCGCAGATGTAGCAGAGGTATTTATATGCCGTGCCGAAAGGTGCGTATGGCTTCTACGTTAGCTGAGGCAGCTTAGTAGCTCAAGTAGACCTAAGTCATAACGTTCAATCAAATGAGAGGAAGATGCAGATCTTTTTCTACACCTCAACCAATCGGATTTTTCAAAGATAGCAAAGTAGTATCTGCAGAGGGTATATAATTCCTACGTTGATATCGTATTTGTGTTGAGATGTGCTTTGACCCCAGATTTAGACGACCCCTGTTTGGAGACTATCCTTCCCCGCATTGTCTCTAGAACTGCGATTTGTGCGGTTGATGTCACACAGGAAGATCTGCAGACGCCGTACTCTTCCTGTCAATTTAACTATGACCATTCTGATCATGCAGCGCCGTGTGATGCTGGGGTATTCTGCCGCACGTATTGGAAAAAAACACAAGAATTGGACATTCTCCTCCCCCGATGTTGGAAAGGTGACCAACCTGGTTCTAAAAGCGCTGGGTAACTTTAGGGAATTGACAGGATAATTACATAATACATATGGATACTTCGACACGAAGGAGTCATGTTGAATTGTATGCTTAATATTAGTCAAAGCCGGATACTGGCTTAAAAGCGAAGGTCTCCGTCCCTCTGCTCAGTCTTCTAGGGCATTACCTACTTGTCTTCCACGGAGCTTAGGCATTGTGGTGTAAGACTTGAGTTATGATAACAAATAATGTTCTACTATAAATTGAGTTTGTAAGAGTGGCTCAGACATCTACACAAGATAAGCAAAAGCTAATAGACGTAATTATTGGCTGATATGAGGCTTGAATGAGTAAACCTGGGGCTGGCACCGCCACCAATAAGCGACTGCCAGCAGTTCAAAACTCAAGGTATCATCTTACATGCATACAGCCGAACATGGCGTGAGCATAATTATTCCCGCAAACCCATCCCCTTCACACTTGCAACCCCATCTTCGCTGAAGAGATGAGACTAATTGATGCGCAAATACTTGTTGAGACGCAATGTATATCGTTTGTGGAATTTTACGGCGAAAGGCCGAGATATGCAATTCTCTCACATACCTGGGAAAGTCACCAAGAGGTCAGCTACCAAGATTGCAGTCTAGAATCGTCCAAGTCGAAATCAGGATACGAAAAGATTCGCAAGACCTGTGAGCTAGCAATCGGTGACGGGCTCGAATATGTATGGATTGACACCTGCTGCATCGACAAATCCAGCAGCGCTGAATTGACCGAAGCCATCAACTCAATGTTTCTGTGGTATCAGGAGGCAAGTGTCTGCTACGTGTACCTCGTAGATAAGTTCGAGGGATCATCGCTGGGAGACTGTCGATGGTTCAGTCGCGGCTGGACGTTGCAGGAGCTGATAGCGCCCAAGTTTATGACCTTCCTCAACAATTCATGGGATTGCATTGGTAGCAAGAACAGCCTCATGAGCCAACTGACAGTTATCACCCCGATCGACCCCGATATACTACGTCACAACGCTCCAATCTCATCCGCATGCATCGCAAAACGGCTCTCATGGGCTGCTGGCCGAAAGACAACTCGTGTCGAAGACATGGCATACTGCTTGCTTGGGATATGCAACATCCACATGCCGATGCTCTATGGAGAAGGCAAGATCGCATTTCGACGCCTTCAAGAAGAAATCATCAGATCGACGTACGATCTGAGCCTTTTGGCTTGGACGCCACCAGTTTCATCGGATGTGCTGGAAGAAGAATACTGCGGGTTCCTAGCCGAGTCGGTGAACCATTTTGCTTCCTGCTCGGAAATGTACTCCGTGACCGACTCCCTCATGGACGAGGGCGAAATCAGCGTGTCAAACAAGGGCCTGAGACTAATGGCCCGAGTGTGTGTTCTGGACTACTCAGATCAGGGTTACAGATACGTGCTGAAGCTGGATTGCATGGCTCCCGGTTTCGAAGGAGATTTCCTCACAATACCCATGCGTAAGGTTGGACCCAATACTTTTGTGAGAGCTCATAGCCTTGGTGAAGGTGATTATTCCTTCCACCTTGAGACTGCTTCTTGGGGCGAGAGTGCGTTTTACACAGTTACTCTTGTCACCACGATGCCTAGTCTGGCCGTACGACAGCCGTTATCCGTGGCCAGAGGCTCTGATCTTATCTCATACAGTCGCTTCACCTTGGTTTCGATAGAGCTGCCGCGGGACATATCGATAATCTACGCGGTTGAAACACCTGTAAAATTCTGGGACGCAGAAGACAGGGCGTTCTTCGGACCTCATGGCTCATATCAAAATTGGGGTGCGTTTGTGCTCGAGACAAATACCCTATTCATCTGCTTTTGGCATAAGGAAGACGGTGAGTGGATCTTCAAGGCAAGCCTGCTAGACATGTCGAGACCAGAAGTCTACAATCTATGGAAAGACCTTTTTCTCTCTGCAGAGCAACTGGGATATCAGCAGATGATCGTTCAGTATATGCTGAACAGCATTGAAGAGGAAATGGAGTCTTCTGTTGAGACGCGGTTCAAGGATAAGAAAATCACACTGTCATTCAAAGCCTGGCGCGCCGAGAGTGAAAATCTGTGTAGCGGTCCGCGGTGGAGGGTTGTGTTCAGCAAGACAAGCTTTGTTAGAGATAGTTCTTCTGAGTCAGAGGGGGATTGAGAAAGACACCTCCAACTTTGGTGACGCAGGGAGAATCAAGTGTTGGAGTCGCCTCAGCCGCAGAAGCTGTGCCAATTACATTCTTTGGAAGATCAGTTGGCCTACCGGCTATAGTTCGGAGCTTTGATTCAATCTTCACTTATCAGCAGCACGCCAATTGCCCAGCAAATGGCTCGTGGACAGCGTGACTCATACCGGTGCCACTGTGGCACTGTCGGCTGCGTCAGAAGCCTAAACCTTGACCTTGTCTTGTCGTCAGCGAGTAGTTGCTTAGAAAGTACAAGATACTCATGCCTTTACAAAGATGGAGTCCCAAGCAAATAAAACGATCGTCAGGAATCTGATCCTAAATGACAAAAAGAATTGGGTAACTTAGCATAAGCTTGAGATGCCTTTTGCCGGTTATAGCAACAGCCTGGAGTGCCGATGTTTTCTTGCACCCCAAAGCCCGGTTCGCACAAAAAATAGTGTTTATGCACCAAACTCTATATACTCATTGATCAGTCACCACCTATAAAGCAAAGACTTTTAGGCTACAAAAGAACGTCAAACTTCCACTTCGCTAATCACTGCACAAACAGAAGACCGTGTCGCTTTTACTGAACAAAAATGGACCTCCTCGACGAGCTTGAATCCATGGCTCAGGCAGCATCAGCATTTCAGGACGATGAGAACATCCCTGAATCAACTATCGCGCGGTGGCAAAAGCTATTTGGCTACTCACCTGCAACGGCCGAGAGGAAGATCAGAGAGCACCGAAACGACCCTCTCCGCTTCCCCGTTTCTGATGATCATTGGTCTGTCGTGCGAGATCGGATGGAGGCCGAGGGACACGACCGAGAATCTTATGAATACTCGTGCAGTGGTAGCGGACGTGATCTCAACCAGCGCCAGGAGATGACCATGAAGGAGAAGCGAAAACTTAGAGCCGCTGTCTTCTTGATCAAGCTCGAAGGACCCTTGAACAGCGTCAAAGCCGTGATCCAAGTAGCGGGCCTGTGGTGTCCATCCTCGACTGAAGTTCTTGCTGCCACCAACCTCTCTGGACAGCCGTGTTCGTTCTTCAAGATCAACGGTATGGATAAGCTGGCCATTGAAGCATGGTTGAAAGAAAATCCTCACCTTGGTTTTGAACCAACCATTATCAAAGATCCGTATGCACTAAAGGATCTCTCGCCCACTTCTTTGTATCTAACGCTGGGTATCGATACAACACTGCCCCAATTTCGACCTGGACCTGCCACGACACCTCGCCCTTCACAGAACGAATACCCGGTCTGGTACTTCTTTTACGGAACGCTTACCGATGCATCCTTTCTATCGAAGCTCTTTGGACCAGATTACCAAGCTCAATACCATGCAGCCACTATTCAAGGCGGAGTTTTGACTACTTGGGGAAAATACTATGCGTTAGTGGACGATCCAAGTCACACCAACTTGGTCCTTGGAAAGGCAGTTCTCATCGAGACTCGAGAACAGGAAGATCGTCTACGGGCATATGAGACAAGTGCTTATGAAGTGGTTCGATGCAGCATCGAGATGGGTTCGGATATGCCTGTAGATGGGTTGACTTTTCGCTTTATCACCGATATCATGGATTAGTCAAACGACCATGACGACAAATTTTAGACTAGAATTATAAGACAATTATCAAAACTTAGAGTAGCACATATTCTGCACTAGAGATCAAACTATACTGGCAGCAAAATATTCGTTCATTGCACACTGTACTGTTATTAAAGAGCTCTGTGATATGTCCTACTTAGTCAAGCAAGGTAAACGAACCAGCAGAGCGTCCATTATCTGCCTTTGCAACAAACACAAGGAGGAACTGATCTCTCGGGACCTTCGCCAGAGGCGGGTACTTGTCGTCGCGCTTGGGTCGTGTGAGGCGACCTGTCCATACCCATTTGTTTCCGGTCCAACTTACAGGAGATGTTGGCTCACCATTGGCAAAGACCTCCAAGCCAATCAAGGACTCAGTTGAGTTTTTCATGTGGCAAGTTCCCGTAACCTTGACTACCCGAACATCTGAGTCATGCGAGTCCTCGTTGACAGATGTAATTGATGCGATGTTGAGAGTTGGTGCTGAAGCTGTAGGAGATGCAGGACCGGAGATAGTAATGGGAATTACATCTGAAGGCAGTGACGGAGCCAACGGGGGAATCTCTCGACGTTTGGTGGCGTTCTCATAGGCATAGGCATAGCTCAGTAGGTTAGAGTCATCATACGCTCTGCCGCAGAACGAGAGTCCAACCGGCATCTTCTCCTCGGCAAGAGTCCCCATAGGCGCAGTTATGCATGGTACCCCAAGATGCTTCAGCGACCGGCCACCATTTGCATACTTAACTCCATCACGTAGCGCAGACATCATCGACTCGTAGTTTTCATCCGAATCAGCCAGTGCAACATCTCCATTCGTCGGAAACACCACAGCATCGTAGTTGTTCTCGGCCATCCAGTCCTCCAAGTCCTTCTTCCGCATAGCCTCCAAGGCCTGAAGCGCCTCCCAACACCCAGGCAGGTCGGCGAGGCTCTTGTCTCCCCAGCTCTTGACTGCAGCGACCATGTCCTCGTAGCGGACCTGATTCTGCGACTCTGTGTGCTGAGAGGGATCATCCATAGGGGCAATGTGGGGGTGAATCTTGTCAAGCTCGACGCCAGTAGTAAAGCTTGATATATCCTTATCGCCGTTGTTGCGAAGGAAGCTGTTCCAACTCAATGCGATCATCTCACACCGCTCGAGGCCTGGCCATTGCTCTGGGAGATTGGGAACATTCATGCTCTGGCCTGGAAAGTCCTGTCTCGTGTAGTTCTCGAAGAGGGGAAAATCTGTCTCAATGACGGTGGCACCTAACTTCTCGAGATCTGCGCGTGCTCTCTCCCAAAGTGCCCTAACGCCCACCGAGCATGCGTTCTCAGGCTTAGCACCTTCAACGCCAATGAAACAGCGCGGGACAGCCAGTCGCTTGTCACGAAGGGCGTCTGGGTTGGCTAAAGCGAGATAGTCTACCGGTCGTATCTCGCTAACCTTTGGGAGTGGTATATATGGCTGTGAGCGCCAAAAGTCAGCGTCGCCGGAAGCGCCATCATCCGCAACAACAACATTGAGAACGTGAAACAGGTCTTCCATAGTCCTTGTGTGAGGAACGACCTGGTCGCAAGTTGGGTACAAAGGCCATAATCCTCGGGGAGGAATAACACTACGGGACGGTGCATATCCAACCAGTGCGTTATTGGATGCTGGCGAGCGACCCGAAGTGACAGCTTCTCCGGCGAAGCCAAAGGTAGCCAAGCTCGCGGCAGTAGATACACCACAACCATAGGAGGAACCGGATGCATAAGCAGTGGGCATATACTTCTGGTTATACGGGCTCTCTGACCGTCCGTACAATCCACGCTGACAGCCACCGTCAGCCATAGGTGGCATATTAGTCTTTCCAAGCACGACAGCGCCTGCTTTGCGAAGCAGTTCAACGATGGCAGCGTCAGAGGTAGCTTCAAGCTTTGCAAAGGCAGGCGATGCAGCTGCGACAGTCATGCCTTTGACCTTGTAGCTGTCCTTGACAGTTAATGGGATACCCTCTAGAGGTCGTGGCGGCTTTCCGGATGCACGGTAATCATCCGATGCTTGAGCTTCAGTGAAGACATCTGGGTTGATGAGAGTAATTGAGTTGAGACAAGGACCTCGACAGTCATATTTGCCGATGCGATGTAGATAAAGAGCAACAAGCTCAATACTTGTGATGACACGGTTGTCAAGCAACTGTTTGAGGTCGCTGATAGAAGCCTCAATTAAATTGAGAGTGGTTTTGCTGGCCATTTTGGGTGAAGAAGATGGTCAAGAAGTATTAGACAGACAAATGGTGCTGAAGAGTGAAGAATCAAGAAACATTAATGACTACGAGGAATATCATCGCTTATATACATGCATCGAGCTACAATCCAACAACATGATTCTACTCTATTTCACCCAAAGAACCTTTCCGAAATTGATTTCACAGTTCTCGACCTGTCTCCGAGAATGAATTTAGGGTTCTTCGCGCATCATCTTCGGAAAATGGCTGGCCTAGCAGGTGAGTGATTGGCTCCGAACTTGAGCCTCGGAGCCGCTAAGCTCTAGAAGGAAGGTCGTCGTGGTCTTTGAGCGCTTCGACTGCGGGGAATGTCCCAACCCTTCATTCAATCAATGAGTTTTTCCGAAGTTAAAGGTCGAAGACACCTTTCATGTTCGGAGCTTACATCAGTTACACAGAGAGCGGATTTTACCTCACTGGCGAGTCACTATGGCCAGGCTGACGAAGGCCGCATGCTGTTGGACATGCAAAATTAGGCACGTCAAATGTGATGGGGCTCCAATAGCTTGCATCCAATGCACGAGTAGGGAGGTTCAGTGCCATGGATATGGACCAATACCATCATGGTTGGACGGAGGCCCAGGCGAAGAACAGGAGAAGCAGCGCATCAAGCAAGCTGTGAAGAAAAGCTTTAGACAGAAGAAAAGGCTTCAGGCACGTCGACTAAGAGATCTCAATCAAGAAGCAAGTCAAGGGGAGAGCCTGCCCAGCGTTTCTGAAGAAGGCATTCAACTCCGAAACACTTCTCAAGGTAGGTGTTTACCTGGCGGTTTAATAGCTATTGCTCACCTCGTAAGTAAATGCCAATTCACGGACCACGCCGTCACCAATTTTGACTCCTCGATCCTTGCAAACCCGGGTTCTCTCGGGACAGTCATTCGCCGAGCCACTTCACTATGATGAAGCCAGTCTTCTGATGCATTATCTAGATCACGTCTTTCCATACCAGTACCCATTTTTTGATAAAGCAAAATTATCTCGAGGCTGGCTTCTTTGGCTTCTGAGCAAGAATGGGCCTCTCTATCGTGCATCCATGAGTCTCGCGGCATTGCATCAGCGATCATTGCTAGGCGACACAAGCAACCATCACCTTGAACTAGAGTTCCATACCAAAGCTGTTAGACAACTACAGGACTTTGTATCATCCATCGACGTCAATGAGCTGCGGCCTGAAAACGAGACTCTGGTGGAGATCATCACTTGCGGTATCGCTCTCATTAGCTTTGAGGTAAAAAAGTCTCAATGGGACCAGAACGCGTGCTGAGAGATAACAGGTCCTTCGAGGGAGTGCAACAAACTGGCAGCCGCATCTAACCGCCATGTCCTCGATCGCAGTCATGATGCATAATCAGCCCCCGCTTCTGCAATCAGTAGATCAGCTTCCGACTCCTCTCTTTGAACGCAAGGCTACCGCAGCTATGGCATTCCATCTCCCCGTCCTGCTATGGATGGATTTATTAGCCTGCGTAGCCACGCGGCAGGCACCAAAGCTTCCATATGATGAATGGCTGGGGCCTAATTGCACATTTCAGCTCGCGCACATAATGGGCTGTCACAACTCTGTCATGAAGTCCATAGGGGACCTCGCAGTGTTGAGTCAGTGGAATTCAGAATCCCTCTCGAGTGGCAGTCTTGATCTTGAGGCTTTTCAGACCAAAAGACAGCAAATCGAAGATGAACTGGAGGGCGTTATGGATACGACCCCCATGGCCTCAACTGGATTTCAAGGATTGTTATCCGAGACTCTACAAAGCCACGCATCCAGCCACAGAAGGTCGGAGCAGCGGCCTGAGCAACATTCTGTTACTCGCATATTTGCCGCCGCGGCATTGGCTCAGCTCGCTGCTTTGGCCGCTGAAGTAACAACTGACATCTCATTGACTACGGTGAGAAGAAGCGTAAGCCGAGTGATTCTAGAGATCAAGATGGCACCCCAAATGGTGTCTCCTCGGCAGCTGAGCTGGCCCATCTGCGTTGCTGGCTGCTTAGCAGATCGAGACCAACAGCCATTCTTTGAAGCGCTACTAAGCAGTGTATTGTCTGAAGGAACTGGCATGATAGGAAACTGTGGCACTGTTCGGGATATTTTGCGGGCTTGTTCGGGGAATAAGGCAGAGCAGCCGGATCAACAGTGGGACTGTAGTAGCACTATGAAGAAGCTGGCCGTCTATGCCCTTCTCATATGAAAGCAGTAGTACATAAGTCTTCCCCAGTCTTCAGGCGTACAGCGTTTTTACCAAAATCTAGGATTGTTTTTGCTATACGTTTTCCTTAAGCCCTACACCCTATGTCTTCGACTCTACGCTCAATCCGACAACTCACTCCTTGATTGCTTACACCGAACGACCCACGTCTTTGTCCGGCATCTCTATACTCTAACATAGCAATAATATATTATATAATATACAGAATAGACTTAATTACTATACTGTTTATCTTATACTACTGATATACTTTTAAGATTTTAGTTTAGACCTGCTTTTATTTTAGATCTATAAGATTTTATAGTTTATTAGTTACTTATAGTGTTTTAATTATCTTAAAGCTATTTAAAGTAAAAAATAAGATTATACTTAATGTATTTTTAAATTAAAAGAGTAAGCTTTAATAGTAAGCTATAGCTCTACAGAAGACTCTAATTAAATATATTATTTATGTTTTATTATTCTATCTTTATTAACTAGAAGAGTTATTAAAATATAAATAAAAAACTAGAATAGTTTATATCTTTTTACTAGAATACAGATTAGGTAGACAAGTCTATAATATTTAAGCTCTGATATATTAGCTAATAAGAGAGGAAGTATATAACCCTTAAATTCTATTTATATCATTATGTTATAAATGGTCGGCCTCTAGGACTGATTACTTAGAGTGGGGCGCGATAGACTCAATCAGAGGCTGACACGCCATGTACAGTCAGCCCCCCTACATCATCTCCCTTGCTTTACTGTCTCACATCTGCAAGCCGGAAGGTCCTATTTTCCCGCGGCTAATACATTGTGCTGTAATATTGGTTACGTCATTTTGCCAGCCATTTACGTAGAAGATTCTTAATCAACCGGTCAGTGTTGTCATCTACGTGGAGAGCGTCATCTTTTAGACCAAGGCTGGCAGCTTGGCTGGGTTTCAACTATATCTATCATGGCATGAACCAGTTGTTTTCTTCGCTTTCCCCCTTGAACAATTCTATTGGAAGCTGAATATTCAATCCTCGTCATCATCTTCTTATCTGATACCATTCAGGCCAGAAGCGAACATGTCTATATCACAGGCTTGGCAATCAGAAACGTTCGGCGGCTTGAGCTCTCACCAACTCGAGCTCTTGTATGAGCCTGTACTTCTCGAAGTCGCCTTGAGAGAAGTTGGAACGTTACCTACTTATCCATCCGAGAGCCAATCGACCGGCAAATACAAAGCGGACATGCTGGACCTTAAAGCATTCCAGTTTTATGTCAACAAGATGGCCCAAATCTGCGACAACGAACGAGGTGGGGATACAGTTAGCGCCCTTGCAATACTTCGAGGTTCTGTTGGCCCCAATTATGTATTTGGCTTTAACTCGAAGGACACAAGGGATCTCAAAAGGACGCAGAATTTCGTGCAAGCATTGTTAGATCTGGTGGGCAAGAACACAGAAGGTTTGCAAACTGCAGCGTTAGGGAAGCGAGTGCTTTGGTTCATTCTATCCTTCAATATGTCGCGGCTTAAAGAGTACCTGAGACTCCTGGAAAAAGCGGTGCAAGAGTGCCTAGAGAACTGCAAAAGAAGGAATGAAGATGAAAGTAAGTTTCAACCCACAGCTTTTTTTACGGGCACAAGCCGCATACTGAGCTCTCCAAGCTTCCGAACCGTTCCAGAGCCTCTTATTTTTGGTAGGCAAATGCAACTTCAAACTGGATATCTCCGAGTCTAATACGGAAGATAAATGTGGGTATTCCCCTCAATTGAACCATGTGGCCTGTATGGAACTAACTTGCCAACTTAGCAATCAGCGACTCCGAAACATTAATCAAGGCTATCACCAACCTAGAGCAAGCAGGAATCAATCAAATGATCTCACAGAGGGCCAAAGATGGAGAAATGACAAGATCCGAACCGTGGTGCAAACTCCGACACTTTCTTGGCCGCTGGCTTTCTTACCGCAAAGCAGCTCTCGGCATTGTTGCTGTTTCTGAAAGATGGCCCGAGCTATTCCTGGATTTTGAGATTACCATGGTGCCATCTGGTTCACGCATTCCTAACCCAATTTTGAGATCCGATCTCTCGAGCGAGATTATCCTACAGCATATAGTTGCGGAAGATCAAAGCCAGGACTCGCAGCTTCTCCAAGCAGCCGACGACCTAAAACAGATGGGAATTGACGACATAATTGGTGCTGCCCATGTTTCCAGGAAATTTCGACCTCTGTTGCATGCGGAAGTTCTGGTGTATGAATACCTCCTGAGCAACGAACAGACAGCTCTTGAATGCTACTGGAATCGTTGGAACTATATTGGCAGTAGTAAGCCAACTTGTCGACTATGTAATTACTACTTCGAAGCTCTTGAAGGCGATAAACCAAGTATTCGCTCGTCTCACAACAACTTGTATCGAAATTGGCGACTTCCTGATTGCTACGAAGAGAGCCTTAGCAAAGCTCGGGATGAACTTCTAAGCAGACTTGCACGGAGGCTAAGGGCAGATGTAGTAGAAACATTGAGAGAGAAGAAAATTAGGCGGAAAATAAGAGACTCGAACACCTATTCGTCTTTTCCAGAGATGTTGCGGGATGACAACAATAGTTCGGTGTCTGTCGACAGTCTTGATGATAGAGTATCATCCCCTTTAGGAGGCTCTCAAAATGAGAGTGAAGCATAATTAGAAAATTCTATCTTACATACGCGATGAAACACTAACCATACAGGCTGGTAGCAGCCTTGGCGGCCTTTCGAAGTTGCTCTGCCTTGAAGCGCAACGAGCTCTCGTATCCAAAAAACTCTTTTATGTCAAACGACCCAAGTTTAGCCTGGATGAAGGTTCTGAAGTAACGGAAGGATAGGCCGTACAAACCACAAACCTTATTAGTATTATGATGTAAGTGTCTTGCAGGTCAATCCATACTCTGGAGGAGGAGATTTGGGCAGTACGGGTTATAATAGTCCTGATGTGATATATTTAGACTGAGTGAAGTAAGCAAAGAAGAGATATATTATTGCAACTCTAAAGATCCAGATACCGTCATTCTTAATGTATAACCTTTCTTAATTTTTACTTGTTATTCTACTAGGCAATTTTAAATTTAAAGTATATTTGCTATATAGGCGATGATGGACCTGATTGAAATCTAAACACTCACCAGCCAGTGTGGAGCTTTACCCCGCATAGATAGCCTGATGCTTCTTTATGCCTCAGCCTAGCTCGATTTGCTTCAAGGTCAACGTCGAAGACAATAGAAGAAAGAGTACTTTGCATAATATCTAAGCTTATTATTTTAGGCAGTTAGGCCTCGTGCGCGAAGCGGCGACTCATCATGGGCGATCCGCTTAGCGTAGCGTCTGGGCTAATTGCCGTTGTCACCGCAACCCTGCAATCAAGCAAAATACTCTATGAGACCATCCGGAGCTTCCGAAACCACCGAACCGCAGTTTTAGATCTCCTTCGCGAACTCAAAGATCTTGGATCGGTTCTTAAGCCGCTGCAAGATCATGTGCGTACCGGCGAGACCGCGTTCCTACCACTCAAAATTCCTCTCATCCAGTGCCGACAGGCGTGTGTAGATTTCCAAGTCCTCATCGAGCAGAACAGCAGGCGGACTCGAGGGGAGGCAAGAACAAGCCTTAGAGATTGGGCTAAGCTGATGTACATGAATGGCGATATCATTTCGTTCAAAGAACTCTTAGCAGGTTACAAAGGGACGATAGCTATAGCGCTAGCTGACGCCAACCTGTTAGTTGCTCGGCCCAACAGGAAGGGTTTCGCTAATTTGCTTCCAGGCGCTCGTCCCAGGTTACCCTTGAAGTTCTGAATGATTACAAAAACTTGATTTGCGACACTAAGCTTGATCTGGAGAAGCATCTGAATGACATCGACTCCAAATTGCAAGACATAGTATCTCAAGGCGCCAGGACAGAAGCCGCTCAAGGCCATGTCCGTCTACGAAAATTTGAGAAGGAAAAAGAAAGTACAGAACGATGCCTCGAGTACCTGAAACATCTCCTCGAAGAAATCAATGGGATGAGTTTCCAACCCGTTCTTACTGAGTCCTCCTCGAACACTGCTGTCATGTCTATCTCCGCTGACAACATGACACTCGCCGATTCCCTCACTATTTCCACGCTCAAAACATGCAGCTACAATCTTGCGGACACCATCGACCGCCTCGAATCGCACCGTGGTAATACCGAGGAGAATCTCCGGCTTAAGGACTTAGTACAAGATTTGAATCAGAAAGTCGATCCGGGTGCGAATCGCGAGACGCTCCAAAATGAGTTGGAAAGCACGAAGCAGTGCTTGAGCGTCTGCGATCGGGCATCGGAATGGGCATCGTCTGGAAGGGTGCACGTGGTTGAAGATATCAGCGTCGGGAACGATGGGAAGCAAATTTGCGTGTCTACGCTGGGGGACCTGTTCAACATCAAGGGAGCTAGGGCCGGTCATGGATCTATTCAATTCTTCGGGTCGGTTTCGGAGGGTAGTCTTAACGAAGTGTTGAGATCCCAGAACCAGCGGCAGCATGTACGCAATGAAGGCACGGTAGAAGAGGAATGCGTAGGTGGAGGGTACACGCAATCCACAAGATAGTTCTATTCGCTCCTCTGCTGCCCGCCCACAATCCTACTGTGTTGATCGCGACCAGCCTCTGCGAGAGATTTTCCTGCTCCATGTTTTTCAAAGCGAGATGCTTCAGCGTATGCGGGTGACTGCCGATCTGTAATGACTTGGCGTTGGCTCAACATCTTGGTGAGTTCCTGGACTGAGCTGTCTTCCCAAGATCCGATAACTTGATAAGCGTTGACTCCAGCTCCAACGTCTTTAGCGTCATAGAGGTGGTCTTTGGTAGATACCAGGAGCTGGACGCTGTTATCCCCGACTTTGATCTCTTGCAAGCGATGAGTTGGGCGGCTGTATGGTCCAGTCTCGTCTCTAGGCGGTATCTGCGTATCTGGTTCCGTGGAAACTGACATTTTGTGGTATCGTAATGTTTGATATGCCAAATTAGCCTCGGTGAGAATAAACCAAGTGGTATGAGGGAAAAGTTATCACTTACCCCGCTATGTGAGATTCGGCAAATAACGGTGTACTAAGAACTTGTGGAGCCTCTGTTAACAGCAGCACTAACACAAGTCAGTATTACAATTTATCTCATTACTGTCTTGAGATATGTTATTACTGCTGCATTCAATAGTCGCATTTAGCTAATAAATATAATTTAACTTAGATGCTAGTAAAGCATTAGCTTCTCCAGTACGAAACTCATGGCTTACTATATGCTACTTAATTGTTATTGCTGTCTCTTCTCCCTTGATCCGTTAGTCCGGTGGTGTAAAGTGGCTGGTATAATGGGGGCGATTTCCAGCCACTAATGCTCAGCTCGAAAAGGTAAGCCACTTTCACAGTCTTAAAACTAAGATAAATAGAACTCGCTATAAAACTGGACCTTAAGCTGTTAACAACTGCTCGTAAAACCCACCAAATCCAAGGTGCGTATTATGCAAATGGATCTCCAGAATCCAATGCCTCTTATTCCCATCCTTCCCAACCGTGTTCATAGAGTTGCCGTTCCCTTGAGCGATGTAAAGAGTGATCTTGTCTTTAGGAATCCGCTCATGCGGAAAAGACCCAACGATATGTCCCGCAATCGGCGCACCAAACTCAAAGCCCTCCTTCTCAGCAGCCTCCTTGGCAATACTGTAGAGTTCTTCTCCCGTCATATCTGGGTTCTCGCCGTACTTGGCTTTGACATCGATCCAGATTGGCTCTAGAGCGTCGCGCAGCTTGATCTTGTTGGGGTCATTTCCCAAAACAAAGGTGCGCCCAAAATCAGCCTCCCACTCTTCAAAGACAGGCCCGAGGTCGACGACGAGGATGTCATCTTCTTGAATTATCCTGTCAGGTGGGTTATCTTCGAATGGTCTCAAGGTGTTGGGTCCGCTGCGGATCACTCGTTTGTGCCAGTGAGTCCTCACGCCGTGCCGTTCAGCGCCGAGAGCATGGATTTCGTTGTTTAACTCTTTCTCGGTGATACCAGGGCGGATGAGCGTTTTCTCGATCTCGTTGAATAGGTCGATAGCCTTTTTCTCGGCATCTCGGAGCGAGGCCGCGCGTTGTTCTTCAGCAGACATTCTGACTGTATCTGCATCAATAAGGTGTAACAAGACGTGATGGTAATTGTAATGCGATGGACCACTCATAGTGAAGTTATTTATAACCAGTAAAAAGCGGGCATAACCGGAAGTTGCCGGCGGAATGATTATGCGGCAGTGGTGTCATTACCTAGTCGGATTCCTGTTCTAATTGCCGTATTTGGGATAGGACTCTCCGCTGTCGGACTGCCCTGTTATGTTTCTGCGCCCTATCGCGTTTACATAAAGTGCAGCTTGTCAAATTCGTTTATTAGCTTGCTAATGAGTCCCGAAAAGGTACGGTGACAATCGAGCACCTATCAAGTTGCAAGCAAGAACTGAGATCTTTGCGCATTGAATGAAAGTCACATCATATTGCAAGTAGCTCTGGGAGATTTAGGTTGTAGCTGCAATACAGAAACAAGCTAATAGCAAGATGTTGAGATGCACACTACGACAGTCGGCTACCAGCAGCAGCAAGAACATGATTGTCGACGTAAATGTATTTCTGTAAATATCTATATGCATTCTATGGTATTCTTCAAATCGATCTATTGTATGACGTGTATGTATTATCGTTTACCGTGGAACGAATGCAGAAAGCGGAAGTGACGTTTCCATGAGATGTCTCGGGCCACAGAAGGTACATAATTTGAGTAGGTCTTCGGGCAAATTAAATTCCGTGAATGCCGCACAGAACCAGAGCAGAGGTAAACACTGCCGCGTCGAGTGGACCACAGTTCGCCACCGTCTGAGGTTGCACATTGTGGCGGAGTGAAGGTTGAATCATCAATCCCACTGAGCTTCCAGGACCTTCGACTCGGGCTCCCACTGGTTGACGGCCTCGTCATTTGGATATCCAACGTATTGGACGAAGCATTCAGTCCCCCGCTCACTCTCTCTGCGACCATGAGCATACAGGATTCGCATGGGACAGGTGTCCCTCACGCCTTGTGCATCTCGTCCCCCAACTCGCTGCCAGTAGGCGAGGAGCTTTGCTTCATCTCGCTCGTGAACAAATTTCTCATCGACCCAGCCCTCCCATCGAGCCCTGGACTTTGAGCCCCTGATGAACAAGGCCACGAAAGGGCCGTCCTTGTCTCCGACAGTGTCGACCTTGTGCTTGAGAATTAAAAAGTTGGGACGAACATCATCCATTGCTGTGTTATGTTAGACTCAGGGTATGATAGATGGACCAGGGGGCTGGGACTTACGACTGGGGGTTATAGTCCAAGGAGCGGGAGAGGAAGTGAGTGAAGCCATTTCGAAGGAATCAGAAGTCAGGGAGTTGCTGTTGCTGTTGTACGGTGTGGCGTCGAAAACAGTAAGGGTCAAAGTATGACAATAGAGTCTGGTACTGGTGGCTGTATTATTCAGGGAAGAAAGGTAGTGCGGGTTTTGAGAAATGTAAAGGCAGGTGATGATGATGGTTGTCGTATTCTGATAGTACTTGAGACCAGATGTCGAGAAATAAATGTAAAGTCTTGTCAGAATGGGAAAGAAGATGAAGATGAAACTCGTCGAGACTTGGGGACAAGTGAGGTTTTTAAAGGCCGCGTCGTCAAGCTGTACTCGTGACCGAGGGCTCATTGCCACCCTAATTACCTCAGTTACAGAAGTTATTCAATCGTGAAAAGGTTAAAATGTCAGACAGCCACCATACATACCAGGGAGTCAGGGCTGCCTCTTCCCACGAGTACAAAGTCTAAGTGGCAGACGACGTAAAAGAATTTAACGCCTCTCCTTTGATTGGAGATCTATCAGCACGATGGCAGAGCTGATTAGATTGAGAGTTGAGTTATTCTATACATTGCACATGGCCCATTGGTCAGAATGTATTCGGGCTTTTATTTTGAGTTGATTGTCCCCACGCTGATGCCTCACATTACGCACCTCGACTACGTATGAGTCAGAAATGCTGATTGAGGCTCTCACATGACTCGCTGTAGCAACGTACCGCCAACGAAGACCGTACTGCAAAGCATGGCCAGAATCTATGCAGTTACATGATAAAACCTCATATGCTGAGGCCGCGAGGCACATACACTGGTCTAAGTGCAAGGTCAGGAGTCAAAACCTATCATTATTTGCTCAGAACCGATTCTTCGATATTTGGCAGTGTCTTCTATTGTGCAGTTACGGTTCAAACCTTCTCAAATACACTCACTCTATGACTCACTTGGATTGCAGTATTGACAGTGGAGGCTGAGCATGTCGATACACGTCAGTCCCAGGAGTTGGTCTGAGAGGATTTCGTGCCGTTCACGAACCGTCACCTGCATGGATAGACTAACTACTGATCACGTTGAGTTCGCAGCCAAGGCATACATGCATGGCAACAGCCCTCGGAGCTTTAGGTTCTCCTTGGCTTCAACCTCACACCGAGTATTCATGTAAGCTTCACACTCAGAACTAGCGGGATCCTTCTAGCTGGCAATGGCAATAGCGCGTCAAGTAGTTTCACGTCATATTCCATGGCGCAGAGGCCTTTGATGAATCTACGTTGGTCGGCCGCACCAGACGTGCTTACTTGTCTACTCCATCACTCCCCTTTCGGTAGTCCTGCACCATGATTGGGGCATCGTCACCGGGATGATGTCTTTGTAGTCTTGACACCACTTTTGTAGGGAATCCTTACGATATTGTTTGGCAGTGTAGCTGCTGTGAACAACTGAGAGACATGTGCCCAAAGTCGGGGCGGTCGCCCCCCTCAAAGTAAAAAACCCTAGCTATCGTCAGCGTTGATTAGCTACGGCTCTTCCTTTGAGCTTTGCGGTCTTGATAAGTCGTAGTCTACGTGATTGGCACTAAGAAAGCCATGGTAAAACTCATCTTCGCTCTCTGCCTGGAAGTTTCGGGGACCCGGTTGTCTCGGTAGTATTTTAATTCCGGCCCGGCATTTATTTATCATCCTTTTCTTCAGCAAGGGGCCTGCTATCCACACAGCCGCGCGCCATTTACTAATCTGTATCCTAGGGACGGCTGTATTATACTGCCAATGATTCCCTGGCATGTATACCACGTAGGTATATAAATAGTCCCAGGACCACCTGGAATACTTCTTGCCTTCATCATCTATCTCTCTCATTGACTCTATCCGGAACGACAGACATACACCCTCATCTAAAGAAGAAGCAAAAGACCAAAGCACGAAAACCATGGCTATCATCGCTGTCGCCGGAGGTGCCGGAAAGCTCGGTCGCGCAATCGTTGAAGCGATTGTTGAACAGGGCCAGCATACCGTAGTGATCCTTGCTCGAGAGGTAAATCACATAGGACTACGAAGCTTGACAGGAAAACATCTAACACATAGACATCATCTAGGCTAAAGATGTACAAGGAGCCAAGGTTGTCAGCGTGGACTACGCCAACACCGATGAGCTTGCAGCCACGCTTGAGGCCAACAGTATTGAGACTGTCATATCCACCATCAACTCTATGGACGACGTCTCTGCTGAGCTGAGCTTGATCAAAGCAGCTGAGAAGTCGGGATCTACCAAGCGATACATCCCTAGCATCTGGGGTATTAAAAACAACGAAGAGTCAGTGACGTTGTGTTCCTAAGACTTTAGCATAACAAAACTAAACTGCGAGGACAGGATCGCATCTTACTTCCCCATCGCTCGGGCCAAGCTTAATGTCATTGCTGCTTTGGAAGCAACCTCGAGCCTCGAGTATACCACTGTGTACGTCGGCTACTTTTCTGACTACTGGGTACTCCCCAAGGTCAAGTCTTACCAAAGCCCTCTCGCTCTGGTAGTCGACATCGAGAACAATTTCGCCGCCATTCCCGGGTCTGGCAATGAGCTCGTGACTTTTACCCACACTTTTGACGTCGCTCGCTTTGTCGCAGTACTCGTCGGGGCGTCCAAGTGGGACAAGGAATCCTACATCATTGGGGACAAGGTTTCGTGGAACCAATTCGTGCAATACGCTGAAGAGGCCAAGGGTGTCAAGTTCACCGTCAAGCACGACTCGATTGAGGACCTCAAGGCCGGTAAGATCACGGAACTCCCTTCTCACGTGTACATGTATCCCTTCTTCCCCAAGCCGATGCTGCAGGGCCTTTTTGCAGCTTTTGGCCGCATGTTTATTGAGGGGGCGTTTGACCTTAAGCCTGAGCGTACGCTCAATGAGTCATTCCCTGAAATCAAGGCGCGAAAGATCAAGGACCTTCTCTTTGAAGCTTGGGGGCAGTAGTTCCAACAGTAGTTTGAGGATCAATAGAGGCCTTGTTGAGCTTGTCACCAGGAAGAAATTTGTGGAGAAACAAATATTCCTTGTCCATGATTGTGATTGGTGTGATCGGATGTATTTTAATTCCGACGCTGGTTGCAATTGACAAATCGAAGTGGGTCAATTTCAGGAGCAACGTCAACTTCAGAGTCAAGCAAGAAACTCTTGACTTTTACCTCTATAATACTCGCTGCAAGGCATTCGTATCTTTGAACAGAAGAGGTGGAATGGAAATGCAAGACACACCGGCTGTCAGGGATGGAACAAGTAAACGAACTGGCAATGTAAGCCCCCGCAATCTGACGTCTTACCCTGCACGCCTAAGACCAATAGGCTTGTGTCCCGTGTAGAAGCAGCAAGGTACGATGTGACGGCAAATTACCAAGCTGTCAAAGATGCTTGAATCGCAAGACGACGTGTCATTATGGCGAGCGAAAAGGAAGAGGGCGTGGCAAAAGGTACGTCTTCACTGATACATGAAAGACTGGGATGCTGATCTTGAATAGCAAGCAGTACATTACAACACTTGAGCAACGACTAAAGAATGTCGAAGTCGCACTGCAAGCCGTCCCTACAGTCAGTCATGATTCAAGTCAGGTTTCTACAGATGCCGGACACCCTCATGAGGTAACGCCTGGCCATGGGACGTCAACAACCGATGAAACTCAATCTCTACCGTCGAGATGGCCAGAAGAGGTCACCAGAAAGATAATCGACGCTCAGAAAAACAATATCAACCTCGAGCGAAAAGTATTCGTCCCGCTCCCCCCAAAAGAGCACATTTTACACTTTATATCCAACTCCCTGGCAGACGTGTACGAAGCACAGGCACTCTTCAGCTCCGACGATGTTCTCAAGGTCATCAATGACCAGTACTCAGCCGGGCCATCAAATTGTCACGCGAACCCTACTCGCTGGGCAACGCTCAACGCTCTCATTGCCACAGGCATTCATTGGAAGGCCGACAACAAAGCAATAAAAGAAATGTTCCCTGTTTCGTGGTCATACTTTAAAAATGCCTTTGCTATTTTCCCAGAGATCGTCATGAACGGTGGCGGCATCGACGAGTGTCAAGCGATGATTGCTATGGCTTTGTTTATGAGGGGGACTGCTGACTCCCGCGCATTAACTGCGCTATTATCGGCGGCGGCGCATGCCGGCCACTGTATTGGTTTGGGCTTGGAAGGTCTTGATGGATCAAATGACTTGATCGGCGAGGAAAGGCGTAAGAGGTCATTTTGGACTTTATACGTGCTTCGATGCAATGCGTCGCTGAACCTTAACCTCCCCGCCCCATCTGATGAAGTGAGTGTCGAGCTTCCGTCACAGGGTCTCATAACAGATGATAGTTCCAGCATACATCTCCTAAGGTCTATGTCAACGCTGGCACAGATCCAGTCGAGAATAAGCCGATGTTGTCGTCCTGGTTCATCACTGTCGAAGAGTAGTGATGAAATGATCCAGGCTCTTGCTGAAATAGACACAGATCTGGAATCATGGAGGACAGGGCTGCCGACAGAAGTCCAGGCTAGAGGATTGATCCAAGTGGACAATCTTGGCATCATACAACTCCACTTCGCCTACTACGCTTCTACTTGGAAAATCTATGCGGCTATCGGGAAGCTCTATGATGTCCCTCTCACGTCGATCGAACGAGAACATCCAAACCTGCATCTGAGTACGCTTGCCCCCACACAAAGCGCCCGAGCTACAATTTGTTTGCTTCAAGGGTTATCCTCACAACCATTTGCCTGTCTATGGTAAGGCGCCCAACTAACGTGTGTTGTCTATGCTGATGACCTAGGCAAATGATCTGCTACCCAATTTGCGCTATTCTAATACTCTTGACAACAGTACTTCATGATCATGAAGACTCAGAGGTGTCTCTGAACGTCGAATGGATTGGACAATTCGTTGCTTTTCTGCAGACTTTCCAACACCGAGAAGGATGCAATCTGAGTGGCCTCATCGAATTTTGCTCCAAGCTGTACGATATCGCATCGTTTGCACAACGCAATCCAACAGACGTGGTGAACGACGGTGAAGATGACGCAGGGGCATTACAGGGGCAGTATACAGTCAGTATGAATCACGCGACAAGTCGACCTTGCTGACCTTTTAGGACTTGCGTATCCGCCTTCAAGGACATCAAGACCCCATGCTACTCGCATAGGGCCTCCTTACCAACATGCCGCTTCTAGGCAAGAAGGCAATGGAAGTGTTCCACGACATAGTAGCAGAGACCAGGGAAGATGGATTCACGCCGCTTGTGCCCAATGTACTCAAACCTAGCTCTTTCAACTTCTTTGGTTACAGTAAAGCCGCTACAGAGCACTAGACAAGCAGAACATTAATGCCAGCCATATGACAGGCATCAGTCCAACTCAGCCATATTCCTTGACTTTTCGTCCTGTCATATATGACCCATGATTCAGCTCGATTTCACTGCTTGCTGGGGCTCTGAATAAATATCTTCTTTATCGATCACAGATCCTCCAGGTCTGATTCAGTAACCCTAAGAACCAAACCCTTGTCACGAAACAACATATACGAGTCAAACTGCATTGCCTGATGTGGCTCAGCCAGCTGGAAGTCGAAGTGTCGGAAGAGCTAGAGCTTCGTTAGAGTCTATGCAACTACATCAGAATAGTACATACCTCAAAGAAAATCTTGTTCAGCTCCATCAAAGCGATCGGCTTCCCCAGACAACTCCACCTCCCAAGCCCAAAGGTCAATTCAACATCGCGCTTCATCTTAGCACTCGTCTTGTCATCAACCTCGGTGAACCTTTCCGGTCGAAAGATATGAGCATCCTTGCCAAATAAGGATTCTGAGCCGAGAAGTCCTGAGAAGTTGACTCCTATGTTGGTGCCGGCGGGGAGGAATGCTCCGTTGTAGGATTCGCCGCCAGCCGGAACCTCTTTGAAGCTCATGTTCGTGGAAACAGAGCGGATTCGAAGACATTCGTATACAACAGCCTGTTCATTTCTTTAGTTACGCCTTGATTAATACTATGTTACTGACCTGTATATATGGTTGAGAAAGGGATTCTGCATTACTGATTGGTCTCGAAGCCCGTCCTTCACGGATAGCGTTTGCGATTTCTCGCTTCAAGCGACTATAGACGTGAGGTGTCGCAAGAATGTAAAGCATGCCTGCTCTAATAACAGATGCTGTCGTATCTGATCCTGCGACAAACATGAAAATTGCCTCAATCTCGCATTCGTCTTTACTCAACCCGTGCTTCTTGAATGAACTCTACAGGGAGTGTTAGTGGAACTCGCAAACTCCCCATTGGCAGATAAATGAGACTCACAAGCATGTCCCGCTTGACCTGACCATCACCGTGGTAAAACTCCTCAACAACCTTATTGGTAAGGCCCATCATTTTCCCTATTCCTTTTTTGTCTTTGATACTCGGACCAAATAGCCTGAGAAACAGTGGAGAGAAGGCTATGTTCCGAAGCCATGGAACGTCTGTTGTCAATGCAATAACAGGTAGATAATCGTTCAACGTGTCGAAGAAACAGTGAATATCTTCATCTCTCCTTAAGCAGCCAAATTCCTGGCCTAGCGCAAGACGAGAGATAACGTCCAAAGTAAAGAGGCCCGCTGTCCTTGACCATACGAGCGGACGAAACTCTTTAGGCTTCGATATGTATTTATCCTGTATGAGATGGATAAGGCTCATGATCTGCTCATCGATAGCGGCTTCTGGACCCGTTGTCTCCTTTCCACTATAACCATAGATCAGCTTTGCTTTCAACTTGTCATGAGCTATTGGGTCCCTCATCATGAATAGTGACTCGTGGAATGGATTCAATCGGGAACCGCTATATGATGCTCCTTTGGCATATGAGCTTTTGGTACCGTTGATTTTGCGCAATAGCTCCAGATCGTCTGTGAAAACCTCGTAAGGACCGACTCTCACTATCGGACCGTATTTCTTATTAAGCTCAAGATGAGCTTCATATTGTTTGCCACTCAGTGCTAGTCGGGCAAGCCATACATATGAAAACTTGGCTAAGAAAGGCCCTGGGATATGACGTAGGCGATACCATACTATAATGGACGAGAGGATGTACCAAGCGATGATGGCCAGAGCGGCAGCATACCAATGGTTTGAAGTCAAGTGCTCAAGGAGCATTTTCAGTGCTGTTGATGGTATGATGGAGAACAGAAGAGATCGGATGAACGTGGATAATTGATAGGGCTGGAATTATATACCCAGAGACGGATATGGTCTAAACCCCTCAGCAGGTAGTTCTGATAATTCCGCTTTCTATGCGTGTTGGCTTGGCTTCATCGTAGAGGCGATATATTACTGGAGTGTCTTAAGAATATTATGGGTCTCTGTGACTATTCTGGCTTATCTGCATATGCACGACTGCGGCGCTGAGATATTTCTTGCAACTCGCTTCACTATCTACCCCTCCCGAGTGAGGCCTTCCATATCGAGTCTAGAAGGTTTATGAGATAGCTCAAAACCCAGTAACTATCATCAAGGCAGCCGTAATGTCTAACTTCCACTTTTAGTGTGAGCGGAATATCTGAATTACCTGTTATACTCATCTCTCAGCGCTGCCGAGATGGCCTTCATACCTCCTTCAAGCTCTTCCCGAGTAGGCCATCCATAGCCAAGCCTGAAAAAGCCATCCGACATCTCGAACCAATGACCAGGTCCAACATATGTCGCATACTTATTCAAAAGCCTCTCATAGAACGCCGCAAACCCTCCCTTGGGTTCCTGCTTGATACGGGGAAAGCAGACAACACCGCCAGTCGGCTTGACCCATTCCAACAGCTCCTCACTTTCGATCCAAGACTCGACCATCTGAAGTCGAACCCTCATCTCATTCGTTATGTCGCTCAAGATCTTCTCTCGTCGGGATAGGACATCGATTGCAATCCACTCGTTGATGACGCTACCGCTGATGCTGATTTGTTCCTTTGCAGCTAAGAAGGTTTCCTGAAGTGTCTTGTTGGTAGTGATGAGCCAGCCGATGCGGACTCCAGGCATGCCGAAGGACTTTGACAGCGAGCAAACGCTAAGAACATGATCGCCCAAAGACGCAGCGACTGGCAGCTTTTCGGCAAATGCGATATCTCGATAAGTCTCATCGACAAGCAACAAAACGCCCTTCTTCTTTGTAATAGCCACAAGCCTGTCGAGTGCCTCTCGAGACAGCGTGGAGCCGGTAGGATTATGAGGGCATGTCACCGAGACAAGCCGAGTGTTGGGCTTGATAGCAGCCTCGATTTGATCAATGTCAGGCTGGAAGCCACTCTCAAACGTAACATCAATGTATGAAATCTCGCAACCAACAGCCTTGGGAGTCTCCAGATTAGTGGCGTAGTTGGGACGAACCACGACAAGATGGTTACGCTCAGAGTCAGGGGTGCTGCCCAACTGAGAGGTCGTGATGATGAACAGCGCCCCAGCAGCTCCAGAGGTGATGAGAATGTCATCGGCACCCACTCCAGCGTCATCAGCGATCAACTTTCGCAGCTTAGTCTCGCCGCGGTGTTCATTGTAGAGAAGGGTAAGATTCGGGATCTTGATGTCCAGTGACTCCAGTGACTGGTCGGTAACAGAGCTTTCGGAGAGATTGTACTTGATTTTATCGTAGCCATACTCCTCGGGCGACTCAATCTCAATGGGCATGCGCTCAAACTTCATTTTTGTATTGGCCACGAGGCGTTGGAGGGTAGATGATTCGTGTTGAAAAGTTGGGTAACAGGATGCGTGAAGTGCTTAGTGGTTGGAGAAGATGGCAAAGGATTTGAGGAAGAGGTCTGATGGTGTTGTAGATATAAGAGTTTATGTAGAGCGATCAAATGTGTAGTGTAACAACAACAAGACATCTCATGACTTTGAGTCAGTAAGTGTTGTCCAGCTTTCTCCAGTTACTGGCGCTTCGACCTGCCTTCCCAGGATGGCTGCCCTTGAGCCGACTGTATCCGGTGCACGTTATCTCCCATGAACCTGGTCCCGTGGGGCGTATTCAGCCCTCAGTTTCCTTTTCAGAACAGATGGACCTTGATCAATGCGTCCTGTCCAGATTCAGCAAAGCACATCTTAGCACCAAAGCTCTCGTCAAGCAGATGCTCAATCTGGTGTGTATCATGGCACGTTACTACTCACTGTTATAAAACAGATGCCCAGCCCGAATTAAGCATTGAAGGGTCCCAGTTATCAGGAGAAGTCCTACGTAAGTAACACATTACCTCCTGTCTGAAACACCAATCCCAGCCCATCGCCATTACGTTCTAGCAGTGCCCCCCAACGGCTCTTTAGTAGCGTGATGACAGTACCGCTGTTTCCAAACCCTCCACTCTCTTCCCGGATTCTACATAGAACTGACTCGAAAAAGCAATGTAGACTGGGCCCGGCCATGCAGCCAATGATGTAGAGTGGCCAGACCAGGCCCCGGAGAGGAACGGCTTGGGGCCAGTCCTTCAGGACAATGACCGACTCTGTAATAGCATCCTTGACTTCGGGAAGAGATGCCCAGGGCCCGGAGACTATTGTACTTGACAAGACTAGCGATGCAAGGGCGAAAATGTGTGAGACATATGGAGCCGGTAAAATATTACCACGGTTACTATTTCCTCCCTATTCATATTTAAGTTGTCAGCTATGTTTTAGTAGAGCTTGATAATGCTTCCAGAACTCACATTTGTACTTTGCTTCAGTTCCGCGATGCCGTCTTGTAGTCTCTTCTCTATTCTTTGGCCCCTTCTCACTAATTCCGGCACGCTTAAAGCCCCTTTCTGCTTCATGTCCTTCTTCCATGCTTGAAGATGAGCCAAATCTCCAATAGCCATCATGACCCAGTTGTAACAGCCCATCAAGTCCTCCATTGCGAGATCTGGCCCCTCTAGCCATTGTCGATAAGGTATCCGTGGGACACGCCCTGTCGTTGCACAAGCCAGGATGTCATGCCACAATGCTTCAGCGATGAGAAAACTGAAATCAGCTTGCAACGGAGTATCACCACCGCCTAAAGAAGTGATTGGAGAAGGCAAAGCATTCTCGGATGACGATGAAGTCTGGAGTAGGACGTCTGGCGATTGCATAGCGACGACAGCCGTGACGGCGTCGAGATGCGGAACCCAATCGTACTCAGCTCCATTGAACACCTGACAGGCAGGAGAAGAAGTTAGTACAATAAGACAAAACTGATTTAATAACGTACCTCGAAGCTTATCAGTGTCAAACTCGCCGCTATAAACTCAGCAAGTTTAGCCTGATCATTAAGTAGCGTCTCGGTCTCGGTGGGTTGCGACAGCTTACGCAACTCTCTCAAGGCCATCGAGTGGAACTCAAATGCTTGCTGGTTGTAACAGCACCTCTTTTGGGATGCATCTCGATGCAAGGTGGAGAGTGCAAGCGCAGCATGCGACAGCGAGCCACCGTTGTAGAGAAATACGAGAAGCCAGCCTCTGTTACCCAAGCGGGACTGGAACTGGTAGTAAGGGAACTGCCAGACAAACACATGGTCGAGATAGTACATTATGAGAGATGCCAATCTGGGTTGCAAGATACAAGGGGGAGTGTAATCCTGTGATGGAGAGACTGGATGTGCGGACTCTGAGTGCTGAATTGAGCTTCGAATGAGTGAGAGGCTACTCCGAGCGTCGACAAGGGCGTCTGGGGACTCAAAGCTATCATGGCCATGATGTAAAACTCGCTCTGTTAGCGACGGACTTGAAGGTTCGATCACAGCTGGAACCGGTAGTGTTTGGCCCCGGGTCCGTCCCTCTGGCAGAGATCCGACCGCCGCGTCTCTCCCAATGGTCTGGTTCCGCTGACCCCTCCGAAGCTTCTTGAGGTGCTGTTTGACACCTCTTTTGATTCGCTCAAGCTCTTGGTGCTCGGCATCTGACCCGTCCATCCACGTAGGCTTGGGGCCGTAGCTGTGGCACGGAATGCGTCGGTCAGTGCATTCCCTACAAGCAGGGATCTGGAGGTCGCATTTCCGATGTCTGAGCTTACACGTCCAGCATCCGCTGGGAAATGATCTCATAATTGATGGTGGAGGAGGAAGAAAACGATGTACTTGGGGCAACTCGGAGTTTGTGGAGCTTTTGGAGGTCATGCTACCCCCACCACTTTTCTAACAGACAAATCACATCATGTTCCGGTTTTAAGACTCGGAGGCGCTTCGACTTGCCCTCCCAGGAAGTAATATCAAGCCTAGCGTGTCCAGTTTAAGTGGATGGCTTGGGGCCACAGCCAAGTCTAGAATCCATCAGTCAACAGAATTGCAAGCACGATTTGACCTTGCGGATGGAAGCCTTTGATGCTATCTAGCCCGGGATTTTCTCAAGACCTTACTTACCTCGGATGCAGTGGGCCACGGCAGGCCGTATCCAGGGATAGGATGTAACCTCACATAATCACAACAAACTCGACCTCAATATATGTGACAAAATGACATTGTTTACTAGTTAGTTAATACTGCAGTAGTTCCACTAAATACAATTTTTTTAATCATTCTAATTCAAGGATCAGCTATAATTTGGAGAGGTACCACAATTGTCAAATCCCCCTTCTTGAACCCAAGCCGCAAGCGCACATCATAAGTCCTAGAGATAAGGCATGAATGAAATGTGGGCAAAATCGTCTTGTTACCGATCGACACAGACAGTGGTACCTGCAGCGTAGAGCTGTAAAACTCCGCAGACGAGTTCCCCGTATTCTTGTCTTCTAGCCTGAGATTGTCATGTCGTGCCCAGGATATTTGCGGACAATCGACGGCCAATGCAATTGTCGCGGTGAATGGGAGCTGGAGGCTGGGCTTTTCATCCTGGTCAGGGAATGCTCGGTATGGATCGGCTTGATGCCATGTGTAAGATTGGAGAGAAAGAGATGTGCTGTCCAGTTTCGGAGGCGTGATCCCTTGAACTTCGGGATTGAATGTCAATGCGACATCAATGAACGTAGGTTTAATCACGATGCCATACGCCCCAAGATGAAGTGGATCAGGTTGCATCGCTGCAGCACTGATGGTCCCAAACGGACGCTTGAGCGGGTTGCTACGAAGAGATTTCGTGTCTCGCAGCTTGTATCGCGGGTTCGTCAGCGACACGTGTAGAGGCGGACTCTCGCTTAGTCTTGGAATGAACCGTATTGTTCTCTTGGTCGTAGAGTCTTGACTGTGAGCCGTATTCAGAGATGGGGTCGATGTGACGCAGGCATTGATTCCATATTCAACCTCGACGACCCCAGGACTCATGTCGCCTCGATCCCAGTCTTTTCCTACTGTTGGAGGAGGCAATAAGTGCTTATCTGTGGCAGTCGTTGATACGGTATCGTGCGTGCACGCCGTTGAGTCCAATTGATGGGGTAACGTGAATTCAAAGGGTATTTTGTACGAGCTACCTTTCGTGAGTGTTGTTCCGACCAACTTGAGAATGTCTGGCGAAATCAAGTCTATCTTTAGAAAGCGATGTATAGTCGTAGTTGTTAGCTTTTGACCGACGGTGTCGAATCGTCGTAACCCCATCAAGTGAGACAGTGATGCGGGAAACGCAAATATCAGCAGCAGGTGAAAGAGCTAAATGGCCTTGTACAACGGACCCAGAGGAGTAGATCTTGGCGACGTAATGGTCGGCAAGTTCTATCTCGAGCTTGCAGGGTCTTCGCCAGTTGAGGACCTTTGACGCTGCCTTGGAAATTCCCAGCTCCTCCATTTTGTGGCTTTGCCGAGGAGATGTCATTGAGAATAAGGGTAAGTATCGTTGAACGTGGTAAGGTAGGCTGTGAATATAAAGGATTTCCCAGGTTTCTGATTTAAGCAGCGGGCTTCTCTATACTTATAGGAACTACGGAGTTCCACTCACGCGTACCTTGCTAGGGATTTAAGTTTACGTAACGATTTCTCTCAGCTAACAAGTGCCTAACAGAATATCTAGCTGTAATACTCGCCTGAGTAACTCGCGTACATCATTATGTTACATTTGGGAAGCCTTAGCAAAACCGCATATAACGGTAACTTTACAGCAAGACTTTATCAATATAAGCTCCAAGCTCCTTCAAACCATCAACCAACACCTCCGTCTCACAGACATAGCCCATACGAACATAACCCTTGAAGTCCGCATCACCTCCGAAGCAGCGAGATCCCGCCACAAAGAGGAGCTTAGCCTTCTCCAACAAATCAAGGCAAAGCTTGACATCATCCACAGAGTCCCCATTCTTGTCATTGAAGCGGATGAACGCTGTAGTGCCGGCCTTGGGCTCCACCCACGAACAAACAGACTTGTACCGGTCCATGAAGTCCTTGAGGATGGCAGCGTTTGTCCTGGCGAGTGTGATATTCCGCTTCACCAAGGCGGGCTTGACCTCAGGGGACAGGGCGAACCTGGCGATCTGATCGTCGATCTGGGAGACGCTGATGGTGGTGTAGTCGCGGGCGAGCATGATGGCAGAGATGATGGAGCGATCTCGGCTGGCGATCCATCCGACGCGGATGCCTGCTAGCGCGTAGCCCTTGGACATTGATCCTGTTGCAATGGTCTTTTGGTAACCTAGTGTCGTTACTGGCTTGGGCACTTCAGTGTGATCGCCGCCAGAGGCACCACCGTGGAAGAGCGGTCGGTATACCTCGTCAGAGAAGAGGATGATACCATGATCCTCTGCAATCTTGGCGATACGGTCGATAACACTGTTTGGAATAGGTGCGCCAGTCGGGTTGTTGGGGTTGTTGATAATGATCATCTAAACTGTCAGTACCTAAGGCTGTACAGAATTATAGAGGGCAGTAATGCGTACCTTGGTATTTGGCTTGATCAAACCAGCTAGCTCATCGACATCAGGCACAAAGCCATTCTCTTTCTTCAACTTCCACAGAGTCACTTCGGCACCAAGACTACGAGGAGTATCGTAGAGCTGCTGATACGTCGGATAAACACAGATGACATGGTCACCAGGACCTATCAGCGTATACAAGGCCAAGAAGTTCGCCCCTATAGCGCCCTGAGTGACGATGACATCCTCTGGCGCAAGCTTCACGTCATCAGTGCTGCAGTGGGCAGCGATGCGCTCGCGAAGAGTCTGAGATCCTGGGATCGCCCCGTACGTGAGCTTGATGCTCGTGTCGATGGGGTTCTTGGCGGGGCTGCTGGACATGGCGACTAGATCGTCGATGGACACGGAGGCAGCGCATGTTTCGGCAACGTTGAGGACGCCTGGGGTGGTTTCATAGGCGTCCATCCATTGCTCCACGGCGAAGGGCGTGATGTGAACCATGATGAATGCTTAGATGGCAAGTGTATGTATGTTCTGGTGTGCGTGTGTTAGCTTGGTTTGGTGCTCAAGTTGAAGGCTCCAGAAGGGATGTTTAAATATCTGGTCCTTCCGCTAGACTAGATATCAATTCGCATAAGTGGCCTACGCCCTTGATGTGATGAATGTCAAGATCGAGCGAAGCCTAGATGTTCGACGGCTTGTCCATTGGTCAACAATTGCGTTGCATTAGCCGACGGCGTCGTTCCAGGCCCACTCGCATCCTCGGCATCTGCCGGGATGATCTGAAGACCCACGTTGACGATACCAAAGACAGGTAGCGCCGCTTACTTTGCTTTCTTTGGCTTAGACTAGCCCCATCTACGACTCCAGCTTTTTCAACTTGGAGTTTCTTGCCTTGCAAAAATCTCTCCACTCCAGGGTAGTGGAGCCAGTCAAGGAAGAAGTGACTGGTTACAGCTTAAGTTTGCAATATCTACCGCGTAAAATACTACAATAGGACATGTATTCCGTTCAAGAGTTAGAAGTGGAGGTACCACAGTATATAATCTCAATACGGCGTGGGATTCTGTAAGTCTTAACTAGACAGAACTCCGAGTTTGACGATTCCTTTATTCACATTGAAATTCTCATTCCCACACCTTCCATTTCACTCTGTCCTCCCGCCCTTCATCATGTCCAAGTTTGAAGCAGTCTACACCGCTGACGCCTGTGCGCCTCTACCTCAGTTCTCCCAAGCTGTCAAATATAATGGCATGGTCTACTGCAGCGGCTCCATCGGCATTGATCCCGCAACCGAAGATCTAGTTCCCGGTACCGTCACGGACCGAGCCCGCATGGCACTCAAGAACCTCAAAGTCGTGCTCGAAGCTGCTGGCAGTAGTCTAGACCGCGTAGTCAAGGCCAATGTCTTCTTGGCTGACATGAAGGATTTCGGTGCCTTTAATGTCGCGTGGGATGAGTTCTTTCCTACTGAGCCGAAACCTGTGAGTAGCATTCAATATACCATTTAGATCTATTCTTTGACTAACGTTCACAACTACAGTGCCGGACTTGTGTTGCTGTACATCAGCTGCCTTTGAACACTGATGTTGAGATTGAGGTTGTAGCTAGCTATCAGTTATAGTAGTGTAACTCCTACTAGAAACATCAAACATGACCTAATTCCCTAAGTCAATTGTGATCCTCCCATATAGGTGAATTCTAATGAGAATGTCCTGAACCACAGCAGCTTCCGCTCATTGCCTCCCTCGCCAACTTAGCCCGACTCAAAGGTCGTGACGCAGGAAGCAGATCTCGCCCCATCAAGTCAGGCAGTGGCTTTCGTGCATTCAGCTTGTGCACAGAACGAGTAGCAATCTTGGCAGAGTAAATGCTGTTCAGCCAATGAGCCAATCGATAACCGCCCTTGGCAATCTGCAGTTCAATGGTAGGGATCACAGAGTTGTAATATGTCGGGTAGAGATCGCCTGTCTGCAGGGCTGCAGCACCATTGGGCATTACAACAGTGCAGACGTAAGCATTAGCATCCGAGGCCCATGCCGTAGCTGATGTGATCGGGTCAGTAACGTCGCTGTCCGCAATCCAAGAAGCAGCTTGAGACTTGTAAGAGCCAGACACAATATCAGAGATGAGCGTGTTTGCCCAAGACTGCGCATCGGTCAGGGCATGGCCACCAATCAGCTTCTCTGGCATATACGTGTCCCAGTCTGAATGCAGATTATCACCAGAGTACCCATTGAAGGTAACCTTGATATCGTTCCCGCCCACCTCGTAGGCCTCATCATGCAGCGGCTGAGTAATGTCGCCCAAAAAGTGGACAAGGAACTTGAGAGCCTCAGCCTTGTTTGCTTTTGTCAGACGGCTATCTCCTACACGTTGAGTGTAGTTGGCAACAGCGGAGATGGAGCATCCAGAACTGCCGCAGTCACGATCATAGTCCACGTTGCAGTTTGTTGGTGGACTGTCCTCTGCATCGATAAAGTGTAGAGGGGCTGACCATTTGCCAGCTGCGGTTGTGCGGTAGGTATCAGCCCACGAGGCGATGTTGGCGAGGTATGAGTCTGAGGTATCGCCTAGAACACCCTGTGCCCTATCTTTATATCAGTACATGTAAGACTGATAGCGATGAATTATGAGCTTACCAGGAAGCAACGTCATCGTCGAGAAAGTGCTGAGCGATGTAGGCAACCGTAGCATGGCCCAGAACACCCCAACCATGAACAGCACGGATAGCCCCAGAAACCAAAAGAAGAGATTTAAGCATCATGGCTAGGCTAGAATAGATTCGAATTGCTGATTAGTGTATCTTTGAAAGACTTTGACACATACTATATACATAATCCTCAATTGCATAGTCGGCAATCTTGCTTAGTTGGGCGACCGATACATGCGCTCAATTGGCCCAATCTAGTCTTATAGCCGGCTTCAGTCTGATGTGCTGGACAAAGGTCCTTTGGCAAGTGCTGCAAGTCGCTACTGCTCGGCACATAATTGCCGGCACGTTGTGCAGATAACCCATTGATAGGTAAATGACTGGAAGATCTGATACACCTAGTTGAGTAGGTCGGTATTTGATTCGAAGATCACAAGTTGAGTGACATTATTCACCTGCCCGAACAAGATTAATTCATCTCTAAACTATAGTGCGGAGTGCTCCGTACTCCGTAGGTTCAGTGCAATATGAAAGGGTCTTTATCTTATCTTTTGATAGTTATCTACAATCTTGACAACCAATAGCCGGCTAATCGGCATAAGATGACAAGGATAGTTGCAGATCTCTTTTCATTATCGCATAGCCATTGGATGTCGTTCTCAGAAGCCAAGTTCATAGTGCCCAATCCCATGTGAGGAATCAACATCTATTCCGCCCACAAAACAGTGCACTGAATCTCCACGTTCAACCTCTCATTCGGCAAAGCCGCAACCTGTATACACGTCCTCGCAGGCGCCTTTCTCTTGTCCGGCCATACTTTATTCCACTCCTTGTTCATCCCCGCGTAATCTCTCATGTCGGTCAAGAAAACAGTAGCGTTGACCACATTCTGCAGTCCACATGCGCCGTTTGTTGCGCCGTCAATAATGGCTCCGATGTTTTGCAGCACCGCTTCTGTCTGTAGGGAAATGTCAAGGTGATGAGTTCCATCGGCGTCTGTGGTGCAGCCGACGACTGTGTTATCGCCGCGACGTGATGATGTGCCAGAGACGAAAATGGTTTTGGCTGATTGAGGCATTATCCGGGCGTGGGGATAGTTGGCGAGCGATTGAGCTCTTTCGGCTGGGAGAAAGAATGGTTCGCCGTTTTGGGACGCCATTTCGAATGCCTCTGTTTGTAGATACTAAAAATTCAACTCTATCAAGGAGATTCAATCGTTGATATTCACTGTGAGCGGAAGTTAAGATTGCCCATCGTTGGGTTAGTTAAGTGGTGGCTACCCGCTTGCCGACACTTTGTGGACGAGCCGGGATTCGGGCCGCCACCAGCTTCCGTGACCAAGAAAGCGACAGTCATTAGTTCCGAATCGGCGCCGTTACCGGTTGTCACCGTCTTCAATGTGATAATTTTGGATCTTCAATTAAATACACTGCTACATCTTTTTACCCATATACCTAGCCGGTCAGCACCGAATAGAGCCAACCACAGCCCAAATGCCAGACTCTCCTATCAAAACTGTCTGGGGACTCCATACACTGGAGTCCGCCGAACGCTTCATCACTTCAGAAAATGCGTCAACGAAACTTTCTCTCCAAAACTATGTCTCCAATGAATTCGATACCTCTTCGGCAGCGAATTACGTTGATTCTATAAATCCCAAGACCGGCAAATCCTTTGCCAAGGTTCCGATCAGTAGCATCGCTCAGGTTGACCATGCGCTGCAGGCTGCTACTGACGCGTTCAGAACATGGTCTAAAACCACAGCAGTCTTCAGGTCCAAGCTGCTTGAGCGCGTGGCGTGTTTGATAGAAGAGAAAAAGGAGCTGCTTGCTGTTTGGGAGAGCATAGATCAGGGCAAAACTCTGGCCCGGGCGAGAGTTGAAGTAGATCGGGCTGCGACAAACTTCAGGTAAGTAGCTACGGAAATTTAAATAAAGAGATCTCATTGACCTGACCATTCTTTAGATATTTCTCAACTTTCATTCTGCACCAAGAGAACGCCGTCAGGATGATCGATGGCGTCGCTCTCACCTACGAGCACCGCTCACCAACTGGCGTGTTTGCGCTCATCTCTCCTTGGAATATGCCCTTGTACCTGCTGACCTGGAAGATCGCACCGTGTCTTGCCTTTGGTTGCACAGCAGTCGCCAAACCTTCAGAGTTCACATCCATGTCTGCATTCCTGCTCTGCGAGATATTTCGGCTTGCAGAGATTCCACCTGGTGTTATCAACATAGTCTTTGGCGACGGAGCTACTACAGGTTCTCGACTTGTGCAGAGCCCGCTTGTCAAGGGCGTCTCTTTCACTGGAAGTACAGCGACGGGAATCAAGATCCGCAGAGATACGGCGGATCAGATCTACAAGCATATTTCCCTCGAGTTGGGTGGCAAGAACCCAACTTTGGTGTTTGATGACGTGGATCTCGACAAAGCAGTCCAAACAGCAGCAACAGCGGCGTTTGAGAACCAGGGAGAGGTAAGACCTGCAGATACATATCCGACTGGGATTCTTGACACTGACTTCATTAGATCTGCTTATGCGGTTCTCGAATCTACGTACAGTCCAGTATCTACGATTCATTCGTCGCTTCAATCAAAGCTTACGTCGAGGCAAATTACAAATGTGGCGACCGCATGGGTGCCGTGGCCTCATTACAGCATTATAACAAGATCGTATCATATCTCGCGTTGGCAAAAGAGGAGAATGCCACTTTCATGACAGGATCTGTGCCGCCCCTCGAGCCCAGCAACGGCTACTGGGTAGAGCCAGTGATCTTAACCGACGTCAGCGCATCGTCACGAATCATGCAAGACGAAATATTCGGCCCCGTCGTTACCGTCACCAGGTTTGAAACCGAAGAAGAGTGTGTCCAGCTGGCGAATGATAGTGCATATGGACTTGCTGCCGTTCTCTTGACAAAGGATGGTGCGCGGATGAGACGGGTTGGCGAGCAACTTGACGCGGGCCTTGTTTGGGTGAACTGTTGGTTGGTCAGGGAGCTGAGTACACCTTTTGGTGGGATGAAGAATTCGGGCACGGGGCGAGAGGGAGGGAACTATAGTCGAGATGTTTTTACTGTTGTGAGGACTCTGCATCTACCAATGTAGAGCACTTCACAGTGAATGCATTATTTGAGACCCGGCATGTCACTAAACGAGATGGTGACACATCCTTCGTAGATGGTGAGTCCACGATTATGGAACTTGAATACTTTGCTGTGAAATTCAACCTTAGAATAACTAACTCCACAACCTCGCTTACCCAAACTTCCCTCGCTCTCCAGATACAAAATGGAATAGCATTTTCATTCTATCGGGACTTCCTATAGTATAGGTTATATGGCTTCGGCAATCGGCCCGCTTTGTTAGGGTGATCGGATATGGACAAACTCTAAATGGTCGGCATGGATGGTTCTTCCTCTCAGACCTTTATGACCACCTGTAGAAACACATCTACCGAAGGAATCTCACAAGGATAATTGGCCATACCCCACGTCGACGTCGTAGCAGGCCACATCATGCCTATCGTAAATAAACCGGCAGATAGTTAGTTGGTGGTTCGTCCCATCTCCACTCTTGCATGCGCGGGCCGCCCGTCGGATATTGATCGAGCTTAGCCACGCAATCACAACCTAAGCCTTTCCGAAATGATATAACATATCAAAGATGCCAATTTCCACGCCCAGAAGCCATATCGGGACGGCGCACCAGACTTGGTTACGACTTCAAGAACATTTTCACATCTCCATACAATGGCAGTTGACACGCTGACAATGACGACCCAGTGCAAAGGGTGCAGTAATGGCATCAAACCTGGAGGCAGGCACTCATCTGGGATGACCGACAATAAATTCTATCGCATCGATCTACATACACATGTCATGCCACGGACCTTACCACGGCTATCTGATCCTGAAGAAAATGGAACTCAATCAAAATCATGGATCGAACTGAAGCCGTCGCCAGTGGATGGAGAATCAGTTGATATATACGTCGATTGCAAACATTTCAGAACCGTCCAAGACAACTGTTTCGACCCGAAAGTCCGCCTAAGGGACATGGACCAGTCTGGTGTCCACGTCCAGGTGTTGAGCACAGTTCCGATCCTGTTTTTCTACGACAAGCCAGGCAAAATGGTCGCCCAACTGGCCCGGGCACTGAATGATCACCTGTCACAGGTGTGCACAGAATACCCGACTCGATTTGTTGGCCTTGCGACGGTTCCCCTTCAAGACGTGAAAGCATCTGTTGAGGAGCTGAAGAGAGCAAAATACGACCTCGGACTAAAGGGCGTTGAGATCGGAACGACAATTGGTGAAATGAACCTTGACGACCCTAGGTTGGACCCTTTTTGGGCTGCCTGCCAAGAGTTAGATATGCCAGTCTTTGTCCATCCGCTGGGCTACTCTCTGCTCAAAGAGAATGAACATCGTTGGGGTCAGTATTGGTCTTCATGGCTGATCGGAATGTATTTGATTGCCCCTTCCCGTAGCCGTGTGTTTCAATCGAGATGCTAACTGAGCTACCATTAGGCCATGTGAGACAGCCTTATCAATGCTGGCCTTGACATCCTCAGGTCTCCTGCTGCGATACCCCCGATTGCGTTTCTGCTTCGCTCACGCAGGAGGAGCATTCCCAACTCTTATGGGAAGAATCGAACACGGATACAATTGCAGGCCAGACTTGGTCGCTTCCAGAGCTGGAGGCCGAAGTCCCTCAGACCACCTTAGCTCGGGTGACAATCTCTGGATAGACAGCCTAGTCCATGACCCGGATCTCCTAGCATATCTCTGCAAGAAGATAAGAGTGGATCGCATTCTCATGGGAAGCGACTATCCTTTCCCTCTTGGCGAAGTCCCTGAAGCCGGCAAGATGTTGACATCTGATGGATCATTGTCTGATTTTCTTTCAATGAAACAACGTGCAATGATTTTAGCGGGGAATGCCATCGACTTTTTGAAGTTGGATGAAAGATTCCAGAATGCATATGAAGATAGCTTGAGAGACTTATTAAACCGAGCTGGTGCCGGTTTGGCTAATTAATGTATATATAAGATTCAAGCGATGTAGCAGATTGTCTGGTTAATGTTGCTTTTATAATATACTATGGTATAGCTATGTGGATAATGACTTCGTTATAGCAATTACTTAGCAGGGCTTTTATTATTTTACAAGACCATTAGTCTCTATCTGGTGGGGGATTTGGTTCAGGGTATGGACAAGCTAAGATCATGAGAAGATCTTTTATTCTTATGTCTGTAGTTACAATGGGATTTATGTATTATGTTAGGTTAATTTATAAGCTATGAACTAAGATAACACCTGCCCATAGAGACCCAGGATTCAGTCGATTAGGGTAGAACTCCAGCATGCGGGCATAAAGCTCTTCGGCTGTCTTGGTCTCGGCAGTTACTCTCTCAAAGACCTCCAAATATTTCTTAGTATCCTTGATCGCTTCAGGCCCAAATGAGCGACTTGGGTCACTGTGTCCACCCACGACGTGACTGGGCTCAAGTGCAGTAATAGTATCCAGACCCTTGATCCACTCCTTTCGCTTGGCAGCCGTTCCGGACTCTCCCAAATATGGGTGAGTATTTGCGTACACCGCATCGCCAGTCACGGCAAGTTTGATAGAGGGAACCCAGAGAGTAGTCGTGTCATCAGTATCTGTGTGACCCGTCCTGACAACCTCCAGCCTCTCGCCTTCTAGTTCAAGGTAGTCTCGCTCAAGAGGTTCAGCAACACGTAAGGTCGGCGGAATCTGGCCCGGAAACAGCTTTTCCCAGAGCCCGGTGAGACGCGCTGGCGCAGTCTCTAGTTTCATCCTGGTCACAACTTCCGGTATTGCGACCATGACAGCACTGGGAAACCGTTCCAGAATGGGGGCGGCGCCAAAGAAATGGTCGCCGTGAGCATGTGTAACATAGATATGAGTGATGTTCTTGCCGCTCTTGAGGACCCAATCCAGGAGTTCATTCGACGCTTGAGAAGTCAACTGGGCGTCCACTAAAATAGCATCTTTGTCGCCGTATATCAGCGTTGAAGAGGTGGGCACCCATCTGAGGTGGTCGTGACCGGCGGGCCCTGAGCGAGTGGCCGACTCTCGTTTGCTGAAAAAGACACTGTATTGTAAAACCATTTTGAAGCGGGATAATTTACGCGGTACTCCAGAGACTGAAATGGCCCCTTATTGAAGGGATATTTATAAGCGACCGGTCGAATGTCTATGTGCATACCGCTGAGTAATTGACTTTATCACAAACGATATATGATATAGTAATCAGGTCCGAACTCCGAAAACCCCTTTGGGACCAAGTGGACAGCTTGCATGGCATGGACTTCGGCAGCCCACAACTTTAGTGTTTGAGTAAGTAAAGCAAGATATCAATCAGACAGTTTAGATATCCCATCACTAAAATAATCTTATAATTCTATATCATGACTTCTTACCTGCTTTCAAAGTTCAAATAGTGTTCATTACGTATCCCCTGTAATTGTCAGTCTTTGTTTTACCTAGTATGCACCTAAAATGCCTCAATACTCTAGCTCGGTTGACGATGCCGCACTGTTTTATCGCTATTATGGCCCAGATGGCGGAACACCGGCAGTCACGACATGGCTGCCTCTGCCAGCCTAGAGCCTAACTCTGGTTTTTCTTTCCAGGCATCCAAACGCTAGAAAAGTACATTATTGCGTGCCAAGTAAGTCTATTACGTTGATCACACATGATGACATAGATACGGAAGGCTATCAGAGAAGCAGAGGCGTTATACTAAGTAATGTGACTACCATAGAACTCTTACTCCTCAGCTAAGTCATTATCCCCGTGCAAGACATTCGTAGTCCTAAAAACGACAGCATCTTTAGGGAGATGGGGCAGAAGAAGTGCCGTATCCCAGTAGAGCCAGACCTCCTTAAAATGTAGCCCCTCCGGGGTTTCGTCGCTTCCACTCTTCCCAATAATTGCAATCATCGTAAGAGGGATGCTAACAGTCGGCTCGACTTCCTTGTTCCCGCGAAGCCAAAGGTTCCGTATATTCTGAGTGTATATCTGGCTAGTCCCATCATCACGCTTAATCTCCACAAGGTGGACCCAGTCGTGCTGGATGCGCTCAAATACGTCGAAGAGCTTCTTCATCCACGCCCACATTTCATCTCCTCCGTGGTAGACGGCGTTGTTCTGGTTGTGGAAGACCACATCCTTGGAGTAGAACTTGAGCCCAGAGCCGGTGTCGTAGCCCTTGGAATCAACGGCATTGACATATTGCTTGAAGAACTTCTGGGTTGGTGACTGCGGGCCATCCTTCTCCCATTTTGCGCCGGAGACGTGACTAATGATGCGAGGCATTGTATGTATCTTGAAGTATTCATAAAGATGAGTTCAAAAATCAATGGAACAAGTAAAAGGAATTGGAAAGACTTGTGTTCTGAGCGACCTGTAACCAAGTCAACACTGTATAGCTGACCCATGATTATTATACGTTTGGTCATTCATAGACTTTCACAAGTGCCGAGGTCTATGGTCACCCGTCTTGTCCGTGCGCTGAAGTTTAATTTTCATTGCTGTAACTACGTATCATCATATCCGGGAGAATTACTAAGGAGCACCGGATTACTAAACGTGGCTAACTTTAGTCATCTGTGCTACAGATTAATTTTCACCTAGATCTCTTTCCTAGTTTATATGCTCAAGAACCGGAACTGAGCCTAGATATACAGTCCTTTATTAGAAGGCAAAGTACAGAGCTAAGTCCGTAGCCTATCTATGTATTGGTTTCTGAGTTAGTAACTAGAAAGAAAATCGAATCTTTCTAGAGATATAAATATGTGCGGGTCCCGACATGCAATTAACTACCTATCCATCAATACTTAACGAACTGGCATATCTTCTCAAATTCCTGACCATCCACCTTCTTGACATAAGTACCCCGCCTGGTTTCAGCTATGGGTCTCTCACGACGAAACATCGAATTTCACGCGTGTGATGGCATCACACTGCGTGGCTGGGTGTACCACCAACCAGAGACCTCGCCATGCATTATCATGACCCACGGTGTTAGTACTATACATCTCTGCTCTGTTGTCGCGTCCCAGGTTACCGGATGTCTAATAAGTAATATCCATACAACTTGGCGGAACCCGCCACTTCCTGCTGCCTAATTTTGCGTCAGCTTTCCACGATGTCCTGGTGCAAATGTCATTATAAATAGAGGCCTTCAACAAGTGGCGAGAGCCTAAACAATTACTCTACCTGGATAGATGTGGGCATTTTGATCTTTATAAAGGAGACTACTTCAAGCAAAGCATAAAGGTGCAAACTGAGTCCCTTGACCAGTATGTTAAATAATAGAAATTTAGCGTCTGATAGACTTGAAATTATACTTACATCCCGGTTCGTTATCTGATGTCAGAAGATGATGGTTTCATGTATTTCAACCTATGGTTAATTGAATGCTCTGATACTTAAGGTAGTTAATCCTTTATGGTTAATATTATTACTGTTCGAAGTAATAATCAACGATTGACCCGCAACACGCCCTTCAATTGACAAGCAAATAAATCTGATCCCGAATAACCTCTCACAATTTTGCATGATTCACCGACCACATCGGCTTCAAAATGTCTTCCACCGTAATTCCAATTATTTTTGAGTCCTACCCTGACCGTGGGTTCAAGGCGTATAGCGTCGTGTTGGGTGCATGGCTGGCTCTATTCCCAGCCTCAGGTCTCCTCAACTCGACTGGTATTTTCCAAGCATGGCTCCTGGTCAATCAACTCGATAAATACTCGGAGCCCCAAATCGCGTGGATATTCAGCACTTTTGCCTTTCTTTTCTTCTTTGGGGGCATTCAGGCGGGTAAGGCTTCCCATATCAAGCATCAAACGCTCAAAGCAACGTATCTGACAATTTGATAGGTCCAATATTTGATAGGTATGGCCTCAAATACCTGCTTCCCACTGGAGCATGTGGCTTGGTGGTGTCGCTGGTATGTACGAGCTTCTGTACAGGTAGGAAGCACCATATGGCAACCTGATAACCAAAGTTCAATACTAACGTCACTTAATGAGAAGAGTACTACCAGTTTATGCTTGCCTTTGGGTGTCTGGGAGGTCTGTCTTCTTCGATCATATGGACCACCAGCATCGCCACCCTTGGACATTGGTTCATGCAAAATCGTGGTTTAGCGACTGGTCTAGCAACAACTGCTGGTGGCATCGGAGGTCTATGCTATCCCCTTGCCTTTTCGCATCTCTCACGTCTAGTCGGCTTTCCCTGGACGATGCGATGCTTTGCGCTAATCACCTTGCTGTGCTTTCTAGCTAGTCTGCCCTTGCTCAAGACACGGCTCCCAGCAAATCCAACATCGCGGCTTGTTCTCGACTGGAAAGGCTTCAAAGATTCCAGGTTCACACTGACAATGATGGCAATATTTATCCTGGATTGGGCTGTTTTGGTGCCTCCAGCATACATGACCACATACTCCTCTTTCCATGGACTGAAGGACCTTTCCCCCAACATACTAGCGATTTTGAACTCAGCATCGACCTTGGGACGTTGTCTACCCGGAATCGTTGCCGACAAGTTTGGTCGATTCAACGTCATGATCATTTGCGCAACTCTCTCTACCTTGTCAATATTTTGCCTATGGCTTCAAGCAAGGTCTAATGCCGCTGTTGTCATTTCCTTCGCTGTAACTTATGGCTTTTTCAGCGGCACAGCTTTCAGCTTGACACCAGTATGTGTAGCTCAGCTCTGCAAAACAGAGGAATATGCTACCAGATATGGCACGGCCTACGGTGTGGTGAGCTTTGCCACATTGGCCGGAGTTCCTATCTCAGGATTGATCTTAGGAACAAGTGACGGCAACCACTACAACGCCTTAGTTCTCTTCTGTGGCACGGCATATGCAGTCTCGGCTCTTTTGTTCCTTTTTGCCAAGGGAGTTAGTAAGGATTGGAGGCTCTTGTCTGTCTTCTAGTCTTGATTGAGATGAAGCCGTTTAAACTGCTAAGACAGGGATGCGACACGAAACACATGGAGCAGCTTGACGACATCAGGTTGGACGTGGAACCCCCAAGTCCATAGACTAATAACATATAAATCACTTACACTGTAGCATCGGATCAAATAGTTCGCCAGCTTTCTTGGTCTTTACAGACGTGAGTTAGGAAATAAACAAGAACAACAACCTCCAAATGACAGGCTAGGCCATATGACAAATACCCCAGGAGTGCATACCGAACACAAATCTAGGGTCTTCACTTATCCCTTGTGTCTCTTAAAGATCAGGTTTCTTTCCAGAAATTGAACATCTGCTACTCGTTAGTCCCTAGCCCTTAATAACATCAGAGATACTCACATGGGATTATAAGCATGAACACTAGGATCATGCAGATCCTTCCGGACGTCAACGAGGAACCTGATGACCTCATCGCGTGACCATCCATGAGCTCTCGTGAAAGACGCCAAGGTCAGCGATTCCAAAGCATTCGAAGAATTATGATAATTCCACGTCCCCAACTCTTTATACTTCTTTTCTCGAGGCCACGGATTAGTAGGCCACTTGAACCTTTTATCGACGACATCGTCAAATCCGACCTCTTGCATAATAGCTTTGATCTTGTCAAACTCGATGGATGTACACCCGAGCTTAGTAAAAGCTTCCCCGAGGAGGTTACACCACTTGGAGAGGGCATGGTCCGGGGTGAGAGTCCCGTCATCGGAGACGATTATACCACCGATTTCCTGGAACTCGGCGTAGCCGCCAGGTTGAAGATTGCTACCCAAATTAGTATTAGGGATGAGAATGGGGACTGAAGACGTGCTTGAAGATCTTGCGGATGTAGTCCTCCCAATTCTTAATACTGAAGACCATCATTCTGCTATGGATATAGTCAAATGGCTGCCCATGTTCCCAGTCTTCGTCAATGTCATCAATAATGAAACGAACGTTGGGCGGGACACTGAAGCTGTTAGCGGGAAAAGCAAGACCCTGTGGTTACTCACAAAGCGGGCTGAATTGGCGAGAGGTCAACCCCAATGACCTGCGCAGTTAATAGGGGTCCAGAAGGATCAGCCAGTGTAGAACAAACCTCAGCTTCTGGATGCTCATCAGCGTAATCAATGGCCCATATCCCGGTTCCCGTTCCTACGTCGAGAACGCGTCCGACCTTTGCACCAGGGTCATTCGGCGGAGCAAGACCGAGTTTATCTCCAAATGTCAGGAGGAAAAGGTGGTGCTGGAGGTCTAATCTGTTAGTGATATGCTTAGAACCGTAATGGTACCATACCTAGACGCTCATTCTCAACCTGGTCATTTGGAAGATGGTATTCTAGCGAGATTCTTAGAGATCAGCGATTGAGGATGACAACGCTTCTTACTTCCGTCTTTGTAGCGATGGTACGTTCTGCCATTCTCATGTCGATAGTTCAAGATAGAACTTGAGATGCTCGTTGTTGATGAAGCGGCATCCTGTCATTTGTCAATCTGGTCCTCGATGTAGATAATTCAGAAGTGAAAGCGCACTGCCCCAATTGACGATTCGGCATAATCAAAGACCTAGCAATATTCAGCATTGAACTTCTGTGAATTCACGGCATGCATCACCTGCTCGTCTGGTTGAAGAATGGGATCGGCGTCTACACTCGACATGCTGAAGTTGAAGATGTGAAAATCGCTCAATTGGGGAGAATTGAAGAGGGAGGAATCTGCCGGTTGAAGTGGCTGATAGCTGCGTGGGCGGCATAAAAATTGTGCGTTAAGCGAATTTATAAGATTCAATATCACTGGTTCTCTTTGGCTGACAGTAACCAACATGCAGATGCGTTACGTGGCTACAACATGGGTCAGTGGCCTGATATGATCTGCAACATGTAGCCCCTCATCTCGGCTTTCACGCAATTATCCATTTGCGGCATCGATCACAGGTGCGATAGATATCTGATCTAAGGAAAAAGTCAAGCTGGAATTTGATGCTGGGAGATCAAGACACCGTGTAGAGTTAGAGTTCGTGGGGCAACCTAGATAAAGATTAAGATAACGTGCAATGCACAGTTTTCCATACTATCGAACTCTAGTTCAATGCATATACAGAGCTTGGCAAATACAATGGATACCTATGATATGGAGCTGCTCAACAAAGAGTGAAGTAGGTCCATGTAGCTTAAGACATCTAAGAAATAGTAAACTCACTACTGCTACCCGTAAACGCATTGATCTTTCCCGTAATAGGAGTCTTGCTATCCCCATAATAGCTCAACCTGTACGTCCCGGAACCAATATCTTTCGCATCCTGCCATCCCGTCTCCCAGGTAATAGCAACCTCACTCGACCCAAGCAGCCCGTCAAGTCTCTTCCACTCAAAAACAAGGTCCCAATCCTCATCAGTCCGAACTTGAACCCACTCAGATCCGTCCTTCTTCTCAACTGCCGCGTAAGTATCCTCCAAGTGAAGATTGTTCCTTGGATTGGCTGCAACGAATCTAGCGCCAATGGTATCGCCGACGGAAAACTCTGACTTGCTCACATCCTCGATAACGTCGCCGAACTTGGTGCCAATCTTGGGATTATCGTAAACGACGCCTGTGGTGAGAGATATGGAGTTCTTGCGATTATCAGGCGCAGATGGACCGGTGGGTGGCTTTGAGGCGCCCTTTTCTTGGAGGAGGTATCCGAGATAGCTGGTAGTCAGGTTAATGTACGCATCGAGACTATGTCTGCCATGGACAGTTGAGCCGCCTTCGTAGCGCTGCACATCATACTCTTCAGACGTAGTACAGTAGTGCGCATAGGTATTTCCAGGTCCACCAGCGACGACAATAGGATCACCTTCAACACCACCTCTATTCTCGATCTCATCACTGATACTCTTGCGCCAACGTCGCGAAGACATAGTCGTAAGCTCAGGTGCAGAAACAATGATGAAGAAATTACCAACACGCAACATCTGAATATCCACGATATTGGGAGCCCAAGCATAAGGCAGTGTAATCTCTCCAGCGTCAATAAGAATCGGCTTGGGTGACTGACATGCGACTTGCTCCTTGGTAGGATTGCGCAGAAACTTTGATACGAGAGCCCAGAAGGGACTAGCATCAGGTTCGCCGGAGTCACCCTGCTTAAAGTCAAAGTACCCAGGACCGTCGGTAGTTCCAGCGGCGAAGGAGTACCCGAAGGCTGCAGCACAGGTCTTTGCTGATGTGCCGTTGGGTAGTTGAAAGGAGAAGTCGGAAAAGTCTTGGAAAGAGTGATATCCGAGAACACTCTTTCCCGTGACCGGAACGCCATCTCCGCCTTGCATCTGGCTGTACAGCTTATCGGCCTGCTTAAAGACGCGACGACCGATTTCCCAGCATGATTTGGTACCTCCGTCATTCAAGCCCCAGAATGGACCTCTTCCGTGACAAGTCTCAATCTTGCCACCGCAAGTCGCATCTTTAAAGTCGCACTTCTGCCCTGAACCATCTTCGCACCAAGCCCCTTCAACATTTGGCGTGGTATCCGCAACCGCAGCTTGGGAGAAGCCAGCCACGAAGTCATCAGTCGCCCCACTGGTTCCACGCACAGCTTGCTCAAGTAGATAGGCACTCACACCCTTATTATCACCAGCGACAAGGGTATTGTTCATGTAAAGACTTGTGCCATGAACGGAGAACCATGTTAGCACACCAGTGACTTTGTTGTCTGAGCCGCGAGTGAACTTGAGCATGGTCAATTCCTTGTCGACTTCATCCTGGTACTTGTCCCGTTCAGACTTTGGATTAGCCTGGTAGGCATATAGACTGCGGTTGATGTTGACGTCTTCAATGCGAATCTTGCCTACGCTGAGACGGCCCTTGGTAAGACTTTCATGTGCCCGTTGGACGGACAGAACAGCACCATCCACGATGGCTTGGTACGCCTGCTGATTGAATCCAAGAGCAGAGATCTGAGGCATGAGGTAATTGTTCCAACCTGCCGGTCCAGCGTGTGAATGCGTTCCGGTGACGGCGACATTGTCAGAAGTGTAGACCGAATACTCAGATCCAAGAGCCGCGATCCCTTCCAGAATACCTCTGCGAACAGCAGTATCGCCAGATTGGGTATCCAAAACCAAGTATACAAATCTCTCCTCAGGCTCATCTGGATTACCCACGATGAAAGCACGAGAGTAAAGTCGCTGGCGCAAGCCCGTTCCTATCTGTCCCAGATCGGCATATCCCATGAGATTGAGCTCGACGACAGGCCCAGTCACGTCAGCTTTGCCGACACCGAGCAAGTAGACATCACCAGAGTCATCAGCTCGCTTGGTATTATCGTTGAAAGCATCTTCAGATGAAGGGACGGCGAGGCATGAAGCTGTCTGGAATAGGAAGGTGGTGAAGCACAGGTATATCAGGAGCACATAAGAAAGATTGCGATAAGTTGCGGTGAACATCATGACCACGATAAAATTGGGTCAACGAATGTGTTCTCTCTAAGAATCATGTTCAAAAAAGATGCGATGGCTGCTGGTATTTATAGTAGTTACTCATCATTTGGTCGTGGATTAAAGTGATGCGATAAGTGGCTTCCAAAGCGGTCTGCCTCAATCCAGTCGTATCCTTTTCAGCAATCACATTCACAAAACCAAGAATCCCATCTCCTTTCAATTACTTCCAAGTCACTATATATACGACAACCGAGGCAATTACCCAAAAGAGCCAAGAATAATGCATCTCTGCCCCTCTGACGATATCTCGCATACGGAAATCCTACCGATTCGAGATATCAGCCATTTAACCGATCGCGCGTGGGTTGCAGTGCATGTACTCTTTTAAGGAGATAGCCCGGCACGTGGCAACCATCAGTACCATAAACAAGGCACGAGAGACAATCCCCGCATCTCGAAGTACCGAATATGTTATGAGCTTGTGGTCGAAATAGGAAGCTGGATCTTTTGTTGGGATGGTGGGTGGGTGCAACTGTAGGTCACGCGAAGGTTTCTTATCAGGAATAGGTTGATAACGGCGCATAGCAGTGTGTATACTAACTTATTTGGATAGTCTTTGTTGATAGACAATCTATGCGTTCTCGCCTTCTGCGATCCTGGCCATTTCTGCTCTGCCAATTGTTCCGTAGCGCTGCGAGTTAAACATCCAGCGAATAATTGTCTCTGTAGCCTGGAACATCTCCCGTTGAGACTCTTCCAGTTCTGGCGCTTGCACCGCGCTCATATTAGATAGGTCAACCGGCCCCTGCTCAAGGCTCATGTTGGCCATCTGCGATTGCATAGCCCATCCATCATCTCGCAGCTTTAGTAAATCCTCATGCCGCTTCCTCAGTGCCTCTCCTCGAGTAAGCGCTTCTTCCGGATAGTCCGGAATAGACTCCAATTCATTTATAGCACTTCTCATGTCCTCCAGCATAGAATCCGGTACAGTCTCACTCCAGCCTTCAATGGCAACCTCATAGCAACCCAGCGCGAGATTAATTGGTGATCCATCGCCAAAATATCGCTGTGCAGGTCCAAAGTCTTGACGGAACCTGATATTGGGATCTGCACCGCTACGTAGCAGCTTTCCGACAAGGAAATGATTTTGGAACAAAGCGGCGCGGCACAAAGCGGTCCCAAGTTTTGGATGATCAAAGTTTATGCACTCTTTGGTCGCGAATGGTGAGTTCTCTGAAAGCATGCATTGGATTTGCGCCATGTAGATTTCTGCCTCGACTACATTCTTGCGGGCTGGTGGTGAGGAAGCAAGGATAGTCCATGCGCTTTGTTGTTCGGCGGGGTCACCGATGTGATCCACGATAAAGTCAAACTGCTCATTGTGATGTAGCACAGGCCCTTGATCGGATGTTATGTCATTTGGTCGTAGTAGAGATCGGAGTATGGCCAGCGATGTCTCTGTTCGTTGCTCAACAAGCTCCTTGAAGATGGAAATCCTTGGAAGCTCAGGCCCCAATTGATAAGGACTGCCAATTCGCGCTCCATGCTGTATGAGGAGATTTGCCAGGTCAAGGTATCCATGTAAGATAGCTTCAACAACAGGCGGTCTAGTCCCTGCTGGATGGTCCGTAACTGAAACCCCTGACGCTATGAGCTCTTCCGCTATGACTGTCCCAGGGGGAGAAGAAGCCGGTCGCGCCGCCAGGTCATTGAGTAGAGTCCGTGGCCACTCAGGATAACTTTCGATCTCACAGCCGTGATCTCTTAATAGTCGAAATGTTTTCGTGTCATTGAGTATGATCGCTTCGCGCATGGGTCGATGATCAGGCGAGCCAGCAGGATTATGGCCCATTTTTAGTAACGCTTCCACAATGTCACGATTCCCAAGTCGAATTTGCATGCACAACGCTTCTCCTGACAATCCACTAGAAGATGAAGTACCCAGTAGTTCTCTCTGCTCTTTGAAAATGGCAAATGTTTCCTCGACGTCAGAACGATATCTCGGGCCGTTTCTGATGAGTCGGCTGAGCAGCGAAAAAGTATCTCTATTACCAGCCATTTGCTCCTGAGTCGCCTTCAAAAGAGTGAGATCGTCAAAGCCATTGAATAATCCTGAAATCTTGGATTGATCATGATCCTGATATAAGAATAGTCGAAGGAAATTTGGCAATGCTAGCATGGCGGCCAGTTGTATAGGTGACTTTCCGTCAACTTGAATCATTGGATCTGCTCCAAGTGCGATGAGGGCTTGAGCGGCATGAATATTCTGGAAGAGTACACATCGCCCCAAAGGTGTCGTCTGGATAGACATCGTTCCCTCCCAGTCGGCGTGTGCTTTGAGTACCTCAGCTCTCATACCACCCGACGGGGCATCTATTAGGGCTCCAGCGTTCAACAGACCTCGAGCCATTGGCATCATCTCGTGTTGTTCAAATCTCCAGAGCCAGTGCAGAGGGGTGTCTTGTCCAAGAGGATGACCTTTTGGATCCGCGCCGTGGCGAAGGAGTGTTAGAGAAGCCTCGAGGTGAGCGTTTCGACAAGCACAGACTAACGGTGTTTCTTCGCAGTCTTGGTTTGGGAGGTCGATGTTTAGCTTGAACGTGTTGATGAGATGTTCGATTGTCCTGGCCTGTCCGCGGGCTGCAGCCATGTGTAGAACTCCATGCCCACGGCTGTTGACAAAGATGTTATCGAAGGGAGTCACTTGCTGAACACTCTCGTTCGTTGCAGGTGAGGTCTTCAACGACTGTTCATAAAGTCCTCCAAGCTCCTCTCTAAGTTCCTGCTGAAGTGTCTCCACATTATCGACGGAAAACTCTTTTCTCAAATGTCGCGGCAAGAAAGCAAGTGAACCAGGAACTCCACTGAAATAATTGGCAAGCCTCCTTGCGTTCTGGTACGTTTCAGTTGCGTTCCGTCTCTGCTCATCACTCAACAGTGGCAAAGCGTCTTCCAGATCTTGACCAGCCTGCCAGCCACCTCGAAGAGTCGCCCACTGCAGACTAGACGGAAGGACGGCTATTAGCTCCGGTGGTGTCTGTCCCAGGGCTTGGCTCACGCGCCATACACATGACGCTGCGAGATACTCAAACCCGCTTGAATCATCAGATCCGGTGACTGCATCGCTTGCGGCTCTTCGAAGCGCTGTGCACGCTTTTTCGGGATCCAGGGATGTGCCGAACTCGGCGATGTGGCATCGGAAGAGAAACCAGGCGGCAAAGAGCTTATGGAGCTCCACGTCGCGACTTTGGTCACCAGATTCCGAAATGGCTTGAAGAGCTTGGAGAATATGTTCCTGCTGTTGCCATGACAGGATGTTCTTTAGCTTCTCGGGCTCAAAAACGAAGCCCGGGTTCACGGGAGCCTTGACTATGGGCCGAAAGCCGGGGCTATGACAAGTCTCAGTAAGGTAGAGTTAAGTCCACTAGGGTTTGTATCTCTTACGTGTTATTTTGAGGATCATAGGTAGCCCCCACAGTGCCCAAGAATAGCCCAGCACCATCTGCACTAATTCCATGCTTTCCCTGTCGGAATGTTAGTTGCAGCCTGGGCAGAAGCTGTCTGACTGAAGAAGGCCACTCACCGGAGGTTCATTGTCTTCAACCTCCTTCCACTTGCGATTCATTTGTTCTATGTTACTCAAGAACTCATCGACTTCTGAAAGCCTAGGGTAGCGAGACATTAGTTGGGTTCCATTTGACTCGATCTGATATGGTTTTGACATACGGGATACCTCTCAGAGCAGCCTGTGCCTTGGCCAAAGACCTATCCGCCAGGTTTTTCTGTATCGTCTGTTCGAGTACATAGAGAACCATCTCGGTACAATCCTGATTGATCTCACGCATGTCAAAGTAATCTTGAATCATAGACGTCGCTCTGTGTAAAAGTCGCCCCGACCTCTTCAATTGAGCCAGCGTCACCGAGGACCCCGACACCTCGCGATGAGGACTAAACTCATAATGGAGATTGGCCAAGTCCCCATCTGCAAAAGTCTCACAGACGAGTAACCCAAAAGAATAGACGTCGCAGAGCTTTGCGGCCTCGGCGGTGACTATGCCGTCGGTTTCCGGCGCCGCGTATCTCGGTGTCTTGCAAATGAAGCGATAAGAGTCATACTTCTCAGAACCATACACAGCGCCTCCAAAGTCAGCCAGTTTAGCTACATAAGCACCTTGACTGGATTTATCTGCGAAGATTAGTACGTTCTGACGCTTGATGTCGCCGTGAATAATGCTGCAGGCGTGAATAATCGAGAGACCTTTCCCCGCATCATACAACAACTTCTGCTTAACAGCGAACGGAAGTGGTGATTTCGAGTTCTTCTGCAGATCCTCTAACGTTCCGTGTTCTGCATGCTCAATAACAAGTTGGGGATAAACGCTTCCGGATGCTCCGTTGGGTCCCCAGCACAAGCCGACGAGGCGCACGACGTTGGGGTGGTACCGAAGGGTTTCGTGGAGGAGAGCGCGAATTTCGAGCAATACGTGATCCCAGCCTGCTTTGGGTAGATCATCAGATTGAGACTGGATTCGAACTGTTTTTAGAGCCACGACACGCTTTTGGCGGATGACTGCGGGGGCTGAACTGCTTGTTTGAGGGTTTGGAATTGCGATGGCTCGTTCAACTGAGAAAGTTGCCCCGCGATCGATGAATGATCGCTCAGTGAAGCCTTGGATGTACTCATCGATGAAAACAGTTTCTGTGTTGCGACCTTTCTTTTCCAAAGATGAGACATGGGCTAGAAAGGTTGGAAACCTGTTTTCATTCCGATTGAGCTGCTCTTTGACTTCTTCCTCTACTGGCTGAAGCTGTACGCTATCTGCTGGTAGGGTCGAAGGAGCCTGCCAAAGAATCTGGCTGAAGGGGTCTATGATAGTCTCCATGCCGAGTGTTTGACGAGATGAAGGGTTCAGAATGCGGAAAGATCGAAGTTAAGCAAGAAATCTGCCTTGGCTTCGATATGTCTCAGACGCTGCGCCTGCATAGCATGATAACGCTCGTGGTTGGATTGTGATTGGCTACCCTAAGCCACCCAAGTTCAGCTCAGCCCAGTCCATTCAGTTCTAGGCTTTCTTGCTGCATCTGCCACGTAACACCGTGAAATCAGGCTGCACTGATTATGACTCGAATAAAATTATCTAGTGTCACTTGACATCAATTAAGCAAACATCAAACGTATCGGATCTAACGGCCACGACACCAGACGTCAACTAACCAACCATCCTCATCCTAGCTAGCTCACACCCTTAGCCTAGCCACGAACTCAGCAGCCAAACACGATGCTTGACCCAGGCTCAATCATCGCCCTCACCCAAATCACATACGAAGGCGCCAAACGAGCAGTCGACCTAGTCCTCACAGCCATACACTTCCCCAAAGAGTGTGAAGAGCTATTTGTGCAGCTGAAGCTCGAGCAGTTTCGTCTGCAGTGCTGGGGTCGAAGTGCGGGGTTAGAGCAAGGCAGACTGATCGAGGCTCTACACCCGATATTTCCAGAGATACGAAATGCGCTTGACTGTATAAGCGCTCTCTTCCAAGACTTGAATAAGTTGCAAGCCAAGTTTGGCATCGTGTCGACGTCTGTGGAGGATGTAGGCCAGCGGCAAAAGGAATTGGCGTACAAGTGGAATGAAGAACTTCACAAGCAGGGCCTGGCACTTTCTGGGAAACAGGCGGAGGATGGGGCGCCGTCGTTGATCTCAAAAGAACAGAAGGCCTTTTTCCCGGCTGGGACATTCAAGGTCAATTTACCAGCTCGGCTGCGATGGGCATTGGGTAACAAGTCTAAGTTTCGCGACTGCGTAGCTGAGCTGGAGAGATACACGAACAAACTGAACCAGCTCTTACCAGAGCGCCAGAGTCTTCAGTACAAACAAGACTGGACAAGAGTCAACATCATAATCGTTGGGAAGGCAGATGACGAAAACACTGTCTCCCTCCTACGAAACGCCCTTGAGGGAAGTCCAGCGATGGAATCATCACTCCGCGGGCTGGTGGACAGGAAGTCAGTTGCTGCAGCTCCGAGTACGACAAACTTCCTCCGAGGCAACCCCCAGCTAAACATGGGAGATTTCTCCATAGGTTTGGGGTTGCTGGACATGGACAGGTTCGTCACGACAAGGAAGACGACCGATGAGCTGGTCATGTTCGAGAAAAAGTCGTGGGATGATGAACGCTCCATGGCCAACCGCTCGAAGCTACAAATGCGACTTGGCCGACTCGTTGCAATGCTTCAGCCAGGCAGAAGTGACTGCATCTTAAAAGCTGTAGGCTTTGCAGAAGATGAAGTTAATAAATGCTGGTGGATCGTATATCAGCTGCCCTCACACACATGGCCTAATCCCAACATTCGTCCTATGACACTTCACGGGCGGTTGGGCCGTCAATCTTTCCATCTAGCCCCACTCGAAGTTCGAATGAAAATCGCCTTCTCCCTTGCATCTGCGTACTCGGAGCTCTTTAGCAGTGGCTGGGTTCACAAGGCTATCAGCAGCCACAGCATAGTATACTTTGGTCCTCATAACGATCTGCTACGTCCTTCAGTCGTTGGTTTTGAGTTTTCTCGTCAAGACACTGAAGAGTCCAACATCGATGCCGCCAAGACGCCAGCACAAGTCGAACGAAGCATTTACCGGCATCCTGATTATATCGGTAGCGAGGCAAAGAGATACATGACTCAGTATGACATTTACTCACTCGGGCTCGTGCTAATAGAGATTGCGTTCTGGCAGCCACTCAAGGATGTCTGTCCATATGCCAAGGGCAACACCTTCGGGAAAGAGGAGGCGAAGAATGTACAGAAGTGGGCAGCACAAGTCGCAGATACCCAATTTGCATTTAGAGTTGGTACTGCGTATGCGAATGCTGTGAGCTGGTGTCTCAAGAGCGGTGCGACAGTGAGCAAAAGTCAGGAGGATTGGCATCCAGCGCTGGCGTTCAATGATCATGTAGTTGTTCCACTTTCAAGAACATAAGGTAGCCTAATGCAATATAATAATCCCTATATATGTGCTTGGTACTGCTCGAATATCTAGCTTTTCAGCCTAAAGCAAGATCTTAGGCTATTGTGAGGGTGACGAGTATTTGGCCTGTATGTGTTTATTATTGTCCTTTACCTTTATAGCCTGGGGGCTGAAGCCTCTTTTAAAACCCGAACCTTACCGCAGTTTGGTACTGCTCTGGCCTGTGTTATCCGAACTCTGTGACACAAGAAGCAAATCCGATAATTCGTTGCGTTCTCCTTTGACTCAGAACAATATGCGAGAGTCCACGTTGATAAGAGCACGGAGTCCTTATGTAGCAGTTGCGGAAGAGCTCGTTGGTCTACTAACAGATACTTTACGATTGAGTCCCGAATTACTTCTACCGCCGTGGCACAGCATACTCTGTAAGCAGTGTCAGGTTATTAATCACTCTCTGGACGCATATCTGATCACGGTCCAGATATCCATAAAAGTGCTCTAGTCATGCTTCCAGGCTCTCTGTGTTCCCTCAAGCTGAATCTTGCCGACGAAGGTACTCTCATGAGCGATTTGCATCATTGTTCGGCCTTTTTCCGTGAATATTAACCACAAAGTACTTCTGCATCACGTTATCTAAGTATTTTGGAGAGTCTGGAGTAGGAGGTACTTAGCTACAAGTATAGTCAGTTACCGAATTTCCTTTTTACAGGCACTTTGCGATGATAAAAGCCGTTAGTAGAGAATAAAGGCAATAATGACCCGGAATCGAAGATACAGGTAGTTATCACCATCAAGTCAACTTTGATAGGGGACAAGAGTCATTTGATTCAGTTCCAGGGAATATGCAATTTCCGTTTAACCTAACATTTAACTATAGTCATCTTAACAGATTACCTAGAGGTTAGGCTTATAATGCAGACGGAATGATCTGGCTTTAATTAAGGATAGGCATTGAATTAATTAGTATATTCCTACTTACGATAATTAAACGTTGTACCTAAAAGGCATAACTTAACTATGTTAGAGTCGTGATATATAAGCGTTCTTGATAAACTGCAGATTCAAGGCAATGAAATTCAACACCTTACAAATTATAAATATATCAGATCAACATGCCTTTGACTAAGTGTCGCCTGAGGTTGTGATATATAGCTTTCTCAACATCAGCTCACAGATAAAATGCCTTACGGTCTGTAAAGGAAAGGACTTGAGTTCCCACTACTCTCGCCCTGTTGGTATTAACTAGACGCAAAATCTAGCAACTTAATGCTTAGGCCTGAAGTCCCATAAACTAATAGCAGTTTGCATATCAACCTTCCTACCTGCTAGTTTCAATATCCATGATATTACCGTGCCATAAGATGCCTTGCCTCCCATATGACCCTGGCCTCGAAAGACTCTGTTTCAGTATTAGCTTTGCACATAGCGCAGGCCACGAGAAACGCACCTAGCTTCCTTCGGAGGACCATGTTCCAGACAAAGATAGAGGTCATCGATTGGGAATATGCTGTCATCCGTGCCCTGTAGAAATATCTCTATTAGTTCCACAGCTTTTCACATAGTCGAGACTATTGATAGTCAACATACGTTAACAAGTAGTAAGCGAGCACATTCAGTCCTGTCGAGAGTTCCGTCCTTGAGGAGGGAGAACCGATCACCAGCCTCCCCCACAAATCTTCCAGTATCTCCCCGGAAGCCCCATTTCCAAGAGAATGCCTCGGAAGCACTATCCATATTACTGTGAGTAGAAGTAAAGCACGGAGCCAAGACACTTGCCTGTGAGCAAACTCGCGGTAGTCGATATTCTCAAGCCACTTTGAGTCGAAGGCATGATGCGCGGCACCACCGTGAGAGACCAGGCCTAAGAATCTGTCGTGATGCGTATATGCAGCACGAGTAGCATAGTATCCTCCAGTCGAGATACCCCATCCTACCACCCTGTTGATGTCGATGGACTCGTTCTGCTCGATCCAGTCCAGCACGCTTGACCACTGGCGATCAGGGCTTTTAGGATCATCGGCTAGGGCAGGAGAGTCTCCGGTGCCTGGAATCTCTGCAATGACCATTCCAAGTCCACAAGCTTGAAGGACGCCGGCAAAACGTGACATCTCAGGCCTCCAGGCGTCTAAGCCGCACATTCCAAAGACAATAGGAACTGGATTATCTTTTGAAGCACCATCGGGCAAACAGATCCAGATGGGAATATGCTTACCCTCACATTCGAGACCTTGCTCATGTGGCACGAGCACCTCTTGCATATCAATGCCTCGCAGGCGTAGACCTTTGAGAACCGAAACCTTTGATCTTTCCCATGCATTCCGCTGGATATCGTTCCTAATTGCGGGGTATCGACTGATGAACCAGACGCTGGCGGCACGAAGGTAATATTCTGATGCCTCCTCTGGCTCCCCTGCCATTTCAGCAGACTCAGCTTTGTCATAGAGACCGGAAGCATGAGGTTCGAACATTGATGCAAAAGCATTCCATTCGTAAGGCTCTTTGAAATCACGCTTCAGTTGTACATATGGTCAGAACACCCAGAGTCATAGTTCAATATATCACTCACCCTAATCATCTCCTCGGCGATCTCCTTGAAATCTCTCGTGTCTGTGTATAGGAATGGGTACGTTATGTCATCGGCCTATGCTCGCAATGAGCAACTCATCTAGGATAAAAAGGCAGTCAGTGTACTATACCGCAGGCTCCCAGCGTGTTTTCCACAAGTGTGCGAAGGACTCATGGTGGGGTTGCTTGACATCGAGCTGGTCGTGGATGTGATATTTGCCTCCGGGAGCCGTCATTATTGATATGATATCGTAGGAATCCTGTAAGTCTGCTGAGTCTGGGTGAAAGGTACACCTCCAAGTGTCTCAGCCGCTCGTTTGCGGCCTTTTTATGTTGGATCTGGGTTAGTGTTCAAGACATGGACTGGATTCGGATTGACAATCGGGCATTCGGCCCGAAGATGATGCCGAATTGTTCGCCGATGCCGATATGGCCTAAAAAAACAGCCCCACTTGGGAAACACCTGTCGACACCATACTAACATACTTATAAGCTGAGCAACGTTAACCAACGGTCGAGGTGCTGAAGGATTGTCTTATCGTCTAGTCATGTTCGAAGTCTATAACTCACTTACCATCGAGGTGCAATCCGATCCTCCGGTGACGATCTTTAGGAAGAAAAGCTATTGGGCAGTGTCAGAGTCGCTACCTCCATCACTACTTCATTATGGATTTCCTCAGAGCGGTTTTAGAGATATAATAATAATAGCTACTTTGGTAGGTATAGATTTATACCTCAAAGGGTAGGCTGATGCTAACTGTCGGCTGGCTATAGACAGCCGACATATCGCTTTAGCAGCAACAACCATCACAATCGCAGCATCCGTTATCATCGTCATTTGTTTTTGTGCCGTCTCTGCTGCCGTTTGCCTTCACCATTGGCTCTTGCGACTGATATTGGTGCCCATACGTCGCTTGGGTGCACCGACTGTCGCGCCCACAGAACCATAAATGGCTGTCCGCATATAAAACTGAAACGCCCTGATGTTTTCATCAGCAGGAATAAGCTGTAACTCATGATATGGCGTTTTGGTATTCTTCTCGAACCATGGGAAGTCGAGGGCGCAGTCTTCGGGTTCCTTGATGATGCGCTTTGCAAATTGCCGCAAGAAACTCTGACAGTCGTTGAAGCCGAGGACGTATACGCCAAACGATTTATGAGCGGCCTCACATTCCTCATCAACTCTCTTCTCTGATAGCTTAGTCCAGCCAATCTGGCAGATGTTGTAGTCCTGGGCATATGGCTTGCCCTCACTATCAAGGCTCTCCTGTCGAAGCCGCATCATCTCCTCCTGCATGGACCAAGGCGCGATCTTGCTCTCGTAGTCGATTGATGGCACCAAGGATCCGACGAAATGTCCTTTTGGTAGGTTCTTGTACTTCTGTCGCGAGGGGAGTCTCAACTCGTATTTCTTCCCGTACATGAATAATGCCCAGTGGTATAAATGGCCGTCTTTGATCCGACGAGAGAACCACACATTTTCGCCTTTGCCTTTGTCTTGCTCCTGCGCCTTACGTCGCTCGACCTCTTCGATTGATACTTAAAGCTTATGACGCCTCAGCGAGGCATATCAAGCCACCACACTGAAAGCTCGACCTCTTCCTCAAGCCTTTTCCTATGCGCTTCGTCTTTTGCGAGGGCCTTGGCCTCGAGAGTATATATAGCATTCATGATGAATAGCGATGCTGACTGTTACGAACTGAATCATTCTATGAGGGCTCTATGGACATGAAAGGCAATACCCTCTCTCCAGTGCTTCCAGCCAGTTGAGCAATCAGTCAAGTAGGCTTGCATTGTATGTTCCTGTTCGTAATTCTGTCTCAGCATGCTTAACGTTGTCATTGCGGCACAGCTGGCACATCAGCGGCTTGAATCACCGTTTCTAGGCACTCCGTGACCCAAGTGCTTACAGATCCCCTGCCTTCGCATAAGGGCAACCAATCAGCTGGTCGAAATGACTTTGTGAACTGCACAGTGACGTTGTGTTCCTTCGTCATAGCCATTTGGCAGCAATTGCATTTTCTCTCACGCTCAACATTTATCAGCAAGGTACCGTGACGTCAGCTATCAGAGACAGCATCCTGGTCTTATGACCGACCTATCGCGCGCTTGTTCCACTTGTATTTTTGCACAATCAATCCGAACAAACAATACTGGAGAAAATCTGAAGGCAGAATCCTCTTCACTGGTTAACAATGCACGGAATCTCTCGCCAACAGACTCTAAATACCGTCAGGCCAGTGCCATTCGATGAATCCGTATCACTGTTTCACATCCCCGAAAAGACGATTACTCCTGAGAAGTCCAAGCCAGACACTCTTGTTCTGCCTGATGTCTATGTAAACAATCCATCGACTCAACTTCGAGTATGGCATCGAGACATACTTACGAGTCGAGCTGGATGTGTCCAAGCTGAATGAGATCCATAACCAGCTTTGGATGGTCGGGAAGCCGATGCCTGGACGACCTCTACATCAGCATCTAGTGTACGGCCGAAAGACCGTATGCGCTGAGCAAGCGGACCTGCACTTGCTTTGCGACGACTACCGGTTGTTTGTGAAGCCATGTCCAGATTATTCACTGTCGTTTGACTTTTGGGAGCGCTATCTGTGCTGCGGTGACGATAGTCTATGGGTGACGGCCGCCGGCATGGTTCAGTCATACACATGGCTGATCCAGGATAAATGTGATTAGAGGGTTGCACAAGCTGAAGGCATCCTTTCAAAATCCATCACCTGGGAACGCTGGACCGCTTTCGTCTCTTCTTTCAACGACCATCTTGAAGCATCAGATCTCGATGTCAATCCACGATTTAAATATGGCAACCTCCGGCTCCCCCGGATCCAATGGATATGGCGTTTCCGTTCTCGTACTGGTGGCATACACGCATTGGTCAATGGATATCTCAACCCATACTCAAGTTACCGTCATTTCTTCAAGCAGATGGTGGCGCCCATCACAGTGGCAACGGTCTATTTTGCCCTCATCTTGGCTGCGATGCAAGTCGGGCTGGCCACGACTATGCTACGGGATAGCGATGCATTTCAGAGCGCGTCCATGTGCTTTACTGTGTTGGCTATTGTTGGGCCGATCGCGGCGGTTGCAGTGCCGGTAGCCGGGGTAATGGGCTATGTATTCATGTGGAATCTGTGTCATGCGGTGAGGTTAAGGAGGATGGAAAAGTTGGAATCCAAGATGGTAGGCAAACAGGAGGTGTAACTACATGATAAATCCCACTCAGCTTTTAATGATAATCAGTATAACTGTGTCTACACATATCCTAATGTTAAAACTTCAGGATATTCGACCAGGTCTATCTGAAAACCGACATAGTACCGAATCTCGTCCGTATCCCAGGGTATAGGGATAATACTGAGGTAGTTCATGAAGGGTTTACCTCCGTTCCGATAGTTGATTATACTTACCTGGATTTCTCGTCTTTCCTGTACATTCTTCTTGAGGTCATACACAGTACCACTATCCACGAACGGCCGAGGCCGGCCTCTATCAACCTTGCCATCCGGCGATTGTAAAAACCGACAGTTTTTACCAAGAACCTCATGTCGGCTATACCCTGTGAGTGCCCGAAAGCTATAAGAGACATAAACTATGGGACAGTCTTCTAGCGTAATGTCACAGACGACAAAGGAGCAGGACATTCTGATTTGGCCGATATCGAACTGCGGATCCTTCCGAGTAATAACTCGATGAAGGGCTTTGAAGACGTCAAACCCGCTTGGACTATAGACGTCTTTTGATCCAGGTGTTGTTAGACCGGCAGAGGCAGTGGATATTTGAGCCCTGGACTTATCATGTATGGTCTCGGAGGAGGGCTTGGGAGAGGAAGCCTTGTCCTTAGGCAGCTGGTCTACCTCATTGTCTTGATCCGTGGCTTGATTCGGTCTTTTCGAGCCGGGATCAATGCTGAAAGGACTCCCAGATTCTGAATCAGCAAATGGTTTTGCCGGTCCCAGCAACAGATCTTCCATCCACGTTGGCATCCTTTCTTCAGCCTTAGGTAAATCAGGATTGAATCGACAGATAATGAGCTGGGAAGATTCTTTTTCACTGGATAGTCCCACGTATTTCTTTCCAGTGGATGACACGGTGTTGTTGATGTCGTCGCGTTGGCATGATGATGCCGTATCCCTCAACGCTAGTTGTGTATCAAGGGCATCCCAGTCCCCAGACAAATCCTGAATTGGGGATCCAGGGAAGGAGGCTGGAGGTGAATCGTAGAGTGACTCAGTATACTCGAGGAAACGGATCATTGCAAAATTGGCCTCTGTTCCATGCCATTCAGAACCTTTACGCCCTGCTAGGCTAGCCAATTCCACACGGTCGTAGTCCAAGGCTTGCAGTTTTGATTTGATGTCCTTGAACTCCTCTTTGAATTTTGTTTCGAATCTTTTGGTCCGTTCATTCAATGATACAATGGTAGAACTAAGGCCATAGAAGTTAGAAAAAACCGTACCTAGATACCACTACGCACTTACAATGTCATGGCACTCAACGCCATATCTAATGAGACTTTATATGTCGTAATCGTATCTCTGAAAAGCTGGATCTCCTTGTCTTTGAAAGCCCAGGCCATTTGTCTCCAGACTCGGATTCGAATGGTCCCATTTCTTGAGGTCTCAGTAAAACCCTGTAGCAAGGTAGTAAACTCGTCGAATATTTCCAAGCAATTTTCCAAGGGCGCTTTTAAGCTGGCGCAGAGGTCGAGGTGACTAGATAGCCTATCCTGGACATTTGTAATATGGGCGAGAATCCCATATAAAGCTCTCAAATCGGTCGATAGCGCGGCGATGTCCTTTGGGGCATTTTGGAGGGAGTCAATAAACTCGTACAATCGCTTCGAGCCGTGTAGCAGTGCGCCTACAATACCGACGACACTCGCTGTTACAGAAAGCGGATCCGACATTGCAAAAATGGTTGCTTTGTTCAGATTGGAGAATGTGATGGAGGCTGGCGGGGAAGATTTCTCTACGTCCTGTTTCTATTTTCAGCCGTAAATATCATTTATCAGGTATTTGCTTTACTAGCATAATTCGCAATATGACATGCAACTATTCTGCTTCCAATTGGCTGTTAGCCATGAGTGACTTGCAGTCTGCCTTGTAGCGGCCCAACAGGCGACCTGGAAGCCTCGCTGAGAGCCTTGTTGGGTCTTGGTGCATAAACGGCTGCTTACAGGAATGTCATAATCTGACGCACAGTCCTCTCCATTTCCTTCTTCCTAAACATACACAACATCAACAAAATGGAAGTGACTGGCCTCGCCGTCGGTGTTGTTGGACTCGCTGGTCTCTTCAGCGCCTGTTTGGACTCACTTTCACGCTTTCAAAACTATCGCGAATCGAATACCGATACCCATGTATCAAATACTCGTTTCCGAGCGGCTAGAGCCCGATTTGAACAATGGGGAGTCAGCGTTGGCATTTCCAATGGGCGACTACAGCCCGATCACCATCGTGGACTCGACAACAAAGAGAGGGCGAATCTGATTGAGAGCATCTTGGAAATCATAGCAAAGACTATCTGCGATGAGTCAATCCTCCAAAGAAGTCGTACCGGACCCCGATTACAGAGCGGGCAGTTTGGAGGGTTATCGCAGTCTAGAGGCAAGCGATTGAAATGGGCTCTTGGTGGTAAAGAGAATCGCACCGAGCAGGTCGACGTCTTCGAGAAGCTGGTGCAGCAACTTTATAATCTGATTTCGCCAGAGGACAAAAGCCAAAATTTTGAAGGATTGGAGAGCGCAGCATGGGTAGAGGGCATTCGTCAAATGCTAACCAAGATCGAGGACGGGATCAAGTGTAAATGTTACTACCTAGTACCATCTTGTAGGGTTCGGCTGACATAAGTAAGCTGAAATGCGGCGCGATGTACTGTCCTGGCTGGGTAAATCTGCCCCAAACGATAAATACGAAGATTCCTTAGCCAAGCGCGTCGAGACAACCTGCGATTGGATATTTGAGAGACCTATATTCAAATCGTGGCTCTCGCCAGTGGACTCAACCAAGCCAAGCGTTCTGTGGATAAACGGGCCTGCAGGTTTTGGGAAGACCGTTTTGAGTGCTCATATCGTCCACCATCTATCGGAGGCCCTTGATACGCCAGTGGCCCATTTCTTTTTCACAGCTGACCATGAAAGCCGGGAGGATCCATTTTCTGCCCTACGGTCATGGTACCGTCAGATTACAGCTAAGAATGACGATGCTTTTGAGTGTATTCATCGAACCTGGGAAAACAACTCGTCAGAGAATGCCTCTAAAAGGGTGCTTGTTGAGTTACTCAAGGAAGTAGTGACTGCAGTGCCAGGTTGCGTACTCATAGCAGACGGATTGGATGAGTGCTCCAGTTTGGGGAAGGGAGACTCATCAGTTGCCAGGTTCCTGCGAGACGTCATGGGTGTCATAGCAGGCACCGACGTCAGACTTTTGCTCGTGAGCCGAGACGAGCCTGAAATCAGAGAAGCCCTTGCCGAGGGTAAAGACGCTTTGCTGGAATACAAGATCGGCACGAATGATGTTGAGGCGGATACTGCGGCTTTTTCCCAGTCTGTTGTTGACAGGAAGCTCAGTGGAAAAAGCGAGGATCTGCGGTTAGCTATCTCAGAGGCTATGACAGAAAGGTGCCAGGGACAGTTTCTGTGGATCAAGCTGCAAGAGCAGTCTTTGCGGAACACAATGAGCAAGAAACGACTTCAGGAAGTGGTGGAAAACACACCTTCCGGTCTTGATCACATTTATGACCAAAACTGGAGTAGGATCATGGACATGTCGGATCAGGACAGAGATCGGACTTTCGCCCTTCTCCGTTGGACCGCATTTACACTCGACCCTCTTTCCATCTACAAAGTTGTCGAAGCCGTGTTAATCGATCAGTTTGAAGAGCTCGACCCTGATGATTACCCCGAGGATGTCGACGATGAGTATATCACAGGCGAGATATTGGGACTCTGTGGTCCGCTCGTGGAAGTCCACTATGACGAGGAAGATCCATCACCAGGATATAGGACACTTCACATACCACATTTCTCCGTGCGCCAATACCTTGTTCAACATCTGCCAGCACCCATCTGGATGCAACCAAGGGACATTATCAACATGGAAAGGGAAATGATTCATCACACAGTGATAGCAAGGGCCTGTGTTCAATACCTAAGCTTGTCGCAAGTCTGGGACGAGGACGATCAGCCTGACAATTGTTTGCAAGACTTTCTTCCGTATGCGGCGAGCTATTGGACGTACCACGCCAAGTTCGGCTTTATGGACCCATCGCTTAGAGATCTATCGACAGCCTTTTTGAACTATAACAATACTTGCTTCAAGTCGTTGGTGAACTACATTGTGCAAGGCGTGGACCCCTCGAAGTCAGCCTTTCAGCCACAGCTTCGCCCTTTGGAATACGTACTCTATTGCGGTTGGATAGACATGGCACATAATCTCATGGAAAACGCAGATGTCAATGAGATTGGTTCTCTCGGGCGCACACCGATCTTTTCGGCGTGCGTGTCCGGCTCAGCCAAATTAGTGGAAAGGTTCATTCAGCATGATGCCGATTTGAGCATAACGGACGTCGACGGATGGACATGCCTTCATTTAGCAGCCCAACACGGTTTTGAAGACATTGTGAAGATCTTGGTGGAGTCGAACGTTGACTTGTCACCACAGAATGAGTATGGGCTTACGCCATTACATCTTGCCGCGAGAGGAGGCCACATCCAATGCTGTAGGTATTTACTAGAGCAAGGTGCCGATTTCAACATCACAGACGTGCACGGCGGCAATATCATACATCAAACATGCCTTAGTGCTGGTCATGCTGGAATACTCAGACTTATCCTTCAGAATGGACCTGACACTCTAGCAACGGATCATCCATCTAACATGGACACACCGCTATTTACTGCAATGAAAACTGGCGACATCGATATGGTCAAGGTTCTCCTCGAGTTTGGGGCGGCCCATTCCTTATTTGTTACATCTCCTCGTTGGAGCTACCCGCTTAATCTTGCGGCATTTTCTGGCCAGACCGAACTAGTGGAGCTCTTCCTGGAGCATGGTGCGGAAAGGACACTGTCTGTTCCGGATTCCAAGGGTAACACGGCACTCCATAATGCATGTGTTGGCACAGAACACGATAAAATCATTGGTCTTCTTCTTCGCCTAGGTGTTGAGGGATCTCTAGTGATAGAGAACGAAGACGGGAACACACCACTACACCTGGCATCGCAACAAGGCTACGCCAGTTATGTCGAGTTGATACTTCAATATTCACAGCCAGTGCACCAGCGCCTTCTGGAAATCCAGAACAAAAGTCTCAAGACACCTTTGCTTATTGCAGCAGGTAAAGGGTATTTGGATGTCGTAAAGGCATTACTTGCACATGGCGCAGAAAGTACTATTAACATCTTGGAATTTGACAATAATAGTCCATTATTCGTGGCGTCAGCCGGAGGGTTCAGCGAAATTGTCATGGAACTACTCTCACACGGAGCAGGAAGTAATATTGCAGCTCCGAATATAGATGGCGAGACAGCTTTGCATGCTGCCGCGTTTTGGGACCATGTCGAAGTGTTGAAGCTTCTTCTCGAGGTACCTGGTGTCTCTGTGAATCAGAAGACTCCATGTGGATTCTCGCCTCTGTTCATCGCGTCAAGAAATGGAAATCTCAGCATGGTAGAGTTGTTGCTTTCTGTTGATTTAGTCGATAAAGACACCGAAAGTTGGCTGGGCCTGAGCCCCTTGTTCGCAGCAGTGGCCAACGGCCATTTGGAAGTCACAAGACTTCTGCTCTCCAAAGGATGTCATATACAGAACCAGGTCAGCATTGGTGGAGATTTGAACTGGTGGGCTCAACGCTCAAATAAACCCGACCTGCTACAACTACTGGAGCAACATAAAGCCCTCGCCGGTACCGCGAGCGTCTCATGCAGTCCTCTGCCCAGTCCATATACTGATTTGGAGCCTCTATCTTGCGACGCGGGGATCGTAGAGTGCACGCCTGGTGTTTCATGGTGTGAAGTTTGTACCTTGAGCGTACAGGATGACCATGTATTCAATTGCGGCGAGTGCGACGATTTCTACATACGTCTATGCTCAGAATGCGTTACTCGGGGACTTGGACTATGTCTAAGGTCACATGCTCTTTTTCGATGTGAGAATAAATTCAACAGTTAGAGCAGGAACGCCACAGATGGTTCTGTAGATTCTGAGGATTCATAGCTTATATATTTCTTGAAACTTCGTAACCTCTACTAGCCTTGAACCTAGGATGAGGCCTTCGGGGAAGCTGAGATGCAATTATCAGGAGTAATAACCCTAGTTACACACTCTGCTCTCCTATCAATAGACCTCCTAATTCGATGCCCCTCCCTGGCGTTTCTCAAGCACTTCCGCAAGTCCAGCAACAGACGCCTTAACAAGATCCTGCGTTAGCTGGGTAAACTCGGCTTTCACTTCCTCATCGAGCGAATCGGCCTCCGCAATCCACGTCAAACGCGTTTTGCCCGGCTCAATTGCTTCTAGATGTTGCGTCCCGGACAGGCCGGTCACCTGGAGCGGCACAGGCTCCTCGAAGCTGTAGCTAATGATATGCGATTCGTGATCAAGAATCTCGAGCTTTTCATTGAACTCGACGCCTGAGTCGGTTACCGCATACCTGACTGAACCGATCCCTTCACCCTTTGTGGTGCATTGAGCAACCACTGGTGACCATGCGGCGACTTGGTCGAACTTGGAGATTATGGACCACACTTCTTCGATATCGTGGTCCAGCTCCCGTTTGAGTGTGTATATGAGAGCTCGAGACATAATGACAAAGTAGATAGGTAATATTAATTGGCTTCTTAGAGGAGCACAGTTAACACTTGTGGGTGATAGTTCTCATGAACAGAAAGAGCTCAGTTAACCTAGGTTCATACCGTAATAGAGAGTTAGTAGAACACAGAATGTTAAACAATATGGCCTATGAAGGTGTTTTTATATATGCATTTGGTACAAGTCCGCACAGGCGCCCAAGGCGGCCGCATTGGACCATTGAACAGAAGACAACGACAAAGCATCCCGGAGGCTCCGGTATATACTCTAACCCGAAGCTAGAGATGTTATAGGTATTAAATTATAGCTTAAGCCTTTCTTGTCCGAGATCTTGGCCCCGATACTACGGCCTTTAGTCTTTGACAGGGTATAATAGTTTGTCGACATAGTGCCGCTCCGCAAGTCCGCCCACATGCTCGTTTTGGCTGATGTTGTCGGTCAATGCCGATGCATGGATTATTAACCTTGGTTATACTGTCCATGGTACTCTTGCTGAAAGCCTGATAATATATATCTAATCTATCGCTAACGGTTACTGTGTAAATAATAAACTTACTAGAGGTTATATGCACTGACGTGCCACAAAACGTAGCCTGACTCAGGTTCCAAAAGTGCAGCGTAAATAAGAATTGCAGTTCGTCTTCCTATTATTTCTTGTCGGATACTTTAACTTGACCCCATGGTAGTGCTTCTCGTCTGCATCTACTTTTGGATTGTGAACTTGCTTCGGTTTCGCAATTGATCTCCATAGCGGAAGAGATACCAGAACCCAACAATATTAAGTATGGTCAATCCGCCCAATAGACTATAGCCTGTCCCAGTCCCCAGGTTCAGGTAGAGAGGCCTACCAAGCAGGATAGCAGCTGCAGGAAACGAACTTCTCAAAGCACATTAGCGGCGAAGAGACTAGGCACGCAATGAGGATATTCCAACGGGAGATAGGTGAAGATCCCCGGGTCCAGAGCAAAGCAAATGGGAAGCCGCAGTAAAGGAAAAAGGCAAGCGTTGACACCTCCCATGGATTTGAGTCTCTCGGGCCCTTGCTAGACTATAATATTCCAATTCGCGAACTAAAGAGAGATGAATTGACTTGACACTAATTTCTCTGAGATTTATTCCATTGATCTTTAGGTTAGTAGGCACGAAAGACTCAAGGAAGGAGTCAGACACCTAGCAGACCATGACAGCATGCCTACCACTTCCAAGAGGGGTTTGCATGGCTACAACCTTTAGCCTACGTCGCATAGATGCTTATGGTCTGATGTTTACATCTGTTAAAAGCTAATTACGCACTTTAAGCATGCAAGTACATTTTCAGCTCCGACGTGGCACGTAAAGAAAGTCCAGAAACACTCCTTGTATATATTTCATTTCCAGACGGATTCTAGTTATCCAGAATGTGTCAAGAGTCAGAAGTTCCTCAACACTTCTTATCTAGAGCTGAATCTGTCTAGACGCCACTGCGCCCCGCACACATTAGCGACGCAGCGTAGCTCTTTGACATCTGATGCACTGCGCTTGGACTCTTCACCAGGTCATCATGCATATTCCGTACAGGTTACCTGATTGAGTAATCTCTATAACTCGGAGAGTCTGCCAGCAGCATATTGTCTGTTTTTACGACGCTTGGCAGTCACATTGACATCCAAACTATTGGCTTCCTGCATATACGTGGCTGGCTGAGTGACATTTGGGCAGCAACTTTTGTTTGACCTGGACAACGCTCTTCTCGAAAGTGTCCCCGACTTCTCTAGCGTCACTGACGAAGATGCCCGGAATGTTCTCGAAAACTATTTCCGCGACATATATGTCAAGAACGCCGCCGAGTACGGTCTCCCATTAGTTTCTGTCACCGCAGTCACCCAAGGCAAAGACGATTCCACGCTGAAATTGACTGGCTTCGAGACTATCGTGAACCCTCTCAAGGACGGTAGTGGCAATCCACCTCAGATCCAACTGATAGCCAACGTGCCGTATACACCCTGGACCATCTTTGCGCTACCTCAACCATCCCGTTCCACGAATCGCAGGACTTGATTGGAACTGGGTACAGCCAGCAGAGAGTGGTGACTACAGTGGCGCTGTAGCCATCAACAGGGATATACTTGCCCAATTCCTGGCATCCAAACTGGAAGAATTGGCTGCTTCATTATGTTATACAACAGTAATTCACACGGATCACATCGAGCTTATCGGTAACGGGACTCCCATAGTGACCCTACCCCCTTCAACCAGCAACACGATCCATCTGGATTATAGCCCAAGCAATAAAGGACCTCAAGCTATTACCCCTGGAGAGAATTTTCCACTTCCTATCCACGTTACCACTCAAGTGGATACCAAGTATGCCTTGGATGTTTTCTTCGAAGGGACTTCCCTTACGATCACTCAGCACTCTCAGATATATTACTCTTGTACTATGGAACCGACCACTCTAGGATTCCCTGGCTTCGGAAATTTCGCGTGCGACATGAGTATTGTCGATACGACATTAACCGATACCTATGCCATGTCGGTTGACCAGTCTGGTAGCTTGATTTTAGCCAAGCCAGATCAGAAGGAAACTGACCAGTCGGACAACGAGCCTAGAATACGTGGGGGTGATATGGAGGGTGTTTTGTGGGACTCTCTGCGTACCTGCTTGGCCGAAGTGTTTGAGAATATACGAAACGACTTTGCACGGTCTTCAGCTGGGACATTACATGAGCTACAAATCAGTACACTGCAAAACTTCATCTTTCCTGGTGGCAGAGTTTTCACCTACAAGGAGCCCTTCTTTTCCGATCACCAGGACCTGGTGTGCAAGATCACCTATCTTGACCCTGAAGAGGTAGGCACTAAATAGAGTTCCTTATAAAATGAAGATATGTCAACTAGGGGACGCTATACAGGGAAGCGAATATGCTAGTCAGTTTCTATTATAAGAGTTCAATTCATGTTATAGTTTATCATCATCACTAATGTGACACTGACTTTGATCCAGGAGCCGCAACATAGCGATGACGAAGATGACACTTCTGACTCCGGGTCAAATAGCCCGATTCCTCCACCAGAAGGCTGCTCCAGTGGGAGGCTTTCCGCGACCTCGGAGTTAATACAAAATTACGTGCAAGGGGAGATCGTTTCCCCGACAGACAAGTTTGAAGCCGTTCAGAATTCTGATGGGCATTCGCTCCTCTTTAGCTGTGACACATTGGGAGTGTTCTGTGCCATTGAAGAACAGAGTGGTAGTTCTCACACCGGATGGAAGATCCATGATCTGTCGACAGTGACTATACATAGCCATTTTCCAGGCGATTTGGCTAGCGCCAAGGTCCGCACATTTGACGTTGGTCAGAGCGCCTTGGATGGAACCATTGGGTTGATGATGGCTGTCAATCTAGATGGCGCTGATCACTTGTTCATGTCTTTGGGCAACTCGTCTGAAAGTACCTCTTGGGTCGATGCACCAACATGGATCAACGTCCCCTTCGACGCTGCAAATGAGAAACTCAACAACGTTACAATTACTGGAACTATGTTTGCTGAGACCACGGACGGCGTCCAGTACTTGGTGGTAGACATTGATCGCTACGGAAACACGGCCGACCCTCATATATCCCGCTATCACATAGATCCCTCTCGAAGCAATTGGCACTACTGGGTCAAGCACGACGTGACAGTTGACATCTCGGCTGGAAGGTACCAGAGTGCGGTTGGTCGAGTCAGTGGAAAGCATGTCGATGGTATCTACACCGCTGGAAATGCTGGAGGATCGGCACAGCTTATTTACGAGCCCATTATCAACTGGTACGGCGGGGGTCCAGCCACGCCTATCACCTTGCAAACACCGGGGGGGATAATTCCTTCCGCGAAAGCCACCGCTCGTAATGAAGAGGGATCGAGTGATCTCTACGTCATTGCAGGCTCAACATTGTATCGTTTTGCTGCAGATGAGCAAGAAGGTGACTTTGAGCCCTCCGCGCTTGTTACCAGCGAGGTGATAGCTCAGACTGACACATTGAGAGCCATGAACCACGATGGTGTCACGACACTATGGGGTAGGACCGGCAGTGATGAAGTTTACTACATCAGTTGCGAGACAAGCCAGCTGTATAACTCGAACGCTTGGCAGCCCCCGGTTCCTCTCCTTTCTGGAGTCGAGCGCATATCAACTTACATAAACCGCGTCGATGGCGGAAACACTATCTTTACATCTGGCAATGGACGGCTCCAAAAGATCGTGCAAGATGACCCTACTACAGGTGGACTATGGCGCCCACAGAACATCATACTAGCAAATCCTCCAGAGGAAAAGTCCACTTCGTTCAAGTCCTATACCACTACCATCCACATCGCACAGAAAGATGCAGAACTGCCAGCTTCTAATACAACAGTCAAGCTGTCGGCGCATAGTCGTACACCGGTGTACATCAATGGCCTTTACTACGTCATATCGCCTGCCCCAATACAGATTGTGACCGATGCAGGAGGGTCCCTCACCATCATTGACACAACAGAGGGGCTGAATGATGCAGTCTTGACACTTTCCGTGGGAGATGATACCGCTGTCACGATTAATCCCATGAGAAAATCTATGGACAAGCTCACCTCGCTCAATTCCACCTCCAAGCTACGTGACGCCCAGTTTCCCAGCAAGACAGTTGCAGGCGGAATAGTAGGGTCGCCAGACTATACCCGTCTTGTCGATTAATCAGTTGGCGATGACGAGCTTTCCAATGTAGCAAATCACTTGGATGTTCTTGGCAAAGCATACAGCATGCTGGAAACGTCTGGAACCAAGTCACTGTCGGCCAAGAATCAGCGAGCTATAACAATACCTCATACTACAACACTCTTCAGCTTTGGTGGCCTTTTCAACGACGTTGTGGGTGATTTTGAAAACTGGGCTGGCAAGATTGGTGATACTATTGGATCTGTTGCTGGAGATGTCTGGAACTGGATGAAGCACAATGCAGAGGCTTTGGGACAGCTTGTCAAAGATGCCGCGACTGGAACTCTGCACTTCTTTGCAAAGATCGGCGAGAGCGTGTATCATGCTGTTCTAGATACGGTGCATGCTATTGTTGGTGCTGCAGAGTGGGTTTACACAAAGATCAAGACTGGTATCAAAGATCTACTGGCATTTCTTGAGATGTTGTTTGGGTGGGATGATATCCGCCGGAGCAAGGATGTCATACATAACGCATTCAAGCTGTGGATGCAGCACGAGGTGGACTATCTCCCAAAGGCCAAGGACGCTTTGGATAACAACATTGATACTTTCAAACAGAGTCTCACGGAATGGACTCAAAACACTGACCTATCTGCCTGGGGCGGTCTTTCTGAGAACTCAACGAGTCAAAACGTTGAGAACCCAAACAAAGACCAGACTCCAGGCTCCAAGCTCTTCGCCACCCACTATCAGAATCATGCAAACGACGTTCAGTACATTGGAGACTGTCCAGAAGTGGGCTCAGTGGAAGACCTCATAAATGATCTGCTAGGCGTCATTTCCGCAGAGGGTGCTGTCCTCGACGATACCTTCAACCAACTAACCACACTCGCCAAAGACTTGTCAAATCTCAGTGTGCAAGAAGTTCTCAAAAGTATGACTGCCATATTACTCGGTGCAGCCTTTTCTAGCGTTCAGGTTGTAGTTGACGCACTCCTGAACGTCCTCTACAAAGTGTCCGAAACTGTCCTGTCCATCCTCGATGCACCAATTCGAGTTCCGATCATCTCTGACATTCTCGATGCCGTGGTGCCCAACTTCAAAATGCTCTCCTTTCTGGACCTCATCTGCTGGATTGCTGCTATGGGGTTCACAGTAGTGCACAAGATCGTCGAGGGGTCTGCACCATTCCCGAAAGGCAACGAGTACGTACAGGACATTGTCTCCGCAGAGACATGGGAGCAGCTGGAGGATGCGTGCCAGAAAGCGGACTTGTCTTTCCAGAAGACCTTTTTTAAAGCCACTCACTCCATTGCTGCCTTCCTTGCTTTGGTTGGCAACCCCATATCTTCAGCCGAGGCCATGTCTGAGGCTGGTTCACTCGGTATGCTTTCCAAGGGTGCCACCATCATAAAGGTGGTTGCCTCAGGATGTCAAACGATCGGGGATCTTCTCGTCCCTCGATACCCAGTGAAGAACGAAGTCGTCAAGATAATTTCCCATGTGACGACATGCCTCGGAATTCTGACGTCCATCATATTCTCAAGTACGGTTCAGTCGAAACTCAAGGCCAAGATGATCAGCCGTTTAAGCGTGGCAAACCCTCGCGGTGTAGGGGCCATAGTTCATGTCATTCTTGTTGTTCCTCACCTGGCTGTTACTGGGTGGCATTTCTACGAACTTACCAAAGATAGCACTGGAGCAACTCTTACAGCCGCTATACTCGGTGAGGTTTCTTCCCTGGCCTCATGCGCGTCCAAGATCTCTTATGCTGTGGCTGTCAATGATGAAGATCCCGACAGTCGCCTTGTAGCTGTTACGGCCAAAGCAGCATGTGATGATCTATATTCGGGATTGCAGGTTGCAGAAAGCATTGCTGGCTTTTCTTGATCTTCCATTAAGTTATGCCACCTTGCGTGCCTAACACTCAAGCCCGCCATGATGGACCACCAAGAGAAGTCCCTGACCTAGGCAAACTGACCTTCAGCACTCAGGGCACCTGTGCTGTCGCTAGGAAGATTAGTTAGTTTAGTGCCCGCATATTTCCGCTTACTGAGACCCTCGTTTGGTGTTAAATGTAAAATGAGAAACTTGGTAGAGGAGACAGGTTTGCTCAATGGTTTGCACAGTAATGGGAAGATTCAATATGAGCAGCGGTGCCTCGGAGCGTGTATATTACAATGACTTGCCTTTCTCTATATAGCATTTTCTGTCACTGCCAAGGGCATTTAGATGAAATAACACTACATGGACAGTTACTAGATATCTGTGTTCTCGCCATCATACGTATCACGTGAGCAACCACTGCGCTTATCGCTCATCCGTGTTGGTATCTACTGGAAAGCTCCGAGCATATCCAACACCAATTTCTCTTCCCGCAGCTGCCTAGCATTCAATCCCATTATTTTTAGAAACACCACTGCTGCTCAAGCTCCACTCAGATATGTCTACGCATTCCAATATCGTTGACGAGGGCGACTTTGTTGACTCAGATGATGAATTTGAGGTCGAAGAAGTTTCCCAAAATCCCCAACGCTACCTAGAGGGGCTTTACTACCCTATCTGTATCGGCGAAACGTTAGCCAACCAGTATCGAATTGAACACAAGCTGGGCCACGGAGGTTTCTCAGCTGTATGGATGGCATACGACATGTTAGCGAAGAAAGATGTGGCGCTCAAGATTATGACGCCTGAAGAGTCAAATGAGCATGAATACAAGATGCAAACAGAGATCGCCCGACGTATCCAGGATAAGTCTCATCTCATCCTCTATGAAAACACATTTCTCCTCCGTGGATCTCACGGTGATCACCGAGTTCTCGTCTTGCCTTTACAGGGTCCCAATCTTCGAGGCCATCTCCGTCAGAAACCAGTGGCGGTCCGGATGTCGGCTGCAAAGCAACTCCTACAAGCCATCCTTCATCTGCATGACTGCGGAATTGTCCTTAGAGGTCAGTCAAAATATCATATCACTTCTCAAAACAGTTAATCTAATTGGCTCGATAGATCTGAGTAGCGCAAACGTTATGTGGAGCCTTCGACCTATGAACAACAGCAGTGTTGCTGCAAAGTATAGAGAGATTGGGCGCCCCAAGAAGGTTCGACTGGACCCCTACTTATGGAAGGCAGGTCAACTAGTCATGACAATGAGAGCTCAACAGAGTCTCATTGGAGATGATGTATCTCTCGGTGACTTCGGACTTGCAATTAAAGCAGACACCCCAGTCTCACAAAAGCTACAATCACCTGCTATTTATTGTGCTCCTGAAAGAGTCCATGATCAGGACCCGACGTTCGCCACTGATATGTGGAGCTATATGTGTATTCTGGCAGAGCTATATATGGGCTACGCTCTTTTCTATGGATCGGGGAACTCTTCAATCGTATCTTGCATAGTTCACGCTTTAGGCCCTCTCCCTGCTACATGGAAGGGAACTTATAAGGCAGGTGGTGTGGCTAATGATTGGTGGTACGACCAGGACTATGAGCTGGACCCTACTGCATCACTTGAAGCCAAGGTAGCACGGCTACGACCAGAAGTCGATGGAGCAGAGAGAGCGCTTGTGATATCTGTACTTCGAAAAGGTCTTTCGTATCTCCCCCATGATCGATTAACTGCGAAAGAACTGCTAGAGGATGCTTCTTTCCAGTCGCTGATGGAGATTTACGGAGTATAGAACCCACCTACGAGCATTTCAGATAATAAGAAGTCATCGTGCACAGCATGTGGTACATAAAAGGCACTTTCTTAATTAATTGGAGTGATTGTTACTTGGGTGCTAGTTAGGCAAAGCTTTACACCATCTTCTCTGCTACAGCAATCTCTCTAACGCCCATAGAACTATCCCTTCCATCACTTCCAACATGCTCAGCACACCGGCATTTTTTCCAGGTCAAACTTTATAAGCCTCAACTCCCGATCTTTATAAGCCGTGGCAAGTGTGTTGCCATTCAGGACCGATTTCGACGATGCAAATGCCGGAGGAAGCCGCATAATCTTCTTCAGTCCACGATATATCCAGTCTTGCCCTAAAAATAGAAGACTCTGTTCATCCTGCCTTGTCGCGCTTGGGTCTTTGTCTTCTCGGTCACGATGGGATGAGGGTAGAGGAAGTCGACCATTTGAGCAATTCAGGCATCCATCCTCAGAGATCCAGAAAGCTTCGATCCTTCCACCGATAGTATAAGATCCAATCTTAGATCCCTTCTCGATGTCTAACATCAGGACTGTCGACTCGGAGTCATCGTCCTCATTGTCAGACAATACAAGACCTCCGCTTGGTGTGAAAGACATCCATACGGTACCCCGAACATCACACTCAATTATGCGTACCAAGCTCTTGGAAGCGGTTTCTCTGACATCGACGTACCCTTCGGCTTCCTCCGTGAATCTTAGCATCGCAAAGAGATGACCTTTAGGATGGAACACCAATAAGGGAGTGTTTTCACTTATTGTTTGCTTGAACGTGGAGAGGTCCAGAATTACCCATGAACCAGGATCGTCAAGTTGACGACCACCCCAACATAAAGCGAAAACCGTATTATCTGGTGAGAACTCAAAGCTGAAGCAATCAATACACCTTGGAGAAGACTGTCGCCAAATAGGCTCCGTAGCTGTCACGCTCCACAACTCGATAGAAGCATTTCCAGCCACGAAGTCGGTATATGAGATGCCGATGGTTTGGCCATCAGGTGAAAGCTTGATATCTCCAACGTCAAATTCGGAAGTTTTCTCACATTCCATTATCAAATCCAAGGTCGTCCCGTCGAAGACCTCTATCTCCCCTCTAGTCGAAACCAAGGCGATACATGTACCATCGGGCGGGAAGATGATCTTCTGCCACTGCTTGTCAGGGAACAGTTGAGCAGCCATGCTCTTATTCCACAACTGACATGTCCTATTTCTCAGACCCAACGCACAGTATTTTCCATCATGTGAGAAGCAGATGGACGCTACTGACAGATCGATGGGAAGAGGTAATCGGCAGCCGTGCGAGTCATATATCTCGCATGCCTCTTGCTTAAGTCGGGAGATGCACACTAGACTATTATCCGGAGATAGCTCAATTAAGTCGATTAGATGAGCATCGTTCTCTGCAAGCCGTTGTCCTACTAAATCTGATGGAATGTTCCACAGTGAAAGCCCACACCCACCTCTTGTAGCTACAATCCTGCCGTCCCAAGATTGTGCAAAATACCTCTCGAAGTCAGGAATTTCAAATAGCACGACCTTTGACAAGGCCTTGAGGTCAACTAATTCGATCGTGTCATCGCTTCCTACCAAGATATGATTCGCGTTTTGTGTCGTTGTCGAGATCCATCGAACTTTCTCATTTTCATCGGAGTAATATTCAACTTCTTCAGTCGCCAAGTTGATGATAGTGACAGTGCGGCTACCCATGTCATTGTTGATGTGCCTGAACTTCACTACCTCATCCAGATCGTCGATATTCTCGGTGATGCTCTTGTTAATAGTTTCATCTCCACTCCCAGGCCTTCGTATCAAAGGGGTTTGAAGGATTGTTGCGCTGTTTCCATCAGGAAAAACGTTAATATCCATAACGAAAGTCGTGTCGGCACCTCCAAAGACTTTGATGCACTCTCCACTCTCCACACTCCACATGGTCATACTGATAGAAGTCCCCGCAACTATCAGGAATCTGCCATCAGCTGTGAACTGACAAAGAAGCTTCATAGGATCAGGATCTTCGGAAGTAGGGGGCTCTTCCGACCCATAAGGTTCGCGGATACGCAAGACGCGCTTCGCGCACCTTTCATCAACGTCCCATATTCCGAGGTCGCCGTCCTTGGATGTTGAAGCAAATAGTTTTCTGCTTTTTGGTGAGAATGTCAGAGTCTCGATATCCTTCTTATGACCTCCCAAATAAAATGACCTCTCATCCACGAAATCCTTAACCTCAACCCTTCCGGAACGTGTCCCCAGTCCAATAAACTTCCCATCCGATGAGAAGTCGCCGCATGTATATGCATCGGAATCTGCCTTTTCAAAAATGGAACGCTGAGTTCCTGTGACCGAGTCCCACAGCCTGGCTGTTCGATCAAGCGATACTGTGAGCACTAGGTCATAAGCCGGAGAAAAAGCTGCACATATTATTTTCTCAGTATGTCCGTACAGACCACAAAGCTGTGAGGTCCATTGTCCTTCTACCTTTGGCAATTGCGAAATCCAACGAGGCGTGTGAGCTTCGAAGAGTGACCGCGCTTTGCTATCCTTGAGGCTGAAGGTTGTTGCAAATACATATATCTGCAAGGGCCATTCATCGATGACATATCTGTTGCCCAATATAAATTGCTTGAAATAGGAGATAGAAGAAGACAAATCTGGACATTCCGAGGGCTGCATATCCATCAGTCACTATAACTGAATTTCTTGGATGATTACTTACTCGGACTAGTAGCTGTAGCTTATTGAGCATAGGTATAGCTGAAGCGGTTTCCTTGATAAGGATCATGGCCTCGAGCCAATGTAGGAAATGACTTTCAAGAAACTTATGGAGATTTCCACCATCCATGACTCCAACACTACTTCGATCCTCATCATTTAACTTTGAAAGATGGTCAACCCAGTATCTACACGCGTATCGTAGATGCTCTTGAATCTTATCTCTGACTCGTTCTTGCGATATTTCAGAATGATCAATTCCTGGCCAGCGTAATTCGCAAATGTCTTCATGAAGCTCTGATGACATGAGATCAAGACAGCGAAGGAGAGCTTCTTTGTGCATTTTTCTTTCTTGAACTCCAAACTTGAGCTGTTTCGATCGCTTCCTGCTTAAGACGAAATCCCGGAAGGATTGATGAACTAGCTCAAGGCGTGTCGATTCGTTCGGGGGCACGGAGACAATGGCGTGGAGCTTCCTCAGCAACCGGTCGAGGCTATCCGCCAGGGAGGGGAGGAATTTTTTCAAAGTCGGGATAGTAGGAGGTTTGAACAAGACCACGAGAAAGCCTATGAGCGTACATAGAGAATTGTAAGTCTTTTGCCTTATCCTTGGAGACATCCTTTCGCGGTCTGGAAACGACAGGACTTTTCGATAGATCTCATCAATTTTGTTCTGAGGAGAGTCGGCTTCCCAGTCATCTATATCCGAGTCTTTGTCTCCAAACTCATCACTGTCAGCAGTGCTTTCCAGGATCAGATTCAGACGCTCTTGTCTGGCCTCATCGTCGTCAAAGTCCTCGGCATCTAAGAATCGACATGCGGTTGCCGCATAGATGAAAAGACCGTCAGCCTTGTTTCTCAGTTCCTTTATCGTGCTTTCAGTGATGCAACCTTCTGGGACTGCATGCTTTTTTGTGAGTTTGGCGAGACTATAGGCAAGATAGAACATGATGTCGTCTCTGTTGTCATCTCCTTCATCGAATTCTTTGATCTTTTCAAGCACCACTGAGCGATGAAGATTTTGAGGTAACTGTTCAAAGCTCCCCAGAATGTGCTTCTCGGCTCTACTGGTGATGAGAAAGCGAAGCTGAATATGGTGGAGGTTTTTCAGCTGCTCAGCTAATATAGTGATCAGACTTGTAGCTTCGCCTGGAATAGCGCACTCATCCAGGGCGTCTATGACAATGATCAATCGTAGCGGTACCAGTGACCGCTCATCCAGGACTGAGAAAGGCTTAGCAATCAGAGTCTCAAGCTGCTGCTGTGGGGTCTTCGTTCCGATCGCTGAGTTCTTTTCGATCGCTTTAGCAACAAGGGACTTGAAGTCTGGAAACACTTCTGCCAGACATATAGCCACAGTGGGAACAAAGGCCTGGATACTGTTTCGTGACGCATCGCTTTGCTTAAAAAAGAAGCTGGCACCAAGGAACGCTCTTTCAGGTGCGTCGATACCACTTGTGAACGGCATCCTCCGTTTCAACGCATTTGCAACGGTGAGAGCAACAGTTGACTTCCCAGTTCCGGCGAGGCCATGAAGCCAAAATATCATTGCGGCTGTGGGCTCCTCGGCCCATTCATGTATCTCGGTAAGAATGGCCCGTTGGGTACCTTCAAGACAAGGGTTTTCAACTCCGAGAACATCAGTCGAGTCAAAGATAGCTTTTGAAGCGACGGGTAACGAAAGTAGCAGGTCCCTCTGTTGGTAAAGGGATCCAGTATGTCAACATCGTGGCGTGGTGTTGAGATCATGATTGCTTACCTCTTTGATAGACCTTTGTTCATTTTGGATCTCCCGAGCCCTCGTCTCGATATCGCGCACCGCTTCCAAGACTTCTGTAGAGTCTAGTTGAATCTTGTTGAGTTGCTCCCATGTGTCTAATGTTTTAGCAGTGACTCGGTCTTGAATGCCTTGGTCGACAAGCTGCCGGGCAGAATCAATTTCGTTCCACTTTTGTTTCCAGTCTTCAGGCCTGAAAATACCTCCCAGATTCCGGCGCCATTTACTGCGTCCATATTGCAACACAAACTGAATTTGGTATATATAGACTTTTGCATAAATGCTTACCAGTTTGCTTTCGATGCTGGCAGCTAGCTGCTGAGTACTCTCGGTTTGCCTTGAAACATTAGAGCTTGGTCAAAGATTAGGCTAGGGTTTGAAGTTTAACCTTACATTCTGTCTTCAAAGTGGCGAGGTAAGACTGTGTCCTGAATGGCTTGGTACCGGACCAGCAAAAACACAATCTTACCGAGTCCGTCCGCTGCTGCTTCGTCTTGTTGAAATATACTTTCTAGAATCTACCACGGCGAATTTAGTGCCACATATCATCAATAGGGTCCAAAGGCAGCAGCGTATTGCCTGAAACTCACGGGTAAAACGCCCAGGATACAAGCCCACGCCAAAGCCGCATGAGGTTCAGCTGAGACTGCTCCGCTAATGAGAGCTTTGAACTGTGTGATCGTTCGAATAGCCTTTTGAACAGATTCTCGGACCACGATTCGTTTTCCGCCAATGACGAAGGATGTTCGGTTTTCTGGCAGTTCTTCTAGCTTCTTCTCAGCTAGCTTCTGGATCTCTTTCAGTCTTTCAACACCGTGAGAGGTTCTCGAGATGTCCTCTCTGTCATCTATCATCGGTTAGAATTCCCATGACACTTCAACTCCTCCGATACATACTATCTCCGGCCTTTTGTACATAGGCTTCAAACTTATCTAGAAGCTGAGAATGATCGTCGTCGTCTTGGATCATCTTATAAGCCTTGGCCCAGATATGCTCCATATTGAATGGGCGCTCCGTCTCCCCCGCAACATCGGATTGTTCACGGTATCGCATTCCTTCTCGGGTTTACAGAATTCCGGTTACCTGTAGTCTGGCTATCTTCCCTTAATTTCTAGTTAATGTCATCTGATAATATAAGAGAGTCATTCAAGAACAAGTAATAAATAAATCGAGTAATATATACGCCTTAACCTGTCAAAACCCCGCAAGTGAGGCCACCAATCCGCTATAGGGATTAAGCGCCCATATGCGCCAAGGCTATAAATAGCAACCTCGACATCTCCCGCCAACTCTTGGTGACCGCCGTTTGTTCTTAGTTTGTTCTTAGGGACTCAATCCTTCTGGTTGTTGGGGATCGAGGCCATGTAGTACTTTAGAGAGGGTCTAGCAAGTATAAGAGAACCCGCTCAATGTACTCACTATGCACAAGGAAAACCCCGATTTCTTACATCGCTAAGATGGCGATAAAGGCACATGGATTAATATCATTTCTATGTCTATTCTACGGTCTATATGTCCTCCAATTAATCACATAAAGGCGTTCGCGGCACGTCGCAAACTCCAAAAAAGAAAACCAGCCAAGAAAGGTAATAACAATTTTAAACGTTTTACCAAAGAAAAATATAGCATAAGAGCTGTGTTCTTTGGATTAAAATGAAACATCAAAGACATGGTCAGTGTGGAGGCATTAAAGTGCATTAAGGGGGTAGTGCAAGGGGTGTCAAGGATGGAAAGCTCAGAAGTCCCAGAGTGTGCCGAAAGCGTGCATTCCCTCTATATCGATCATTAATTGTCAGCGAAACTCATGAGAAACCCTGGAGTTGTACGAACCTTCACGACATCCCTGCATCATCTCATCATTGCCCTTCATATTAGACGTGATAAAGATAACCTCGGCACCAAAATTGTTCCAGGTATCTCTCAAGAGCTGCATTGTATCCGGTCGACCCCCGCGTTCTTTGGTGTCCCATAGTATCATTCGGTCTGGCTCGATGTTATCGTGGATGAGCCGCGAGATCGTCGATCCGAAAGTGTTGTATTGGTCAGAACCTATCCAGATGAGGAACCTGGGATAGACCGTTAGTAAGAGTCGTTATTGATGATAGATATGGTCAGCTATACCAGTTCTTGCTCTGGATGCATGTCGACAGAGCCGCACCAATGCCTGTTCCGGTGCAGACACGGATACCCCTCTTGAACATGGCCGAAGCATGTCCGATTCCAGCTACAGACAATTAGCATTTGACATGACATGCTACATAACGAGCATTTCGTACCGAACTTCAATTCTCGTGTCCAGATCTTTGTTGGCGGGTTCGCAACAAGACTCTTGGTGAAATCGCCTTGAACACCGCAAACCATGTAATGATAAGGCGAATGGCGCCCTTCGCTGATGATACCAAAAGCGTGATACTCCATCAAGGCTGAACGACCGATGCGTCCCAGGAGACCTTGTTGCATTCCCCTGTTGAAACGGAGGACTGCGACCTTGGACGAGGGTATTTCTACTTCGACGGGGACCTGTCGGACTGTGACCCATGGAAGAGCGATCCTGAAGGAACCAAAGGTCAGTAGTCATTCTTTCCAGGAGCTGGTAAACATGCTGTCACTTACAAAATCGTCATGAAGATGGTAAACCAGATGTTTTCCGTTGTGATAAGGGACTGAGCATTGGAATTATCCTTGCCGCTAGTGGCATCATATGAGTTGCTCAAAACGACGAAAGACCATGTTGCCTGTACAACTGTTAATACCATCAGTTTAATAACAAATCTTCGGCATGACTCACAGCCAAGCCTAGCCAACCGGCGAATCGATGGTATCGCTCAAAGATGTTGTGGTGGTTACTGAAACGCGGGGTCAGTACTATTCGAGGGGTAAGACAAACTTCGACTTACTTTCTAACCCATGGCAATGCACTCACTACGGACGTTATGATGAAGACAACGGTGACGATCCCGGTAATGAGTACTGCAGGTTCACGGATGCTTCGGTGACTGAGAATCTGTACGATATAATACACGAGCCAGCTACAACAAGTCAGCAAACAGCGGAATCATGTATACGAGGGTTGCTTACGCAGTACCAGACAGTGCACAGCCTGAGTGAACTCCTCCAACATGTTGCAGAAACGAAGCTGCCATTAACTTCATCCTTAGCGGAGCCCACTATGAGGTGTTAGCAGATCGAATCACGATATCTTTCATTGACCTACACTTCTTAGTCCGTAGATAAATACCATATAGAGGATCCTAAAGAACAACTCGTTGCGCATCAAGATAGCAAAAAGCAGGTTTCCAAGAACCATAGATCCAAGATGGTCCTGCGCATACTGGAACTGGCCGACACTTGTGAGGATGATGCCAACAAGGTTAAGAGTCACAACGAAAACGAAGAGCCGCTTATATGTGTTGAACCAGAGTATGAACAAGGTGCTCTTTCTGGGCTCCTGCCTCTTTGGCGGCGGCGGTGTAATCTTTTGCTTGGGAAGAATTGGCAACGAGGAGTCCGATTTGGTATAGTTGTGAAAAGACGAGGTCGATTGGGTGGCGGACGACATGTTTCCATCATGAGTCGGAGGAAAAGCAGTAAGATGGCCATTCGCTTTTTCGGAGGCGTAGACTTTGCTCAGTGGTGCAAGTGCCATTCCGGAGGTATCGTGCTGGCCTTTTTCTGCATCGTTGAACTCGCGGTTGAAGCTGCCCTCTGAGTGAGTTTCGTGATAAGGGAATCGGAAACTCATAGTGACAGAGAATGAGGTGAAAGTCGAGGTAAATTGGTAACTTGGAAAAGTGATCAGGACGAGCTAATACCCAGACAGAGATTCAAAAGGCCCTGTTACTGATACTCCTTACGGGCTTCAAACCATTCAGCTGTGATGTCTGATATATAATTATTCTCTTTAACCCCTGAACCGAGGATACTACCTCACTGCCAACGACGTAAAGTTTTATGCGTCATTCGTCTACGTGTAGCCCACGGACTGCGTTAAGTGGGATATCTGATATGCTATTTAAAGTTGACCGCAGCCGAGAACCGAAGTCTATCGCGTGCCTTTCGCTCGTGTTTGGCGCAGGCTGGGGCTCTGGACGCACACGCACGCCAACAGGGGAGCAGAGCCGCCCCCACGGGGCAATCACTCGACGGGTAGACGGGGCCGACGGACCAGGATGACGATCCCAAGGCGGCGGTCCATCGTCCGATGTTTTGATGCATCTCAGATACGGCGCGTAATATTACCACATCCGGCCATTTAACCGAGAAAAAGCATCATTGATAGTTTTACTGCACGCAAAAAGTGTTTATTTCGTCGCATTTAATTTAATCTGCCGATGTGGGATGACGGGCTCCGAGGAGGGTAATAATACGATGTAGTATTTGGAGGTTGAAGTAAGACTTTAGAGCACTTTAAATATGATTCCGAGCTCCAATAGCTCCACTGTAGCAAATGCCGGGCTGCTATTCCGTATTCAGGAACACGCAATGGAGAACCCCACCCAGTGTTTAAATAATGGATACATGAGATTTCGATCCGCGCATATAAAATGCAAATTCCTTCAGAGGGGAGAGGCAATAGGTCGTTTGTTGGAAAGCGGAGCTTGGAGGGGAACTCTATATGATTGATGAATTTGTTCGCTCTGTGGGATACTGCGAGGTTGACTGTGATCAAACTCTCGCCGTTTTTGTATGAATGCCACATAAGGTCAAGTCATATAACTCTAGATAATGCCATTCGAGAATTACAACATGTCTTTCCATACAACATCGATGCCTTTAGAGTTAACTTCTAGCCGGAACGTTTTCTCTGTTCTTACATGTTTCATCCGGCGGCCCGTTTGGAAGGATAAAGTTCCCTGCTAGGCTGAACTCTCTATGTTGCTATCGTATTATACCCGGAAACGGCAGATGGACTTTGGGCTGTCAGGTACAAACGCATGCATGCAGATCAAAAGCTGGCCCCGCTCATGCATGCTCGGTACTGATAAGGGACCTATGTATAGCTAGCCCTACAGTAGCTTCGTAAAGGACACCATCTGATACGTCAACGCAGGCCGTGGGGCCCGAGGTACCATGCAACTGCAACATACGTCATGAATATTTAAGAGAAGCAGTTACAGCATAAACACTCAAGGCGGTCAAAGCGATGCTTTACAGAAGAGGAAGATGCCTAGTTCCGCGGTTCCCGGGAATGTCGTTTGGAACTTTTGACAGAAATCTTGAGTATTCAGCGTTTGTCTACGCCCGTGGTGCTCCGGGAGTCATCCAAGGTTGCAAAGGGGAGGTTTCGCTCAGTGCATACTACTTCTGAGTTGTAAGCAAGGTAGCGAGCCACTCAGTGCCCGGGCATTAGCTAGGCATCTACTCTAAGCGATTCCTACCGGCAATCAACAGATGCGATGCTTCCAGCTGACGGGGCCATCGGTCTTACAGCAAAAGATATCCTATGTGGACGTGGTTATCGCTATTGGCAGTACTTCCTCACTAAGTGACATTCGGACTCTAAGGGACGTATAGGCTAAAACAAAAGGTGGATATCATCCTAGCGGCCGTTGAGTCCCAACAGTATGGGTGCCAGGAACTGCCGTTGATCTGCACTATCGAACCTACGCACCACGCAAGCTCGTATATCCTCGGATTTTCCTGTCTCTATGCAGATACGGGCATATCCTCGCCTCCGCTTAGCATTTCAATGATCCTCTTCAGAGCTTGCTCATCTCCTTCTTTTGTTTCAGCTAGATCTTCGTCAATCCATCCTTCTGTATACCCGCCCCCGAAATCAATCAGCCACGCATTCTTTTGCTCATCGATAATGACATTGCTAGGTTTTCCATTTCCCCAGATTATTTCGTGCTGACGAAGGAGCTCGATGGTTTGCCGTACTTGGGAAGCCCATTTCTCCTTGTTTTGTGGCGTAGCAGTGGTAACAATATCGTCAAGTCTGCGCCCTGGCACCCACTGTTGAAGAAGTCCCAAGATCTGCTTCGTATCGTTGTGATGGACGTAGCCATGAAGTTGAGGAACACGTATAGATCCCAATGAAAAGTATTCCCGTATTTTGTGAAGGTATCGAATCTCCCGTCCCGTTCTGCTACCTGAGAGTCTGTCTGGTTCACCACTCGCCTTGCACAACATGTCTTGCCCTTGTACATGGACGGCAGCTGTAACACTCCTTGAACCACGCTCAAACACCTCGGTAGTAAACAGTTCCTCAGGTATGTAGCTAGGTAAATCTTGGCAGATCCCCAACTCTTCTTGGAAACCTTGGTCAGAGGTAAGGCCAACTGTATAGGTGATATTTGTTTCGTCGGAAGTGATGGGTATAACGGAGACACTGCCTGTAGACGAAGGGGCTTCCAAACGGAAGTGGAAGAAAGGAGGAAATAGATAACGATGCAGAGGTTTGCTCAGACCCTGTCCGCCTTGCGAAGATGTCAACTGACGGAAAAGCGGTCTTCCGGCGTCGAGAATCGCGATAAAGACCTCATCTACAAACTCCTCATACTCGTCGTTGTCCTCACACACGGTAGCCTTGTCTATGACATCAATAAAGTGATCTTGTATAGGACGATCTTGCTGCCTTTGCGTGTCCCTTGCAGATGACCCGTTGCTAGGAGATATGGAGATGGAAATCAAGCAGCCATTGAATCCAAGTACCATATCTGCGCCATCTCCGATGCCACCGTGAAGGTCGTAAACAGCGATGTCATCCATTGCCACAATTTCTACCATGTCGCCCATTTTTCCGAGTCCGTGAAGTGAGATGTACAGTTTATGTGATTGTAAGAATGCTTGGGCGGGGTAGAGACATGAAGCATAAAATAAGCACGCATGGTGAAGAACATTGCGACAGTGATATTCAAGTAAATTAGTCAGCGGCCTTAGGACGGAAATCCGTAACCAACATATCAAACCAACCAACCATTCCGATACAGCCCCGACTGCAAACATCAAAAAGCAAAACTTGTTATCAATCACCTCGAACGTCAGCTCTTCCGATGCCAAGCAGAACCTAGCAATCGGTGAGAGGTTGCCAAGAGACAATCTCCAATAGTGCATCTTTCAGCTGCGCCATTTTCCTACCACTGAGACAATGTTGAACATGAAAATGCCAACTTTGGGATGAGGTGCATGAGGATGTGGAGTTAGTTTCACTTTTTAGTACGAGATCGCCGTAGAAACAAGCCACTTCGATTGCCGTCCGAGGAAGCCGTGTGCACTAAGTTTGCGCAGTAAACTCTAACAACTGCCGATGCTGGGTTATAAAAGAACACGCGGCCGCAATTAAATGTTGTGAGGGTTCTTCCCTGGAATCTGTTCGAGGCTCTAATTTGTATCCAATCTCGGGAATCTTTGATCTGTCCCGGTTACAATGGTTTCTGAGAATACGGCGACTCTGCCCCCAAAAGGTCTGTGGTTCTTTACGCGTAGCCAGGCTTTCTCGGTGTTGATGAATTGACATTTACTCAGTATGGGCGACGTTGGTGACGAATGATGACTATCTGAAGGGCGTATTGACACTCAGCTACCGTCTACGATGCGTCAAATCGAGATACCCGCTTTTGGTCCTATACACCAGTACATTATCTCAAACCAGCGTCGAGTCTCTAAAGCGACGGAGCATAGCAACCCTCCAAGTACCACGACTCGCCCCAACGACCGCAAAGGAATACACCGATGACCCGCGTTTCAACGAATGCTGGACAAAACTGATCGCCTTCTCACTTACCGACTACTCACGTATAGTTCTACTCGACTCAGATATGCTTCCACTTCAGAATATGGATGAACTCATGGATCTCGAGCTTGATTCACCGTCACTAAGCAGATCTGGAGACGCGACTCGCAGTAAAAGGGTGTTTGCTGCTTGTCATGCATGCACTTGTAATCCTTTACGAAAGCCGCACTATCCGCCTAACTGGAAACCCGAGAATTGCGCGTTCACATCACAGCATACTTCACCAGACGTGGCACAAACTACCGGAGCAGATATCTCCACAGGCTTGGGCAAGCTTAACAGTGGACTTCTCGTCATCAACCCATCGAAAATTATTTTCGACCAAATCGTCACGAAGATGAATGAGACTGGCCTTGACTATCAGTTTCCAGATCAGGACCTATTGGCAGATCTTTACAAAGGTCGTTGGGTGGCGTTGCCATATATATACAACGCCTTGAAGACGATGCGGGATCCAAGCGTGCACGGGGCTATATGGCGTGATGATAAGGTCAAGAACGTACATTACATTCTCAGTCCTAAGCCATGGGATGAGCTTGGGTCAGATGGGACCTGGAAGGGGGATAAGCCTATACATAAATGGTGGATTGACGCGTACAAGTCAATGCGTGCTGAGGAAAAGACACTCGGAATCTCGTAAATGGATATTACTCCATATATCTGATGGCCATGCAGAGCTACCTGAGGTATTAAACGAAAGCCATTGACATACTACTACTCCTGCCGTGATATGGATTACATTTTATCTTCCATAAGTCGACCACGGAAAGCTTCGATAGCCTCGATCATGCGCTCCAGACCCAGGTTCAGATACGTCTTTTCATGAGCAAACACAATTCGAAACCAGCCGGGCACATCACTTCCGAAATCAGCGCCAAGAGCCAAGAATATCTTGTGCCTCAACAGAGTCTCTTGTAGACTTGCTTCCAGAGCCCTCAGAGCTTTCTCAAGATCTCCCTCTTGGTCTTTCTGCTTCTGTAGAGTAGCATCAAGTTGTGCGCGCAAGGGCTGGAATAGATCAGCCCATACGAACAAGCCTGCATTGGACCCTTGCTTGTATGGAATCTGATGGCCCTTTAAGAACTTGGTCGTTAGTCTGTAGTTCTCTGCTAATCGTAATCGATTGGTTTTGATGTAACTCTCGATGAAGGTATCATCAGCGAGTACACGCGCGGTCGCAAGGTCGGCCAGGGAAGAAGGTCCGGAGAAGTAAGAGTTTGCTTCACAAGCTCGTAAAAAGGCCTCATTCCGACTGGTCAGACAGCCTATTCTGATACCACAGGAACCAAAGTCCTATCAAAAAGTCAGTGGTTCTTCGCACCAAGGGTTTTTCAATCCCATACCTTGCCCATTCCCCAAAGGGCATGTAGCAAATCTCTATCAATCAAACCACCCGGATTAATAGCCAAAGCTGAAGTGAATTCCGGCGCATTAGGGACGTCTGGGTTCTTCCAGACTGACAGGGCATATACCTCGTCACTGATGAGGTGTAGGTTATGTTTCTGGCAGAATTGCATGTATGCCTTGAGAACCTCGGGAGCATAGCATCGACCTGGCAGATGATTAAAAGAAATGTTCAAGAGTATTAATCGTGCACTCACCCAGTGGGTTATGAGGGTTGCACAACAGGAACACCCTAACACGAATCCCTTGCTCCTCGGCCTCCTCCAAAGCTTTCTCATAATGAGTGACGGTCTCTATACTAAAAGGATCTACATCTCCAAACGAGACACCGATAATCTTGGCTCTATGTTAGGTCAGATAACTGTAGCTTCCTACAGACAGTAAGGTCAGATCTTGACTCACTCCACTCTATAGCCCAGATCAATGGGGAAGTTTCCATAGTGAGGTCGCGCAAGCAAAACGCCGTCGCCTTTATCGCAGAGCGCGAAGCCACTGAGCTCGATTGCCTGGCCTACACCTGAGGTGACAATGACTTGATCTTTTGTGATGTCTTCAAACGGGCCGAAGTGGCGGTTGATGAATCTTACGAGGGTGTTTCGTAGGCGATGAGACCCTATGAAACCGTCACCAGCTGTTAAAGCATGGCTATCAAGACTGAACTATTTGGAAGTCATTATAACTGATACATCTTTTGCTAGATGCGAATAAATACATTCTGGGTAATGTGCTCAATCAGTTCCTTGTGCATGAGCGTCTATCAAGTATCAGTCTTGCATTATTAGCGTCACAGTTGACCATTACATTCCCAGCGACTCCGAGGCTGATGTACCCGTCAGGATTCGTTTCGGGATGCCATAGATCGCTGACTACATCCAGCATTGGCATTTTGCTCGTAAGCGTCGCGAAAGCCTCGCCTCTCTTTGATAGGGTTGCCTTTGAAGATGCCATAATCGGACAAGATACAAGTTTAGATCAGCGACGCTCTGCAACAAAATGTAAAAGCCCCTATAATCAAGTCACAACATCTGCATTGGGTGATGAATCAAGAAAATTTTATTCAATTCATCGTAGAAGGTGATTAAAGTCATCCATGGCGGAATTCCGCCCAGTCCATGTTCTCCAAAGGGCGCGGGATGACATCACGAATAAGCAGCCAAGACTCAAATCGGATGTTACATGCAGTACTGACTGAGATTTGACCTCTTTTACAACACGATACAGGTCATTGTTGCCTATGACATATTTTATGCTGTTCCTCGGGCTTTCTTAGTGGACTGACCTCGTCTGTCTGGCGTTTCCCGGCAGGGTAAGTATCTCAAGACAAGGTTACCAGTCTCGGCGAACTGCGGCATGCGATCAGTAACATCATCTATCACTTTCCCCGATTGTGTCTCTCCCCGATCTTGTGATACCTCTCATGTCGGAATTTTGAGAGTTTCACTGCAAGAGGTTGCATGCCGATCTGTTTCAGACCATCGCCCATATCAACCGAATACTTGAAGTCGGCATAGTTCCGTTAGAAAGAGCTCTTTTATTCGAGAAGCCCCTTCAATTCGGGTTAGACTACCAGAATAACTTCACGGCACATAAAAGCTTGTTCCGGTAGTCAATCATCTACGCCACCAACCCCATGAAATTGCCAAGAACGAGCTGAAACTATAGCGCAACCGTTATCGACTGCTAAACCCCATATTTGGCGTTCTCCCAATATCACGACTTCCCCTCACTTTCACTTCCCTCAAGTGCCGAAGCCCTGACCCTGTCTCCGACGCACTTTAGCGTGAATGGTGCGATGTCACATTGGCGGAAGTTCCGGAGTATTTCTTACCCCCAACTTCCGACTCAAAAAGACACGATGCTACCTTGATGCGTCTGATCGCCATCAGGGCACTGTTTCTTATTGGACATTGAGTTTCTCTGGTCGCAGACGCAGAGATGCACGTGGGAAAAGCAAAGAGGTTCACTAGAGCAAGAACGGTGCTTCATATCGTCAGCCTCAGTTTTGTCAGTTCTAGACTTTTTGGTAATGTCAGTGCTAGAGTCAATGCGTAGAATGACATTTTGAGTGACAGCCGCCCGAAGCTTAAGCGGCCACGGACTGAAGTGAATGGAACTGGATGTGTCAAATAGTTACGAATGCGTGGGGTTGAAGAGACGAGACATGTCGCTGGCAGTGGAGATGGAGATGAAAACAGTCTCTGGGAATCTGCAACGGAATGATCCGTGACATCTCTTCAGTGGATTCGGGGCTGAAGAAAACCTGCTTTGGCAACTGTAGTGCGACGAAGACACCGCGGATCAAATCCTAGAGTCCACGCTTGAGACGCAGGGGCCCATCCACTAATGTCACCAAAGTCATTACGCCCACGTTGCGATTGGTTGAAATGGTTCCTAGTAATTGGGTCCAAATGACTCGATCATCGCTATTAATTATTTCACTGTTACTCTAAGGCTACAAGGTATATCCATAACATCGCTATTTTTTCCATGACTCCATTGATAATCCAAATCGGTTCAGTTTGATCAGTGTTTGGAAACATGCACCGTCGTCTCATTCTTGACGAGAATGCCACCAAAATTTGCTCCAAACTCTCCAGTGCCTGGACTTTGACCCGTGACTGTAGATGTGTACTTGTTCCCCGATGGTCTGAACCTGTCGATGGCGTGGCTCTCAAAGTCTGATACTGAGCCGCGACCACCGCCGTCGTCAGATTCGGCGAGTTGGTGCGTTGAGGAAGATTCGTCGTTGGGCGTGGATTTGTTGATGGTGTCGAGGCGGATGGATTGCTTGGTTTGACTGCGGCCGTAGCTGTTGGGGTAACTTCCTGAGCTGGCGCCTGTTCGGGTTCGGGGATGCGTACAGGTGAAGATGTATGTGCACGCGGGTCGGATCGTGGGTAGAGAAGCTGCAAATATTAGACACCGCTTAGCTAGTAATCTGGGTTGGCGCATACCGGAAACGTTGATTAGATTGACCTCGACTGTCGCCCAGATGACAATGTCGCAGATATTCCACGTCAGATCGGCGGATTTGTCATTAAAGACGCGAGCAGCGACAATAAGTCGGATAGCGGCAGCGCAAATGCTGGGCCTGTCAGTAACTCCATCAATTGGCCCAGGATAAAGGTCACTTACAAGAAGCCAAAGGTGAACATGACCATAATACCAGCCTTCTGAATCATAGGCAGCTGCAATTTACCAATCTGCCACATCGGAAGGATCAAGATGGCGATATCAATGCCCGCATGCACCAGCGTCGTGCCAAAGAAGAACTTCTTATCCTCAATGGCACAATATCCGCCTGCATTTGAATCCCAGAACGCATTGACAGGAACGCAGTGAAAGATACCCATAAAGATCTACCACCAATTAGCCTAGAAGCTTCGATTGATCGCGATGTACATACTCGGAAAATGATCCAGACGATGGCGCATCCGAAGAGGATTTGAATCGGTAGTCGAATGTTGCTGACCCGGAACATGCGCCAGTAGAGACTGAGAATCGAGACCTTGGCGAAGAAGAGCCCGAAAGCGTAAAAGAGCTCGGCGATGAAGAGCAGAAGCTTCGATTGGTACAATGCATCTTCCAATGTGATATTCCTCATTTTCGTGACATCCAAGATATGTAGCCCAAGACCGTGGTTGACCCCTTGGTACAGTTAGTATCGACATCGGTCGCTGGTCGTTGGGCGGGAACCTACAGTAGGGAATAATAATGATCCAACCAACAGAAATGGCCTTCAAACCCGTCAGCACTCACAACATCAAACCCGGCAGATTAAAAAAAAATACTTACATATCCACAAAGAGCAAAGTAATCATCCCAAGACAAAGGAATCCTCTTGAGTCGACGACTCAATAACCGAAGGATAGTGATGATAGTCGCAGCAGCAAACGTGACAAACAGCACGACCCAAAGGTCCGTCTGCCTAGACTCCATCTTCCCGTCCACGGAAGTAAATAACAGAAAGGAGCAAGCACCTCCGCGAATCAGAGTTTGGAGTTAAGCTTACTACACACTCAGTTCGTCAAGAACCAGAGGGGGGCAGCCCAACCATACAGAGTTTGAACAAAAAGAGAGAGACGAGAAGAGCGAAAGGACCAACGCGAACCCGAGAGGATGGATACAATGCGAGAGATATGTATAATTACGCCAGGGGGGCCAGTTCCCCGAACGGAAACATTTTAATTTATCTATCTATTCGAAACGAACCGGTATGTGGGACTTGGAACTAAAGGAGAACCGCAAATCTTGCGATGATCAGTCCCCTCGTAAACAAAGAAAGAACAAAGAGCTTGGGTGAAATTCAAAAGCGCGCTTGTAGGGCCTCAACGGCTATGATCGTCGCTGGATGAGGTCTAAGGAGTCAAGCTAGCAGTTTAGTCGGTTCCACAATGTGACATTCGACGGGTCCACCGGCTTTTTTAGGTCAAGACTTCGTTATCCCGTTCTTGGTTTGGTTCTTGTTCTGTTAGCACTAGAAGAGCCAAGAAAGGCTTGCAAGGTTGGCCTTGGGTTCTGCGGGTAATCTCTGGGCGCGAAGGATTACGGAGTATTCCTTCGAAGATGAGGTGCATTGTCACATCGTGATTCTGACCCAGGAATCAGGGCCAAACCTTGTCATTGTTTGACAGTTAATATCGATAGTGGACCGCCCTCGCAGAACTCAATCTGCGAGTAATCTTCACATGGCATGTCAGCACCTTCTGACTCTTTTAAACTTTCTTTTTCCTGCCGCTGCAGATACTTTGAACTAAACAGTCAAGTGAGGCAGACGCTTCTCTGCGCTGGCGCCATAACCCACGCTAAGTATCAATAGCATCAACACGGGTTCGCTCCCGCATCAGCTCGTAAGGCTAAGCAAAATTACACAAAGACCCAGAAATCTGCCGCTGTGGCCGCTCGCGCGGGGGGGGGAGACGGTAGTTACGCGGGTGTCGTGCCGCAACCACAAAAATACTAGTACAGCGGATACAAGACTTCCGGGGGGGGGCTAGGCTAGCTTCAGGCCCAACTGTAAGGTAGCAATGCGAGGTTTTGCTTCGGTGAAGATCTCGGAACCCAAGATTGAGGATCCCAAGAGCCTGGGCCAGAAAAACAAGAGATCAAGTGTGAAAAAGCAAAGACTGAACACCCTGGGAAAGTGTATCTTGCAATGTGTTGGCTTGGCTGTTGGTTCAGGGTCTTGACTCACCGCGTCAGCGCGTCTAAACAAGGTATCCAATCCTCTTACCCAATCGCCCCGAATGCACCAATCAGTTATCACTTATAGAATGGAGATAAAATATCCCGAATAATCGGGTAATATCTCAATCTTGGCTCCTTGGCACAACGGCATTTCCTGTCTCTCATCTCTTCCTCTCAAGTCTCAACAAAGCACGACCTTTGACGTCGCAGCGGATCTGGGGTCATCTAGTTTCGGAACGGTTTAGACCAGTGGACCAGCCAGTGGACCATGGTCAAAGTGATGCTCAGGCGTCGCCATGCTGCCCTTACCGCTCCGCTCTAATTCTTTTGTAGGCAAACACCGCCTGTGGAGTTTGCCTGGATCCTTCTCCCAGAAGAGGAAGCAAAGCGTCAGGGGCGAGTAAACCCATGGGGGTCTGTGCTTGACGTTGCATGAAGAACCTTTATGCAGACAAGATCGTCGCCCTCAAGCAAAACCACAGTTTCGCCTCTAAAACTCTGCTAGCAAGCAACCCTTCCTCACAAAGATATCCGTAATACAGCTTTCAATGCCTAAAGACCCCTAGAATTTGAAAAGCCGTTGAGACTATAGGCGGTTTGTGGGCGGGAAGCGGGTTATTCCCCCGGATGAGCAGAGCTATCGCGAGTCAGAGACAGTCTAGTACTCGAAATGGTGGTATGCCCCGAGCCTAAAGGATTTACACCGCGGACAACGCGTTTCGAATGCCCACAAGCGCAACCAATCGTCTCGCTATCAATACTCATCCTTTCCCCTCATCGGCTCCGCTTCTCTCATTCGCCTCAAGGGTCCTAACAAAATTGCATTTAATAAATCCAGCCCAGGAACGGCCCGTAGTACAACTTGGCACTTCCTATTACACTTTCTACTACTGCACAACATATCGACGCCTCACAAAGCATATCTCAACAATGGCTCCTTCTACTACTACCCCCGACCTCGTCCCCGAGCCCGTCTCCAAGCTTCCCGAGCGACCCAAGGAGGACGGCTCCGCCCTCAACGAGCACGAGCGGGAGGAGCTTGCGTTTGTCGACAAGTACAGCGCCCCCGATGTATATATCAACGCAAAGACGGATACGCTCTGGTTTCCGTGGATCGGACCCATTGAGCTGAAGCCCATGCGCATGGAGAACAGGACGGGTACTTTCGTCGTCGGTCTTCGATCAAAGGTGGCTGCCAGCCTGGGCAAGCACCGACACCGTGGTACCGTTACAGCCATCACCATGTCAGGAGAATGGGGCTACAAGGAGTATGTGCTACCCTAACCTTGTGCAAAGATTGAGGTGCTAATCTATCGCGATCTAGATACGACTGGGTTGCCCGACCTGGAGATTGGGTTTGCGAGAACCCCGGCGTTATCCACACCTTGTCTGTCCAGGACGACACTGATATCGTGTTTACCATCACTGGTAGCATTGAGTTCCTGAATGATGACGATACCTTGAAGTTCACTCTTGATCTCTTCAGCTTCTCCAAGTTGTATTATGATCACTGCAAGGAGAAGGGCATCAAGCCTAATGATGCTCTCTGGCACTAAATGGAAATGAATAACGGTCGGGATGGTTGGGGTTGGTTACGATATAGCTTTGCATGATTTTCGCATGATAGTCTCCATGAATAACAAAAGAGATATGAACAATGAACATGATTCAGAATATTCGTATCCTGGTGCATTGATCGGGAATGCCGTGTTGTATTGGCTTGGCAATAGCGGTGAGGACCCTCTTAACTATATGCCGAGGTATATCACCAGACCACGTGATGTCTCATGATCCCTTCTCCTATCTATGTCATAGACTCAAACAGTCTCTAAAACACGGGTGATCATTTGATCAAAGGTCTCATCTTGAACCAGGCCGAGCACGTTCATCCAATGAGCCGCTTTGTCAGGGAAGTATGTAACAGGTGCATCGCTGTAGACAGTCGCAGTAGCCAGCTCATAGTACCCTCTGCCCCAATTACCTTCTTCGATATACTTTGTCGCACGAGCGTATAGGTCCTTGTTATCCAAGTTCTCGAGCTGAAACTTGGTGCCTGAGATCTTCTCGAGAGACTCGACGACTTGGCTCTGAGAAGTGTTATAGGATGCGACGTGAACGTATTCGTTCTTGGTCTTGTCTGAATGAAGGAGTGCAGCAGCTGTAGCTTCGCCAACTTGTGATGCGGTCGTAGTGGTGAACTTTGGTTCGCCTGAGTCGACAAGCTCGCCAGTTTTGGTCTTGATGTCTAGGCAGAGTAGTCCTTTGCCTTCGACCAGCATCTAATCTATCGTCAGAACACTACTTTTCTCTGTTAATTGGCAGTTCACAAACTTACCCAGTCAATCCAAGGACCAGTGAAAATGGCCGTCCAAGACAGCCCGTCTGCTTCTTTAGACTTGACATAGTCCATAACATCCTGCTTCCCCTTGAGGAAAGGCGCCATCTTCTCTAGTCCCTCAACGGAAGTGTCGCTTCCAAACTCGCTAGGCATGAATCGCTTGACCTTGGCAGCTGCAACGGCGTCAATGACGATCTTTTGCTCTGCGATATTGGCGGTCGAAAGGGTAGAGATGACGGCATCTTGTCCAGTAAAGACGTCAACAAGAGACGAAAAAGTGTAGTCGGACTTGAGAATTGTAGCATCCAAGAATGTTGAGTCAGTGACGTTTGATGATGTGCGGCTGAGAACAGAGACGTTGAAGCCTGCTTTAACAAGTGCTCTGATGAGATATGGTCCGAGGTTTCCGCGGCCCTATAATTTTTATAAGCACAAAGACTCGACACCGCTGAAGAAGAGAAACTTACTCCGAGGACCATAACGTTCTTGATCTCGGTAGACATGGTGAAGGGAGATATAAAACAAGAGATGCAGGGTAAGTAGATGTTTGAGATGCAAATCAACTGTGCTTGGTAGTGTCGTTACATGACTGGAGATATCTGAACTACTTATAGACTCTCAGAGCAGTGCAATGATTACTCAACCGTTTGTGATTTCTCAGCATCGAGGCATTTCAACATTATCATGGCCTCAATCCAAGCTCATCTCGTCGTGAAGATGGTGGAGTCTAAGCCTCTTTGAGCCAACAGGTGGAAGCTAAACCTTTATGGACCACAGGGTGGAGACTAGTCCTCTTTTGGAACACGCGTATCTGCTGCTGATGATTAGTCAAGCATCATGCGAGTATTCCCTCATCAAAGAAACATCTGGCCGTATTTCCTTAAAATTGCACTGACAAGTCGATCAACTATGGGCTTACTGCAAAGATCGTGTCAAGCTTGCGTCAAAGCCCGACGGCGGTGCAATCTCGCGAGTCCCTGCTGCGAGAGATGCTCCACCAAGCGTATTCCCTGCCGGTACGCCAATGAGCCAGCCCCTGCACCCATCGCCATCAACGAAAAGACACTGAAGAGTATTGTCAAGTCTCGAAAGCTCAAGGAAGAACAGGATTCTCAGAGCTTATCGCGTTTGTTGGCACATGGTGTTCTGGATACGAGACTACAGATCTTCATTCGACAAGTACTTTCTAATGATTCCTATGATGGCTCTCGACCTCCAGACCTGGCAAGATTGAACAGTTCCAGAGTCATGAGCAGGCCGATGAACAACGGTCTCCAAATCTTCAATCCTCTTCATCTGGAAATCGTTCGCGTGTTTGATCAGACGACACTCCATCATCTGTCTGATATCCTTCGGAGCTTCCCAAGCCAGTTCGTGGAGCATGGCAAGACCGCCTTCATTCACTCTGCACTATACACTCCCTCACTGCCACCACCACTCGAGGAAGTTCACGATGTTTGCTATAGCTATCACATCGCCGGCGATTATCTCGCCAGCAGCCGCCTCAGTGCCCTCCGCCTCACAATCAGACGTCTCCTTCGCCTTTCCAAACGGACCAGCACCTTCGCAGACACACTGGCATACGCACAAGCAATAAGCCTCGCCCAAATAATCCGTCTCCTAGAGTGTAACGACACAAATGAAGATGAAATTGAACGCGACAATGAAGAAATGTGGGCTCTGACTCATACGCTATGGCAGCATGCGCCGACTCAACTACCAAGCTCACTAAGTCCCTGGAAAGCATGGCTATTCTCTGAGAATGTAAGACGGACTATAATGGTTTGCAACATTCTCTTAGCAGTTTACAGTTCTTTAAGAAGGGGATATACGATGCATTCACTTTGCGTGGAGGCTCTGCCGTTTGATGTGCGGACAACGCTTTGGGATGCGGATAGTGAGAGTGCTTGGGAGGCTGCTGCGTGGAAAGTGCCGGGGCCTCATTTGGTGACGTTGAGTCACTTCACGGAGATTCAGCGGCCGGACATGAGTGGTTCACGGTTCGAAGATCTTCTGCTCTCGTTCAGGAGATGAAGGATAATGTCGATACATATCTACGTTCTGAAGAGTTTGGAAATTGGTGCAGTTATTAGCATTGTGGAGCCTTGAGCTTCAGAGACAAACGATATTCATTTTTGCCATTGCTTGTTTCTATGACAAAGAACCTCCATTATTCATAAATCATCTGCCTTATCGATGTCTTGTTCTCGACATGGCCAAGACGCTTAGCAAGTGCACTTGGCCAAGCAAAGAAGAGGGATGTTGGGGTCAGTCTCGCAGGTACCCTGGAAAGCACAAGTACCGCCAGCACAGGCCGACTTGCAGGGCTCCAGGGTCTTTGGGTCAGAGTAGAACAGACCACCGTTTTCACAGGCGCTAGACAAAGTCAGAGAACGAATTCTCGCGAAGGTTTGCTCTCAAGGGAAAGACATACGACTGGGGAGCCGCGATGGCAACGGTGGCGATGGCCAGGATGCTAAAGATGGAGAACTGCATTCTGTTGATTGTGATGTGAGTGAGTAATAAAAAAACAGAGGTTCTTCGGGTCGTCGGTGTCTTATATATAGAGATGTACGTAGCTATGTGATCTGTCAATTACTAGGATTGGATCCTTTAGCTGACCACATTCCTATTTCTATCCAACCAGCGTTGCAAATGGATTTATACTACCTAAATCTCACCTCTTACATGGATCAAAGGACTCACCTGCCGATTGTAGCCTAGAGTCGACCGTTACTCTGCATGAACACCGGGGACATATGTAGCTCTCTAACCACAACTAATACCCCTTAAAGGGCAAGAAAAAACTAAACCTTAAAATAAGGTATTAAAATAAACTTAGTAAAGAATACCTTAGATTTAAATTAAATTTACTAAATATTTTTATCGCTTTAGGTCAAGGTCTTGACTTTTTTTCCCTCCTTTAGCTACCTAAGGTCAAGAGATATATGAGGCTATGGGACCACTATACGGATCGTGCTCGGCCATAATGTTCCGATAGGATCCAAAAGGATTCTCGCCGCAGAAGGATCTACTCCCGTACCTCTCGGGTCATGATCCGGGACCCGTCCCGCTTTCTATACGAGATGCGCTTGAGTATACGACGCTGAGTGAGATTTATTGGCCGAAGTCCTTGATTATATGAGGAGGATCGTAGCCCTTGACTCAATGTGATCAAAAGCTTTCAACACATCTGAGTCAGCAATATTGACCTGGTTTGCTTGTGTCGTCGACATCCTTTGAGGCCAGAAGCGGAGTTATGCTTGATGACATCATGCTTGGGACCCCCTCAACCACCATTTCGAGACAGCAATACTGTAATCAGTGACTTCGACCAGACTGGGAGAAGGCAGTCAGTGCCAAACTTCACTTACATGTCAATTGACTCACACTAATTGCGATACAGGTGATATCATGCCGGTGGCACTCCCGGTCTCTAGTCCCAGACCGGCCCGAGTCTTCGGAACCGGCCTCTCGGAGCCGATAACGAACCTTTAAACAGCGCCTTCAACCTCAAAACTTCCCCTCATCGATAACACTCTTCATCTCAAAACATCCCCACAATGTCAGCAACGTATCAAATCGAAAAGCCAGTCCGAGACGACTTTGAAGAATGGTCCAAACTATTCCGCGCCTACATCGACTTTTACAAATCCAAGATTGACGAAGATCAATACGCACGAACTTTCGATCGTATTATCGAGGAGAAGAATGGACTACAAGCGCTGGTCGTGCGACAGGTTAAAGGAGATGAGAAGAAATTAGTCGGGATAGCGCATTTCTTTCCGGAGCAGACGCCTTGGAGCGAGAAGGAAATTCTTTTACTGAATGGTAAGTAAAGACTTACGTGAAGAGTGAAGAGAGGTGTTGACGTGATAGACTTGTTTGTTGATCCGGAAGTTGGGTCTTGGGAGGAAGTTGACGCAGACTGTTGCGGATGTTGCGAGGGAGAAGGGGTATATGAGGGTGCAGTGGGTTACCAAGCATGATAATACTGCGGCGAGGAAGCTTTATGACACTCTTGCTGAGAGTCAGTTTGTTCAGTATAGAATGGCTTTGTAATAGAATGAACCGCATCTAATATGATATCGGCCTTTTAAGGTACACATCTAGTAAAGCGAGTTCCGCAAACCTGTTGTATATGCTTTCCCAGTCCTAATCACTAGTATCGAATAGCAAAATATAGTCAAGGATGCGCCGCCAACATCGCGCCATATGTATTAATACGTTAATCAGAGCGGTAGCGCTGGAGATGTCTCATTTACAAGTAGCACCCGACGATGGGCTAACTATACCCATCTTCACAAAGTCGGAGTAATTCCAGTAATCGCCTTGAGTACCCTCGCCATCAACAGGCACATTTCCAAAGAACTTCCAAGTCCAGTAAGCGCTTCCTTGGGTATACGCAGCCCAAGCCTTGAGACCAGTGTTGAGATTTCGCGCCCGACTGACAAAAGTGTTATTGGTAGCAGCCTGGATGGACCACTCGCCGACGAAAACGGGGAACTTTGGTGAAGCAGTACTCGCGATGTCCTTGGCATCACTGCAGATAAATTCGGCAAGATTCTGGGACGTAGTTGGGCGACCGGCGAAGTAGTAGTTGTGGACATCAAAGACGATGGTAGTGCTGGCAGGGAAGTACTTGGCCCAGTAGTCGACGGGTCGAAAACCACCCTGAAGCATGATGGGTATCTTGGGATTGACCTTTTCAACGCGTGAAATGACGCCTTGGAAGTACCGAAGAACCCAGGCAGCTCCTTGATCACTCAATGCATCTGGCGTGCCAAACTTTGTGATATCCCGATTGTCAACCGGCTCGTTGATGGGGGCCAGGGTAAAACCTTGAGGAACATCGGAGTCCTGGATGAACTTGATAGCAGCGTCGACCGCCTTATAAGAATATTCAAGGGCAGTCTGGTTCTGGAACCAGCCATAATTCCCCTCCTTTTCACCCAGCCCCATGCCGTTCAGACCTCCCGGGAGCGAGTGAATGTCAAGAATGACGTGGATGCCATGCTTCTTGATTGCGTAATCAGATATGGCTCTGAGAAAACGAGCTTGATTGCCACTGTAAAGTTGAGATCCCGGGAGAGTGACCCAAGTATTATATCCAGCCGGCACTCGGATGACGTTGATGCCAGCTGCAGCCATAGTATCGATATCTTTGGTCGTGATGTAAGAAGCGTATCGCTGCTCTAAAACAGGACCGCATTGCGATTTGAGTTTTACACAGAAATCCCACTCATCAGGCGTGCCAGGGGCGTATTGATTCCACCACGTAGGATCGATTACAGCTTCCTGATGTAGCCAGCCGCCAAGGTTGACTCCATTTGCGTTAAAAGTCTTCCAATTGAGGTAGTTGGAAGGCGGAGCGGCGGTAGCCAAGCTGCAATTCAAGGCCGTAACAGAAGCAAATGCCAGGAAAGTCTTCATTGTTGTGAGGCGTGGATGAAGGTTTTGAGGATCGAGTATGAAGGCAAAGGGCTGTAAAGGAACGAGAGCTATTGTGTTGGGAGGAGTTAAGAGTGTCAGACATTACTGGACCTTTTATAGAATCATTGAAGACTTTTACGACCTACTTTCTCGGTCTATTCAGCACCGAAGATGCCATGCTCATTTATTCTCATTTCAATTTACCCTTGATCGAATCAGGTTGTTTATTGGTTGAAACCCCTTCTCCGGAAAGAATAGTGCAGTATATTGCAATGTGCCATCGGCAGCTTGACATAATTCCATCCCGAAGATGCAGAAGTCCTGGAAATCGTGCGGTAAAGTGGAGTCCCCTGAACCGAAGCGGGATGTCCACATGCCGATGCAACTGTACTGTAGACATAATAGTCATAAATGGTTGATTCATGGTAATATAATGACCTGCAGTCCGCATTTATCGTTTGAGATGAGAAGGATAACCTGGGGTAGTGTGGGGGAATCTGGGGATTCGCATCTCCCAATAGGAATTGATGAAAGCCGGAGTCCTTCCCCCAGACCCGGCTTTGGCTAATCCTTATTGGGTGTCTCTCCTCGCGACTCTGAACCATGCCTTCTACGCCGCAATGGTAAAGACTTTTGTTTTCCCCTCTACTTCGGCTCCATGTCCGAAACCTGGGGATGGCAACAGGCTAGCACCGGGGTAGATGGGCAAAGAGTGGACCGTTCCTGTCTGTTACTATGATGCTCTTTATGGTTGGGTGGTGTTTGCTGCAGTCAGTTGACTCGATATCCAAGAAGAGACGTCGTTCGCTGGGTTAAACGCCCGTAGACCCTTCAACTGCACGTTGTTCAGCTCCATCTCACTGCGATATCACTTAGAGACGGTATTGAAGTAATGTAGCTATGCAGTATGAACTCATGCGCTAAAGATATCCATGACCTGTAGAAGCTCTTCCCATCGTCCATCCCGTTCGATGGCAATAGTTCCTTGCGGTTGCATGACTTTATACTCTGTAGTCAGCTCCGTGCCGAACACATACCCCTCTTCATCATTAACGAAAGCCCTGAGATCCCTTATCCATGCGTCCATGAGATCTCTCTCTGCAGGCGTTGGCCCATGCGTAATAGAGTAACTTCAATATGTCAGCAAATCTGCAGTACGGCGATCTGGTTAGTGGCTGTTGACTTACTTCCATATAGGCCTGTCCATAGCATGGCTCACACCAAACGAGGCTGGAGCAACTTCATTCGTTATGAACGACAAGCGATATGCAATGAGATATCTCCAGACATTCTTGATGTCAACGCCATTGTGAACCAGATTATCCACTAGGTATCGCGATGGAGCTCTGACTTGGCCATCGGCAATGATACGCCCAAAGATCTGCTGCCATGCTTTCTTGTCTTTTGTTTGTGGAAGGGAATAATGCTTGAGGAGACGATCAGTGACGTGAGGAGGGTAATAATTGGATATTTGCATCTGAAGAGAAGAGAAGTTGGGATCGGGAGGGTTTGTGACGGCGTAGAGGGTATCTTCATCAAGGACTTCGCCGATGTAGAGCTTGAGTCCGCGTTTCTTGAACTCACGCGCGAATGACCCGTCGCGATAGTAGTCAAAGATACCCGAGTGAATAAACAGATCATCCGTTACGGGACGAAAGGTATGGTTCTTCAGCTCCATGATAGCAGCAGAGATATCATCGGCACTAATACTCCTCAGATTACGTAGCCTCTCTGCGCCACTAATGTCTGTTGGTATGCCAAAGTACTCGCAAAGCTCATCGAACTGTTCCTCGCAGTCTTGAACAGTCTTGGGTTGTGTCGGAATGGCATTAGAGTACATGATCATTCTTGTAAAACGGCCATGCGACTCTTTGCCTCGGAAGTCATAGAGTGCTTGCGCAAGCACAGAGTAAGCTCCCGCACTGCGTCCCGCGAGGATGATGTTTTGAGGGTCACCCCCAAAGGCAGCGATGTTCTCGTATACCCAGTCCATAGCGAGACGTTGGTCCCAAAGACCATAGTTTCCAACAGCCTCACCACCAGACTCTTCTAGCAGAGACTTTCCAGCGAGAAACCCAAAGACATTGAGTCTGTAACCGACGGCTACAAACACAGCTTGTAATCCGCCAGTCGATATAAGCTCAGTTGGATCCATACTCTCTTCCTGACTGGGATCTCCAACCTGGAACCAACCACCATGGAACCAAACCACAACAGGCCATTTCTTATTCGGCTCGCTCGGATCAGGCACAGGCGTCCAAATATTGAGTCTTAGACAATCCTCGCTGTATGCATGTTTGGGGATATGCTCGCTAACGTTCTTGGAGTAATTCGCCTGAGGACAAACAGGTCCAAAATCCGTCGCATCAAAAGGCAAACCATCCAAAGATCGGTATCGATATGTTTTTGGAAAAGGCTGAGGTTTTCGCCATCGTAGATTCCCGACGGGAGGTTGAGCGTAGGGAACGCCTGCGAAGCGACGGGACTTGGAATCGAACTGAAGACCTTTGAGAGATCCATGATTTGGGATGTTGACATGACAGTCTGAAGTGGTGTAAGAGATTGAATTGCCCATTTTAGTGATAAGAATTATTTTGGAGATAGAAAAGAGGGAGCTGCAGAGTATGAGATAAGAAGGGAATGCAAGCGACTCAATAAATTGTTGAATATTTCATTCATATCTCGTAGTATCGCAGTTCTAAGTGTCAAGTGACGGTGATTGGCCCGTTTAATCGACGACATATCAGCTGCTAGAGGCGGGGACGCGTCCTTACAGATTAACGACCGAAAAAGAAAGGGTCAAAGCAAACCAATCGATTAACTAATGCCATCCAATTCCTTTCCACTCATTCGATAAGGACCTTTTCATCCGGTCTCCCCCCAGTCAAAGCCAAGTCACATGGAGAATGCATCATCCAGTTCCTCCTCACAGCCTCAACCCCCAAAGCGCAAACGCGTAGAACGCGGCCGCTCTAAAAACGGTGAGTCCCGGCTCCCCCGGAAGTGGTTCCCCGCTGACCCAGATGTCTAGGCTGCTTGACGTGCCTGACCAAAAAGGTCAAATGCGATGAGACGAGGCCGCAGTGCAATCGCTGCGTGAGGCTCAAGCTTGAGTGTAGATGGGCGACGCAGATGCAGCCGCTGGCGGAGAGGAGGAGAGGCTTGGGGCCGATTAAACAGCGGGAGAGATGGACGCCGCCGGCTCTTGTGCCCAAGATTGATGATGCTGGGAGTGCCAGTGAGGGATCGCAGAGTGTTACGCCGCCTGCTTTGACACCGGCTGGGGACTTGCAGTTGTCTGAGGGTTTGCCAGCTGATATCTCGTTTGATGTTCTACCCGTCGAGAGTGAAGTGGCATCTGCATCACCAACAAGCTTCCCAGACATACCGCCAGACGACTTAATCAACCCTATCGCCATCCCTCAATATCCCCAAGACGCTTCATCACAGCTCATTCTATACCCAACACCCTCCTTCGACATCCTCTCCCTCTTCCCCTCATTCTCCTTCACAAACCCAACTGAACCTGCCCCTTCAATCGGCAGCGACGACGTCCAAGCCATGACATTCCACTCCACCGTCCTCGCACCCATGAAATCAACCCGCAAAGCCGCTCTCTCAGCACACTCCATCTTCCTCAACTTTGCAGTCCAAAACCCCATGGCGCTACATTTCCTTCTTGCATTTTCACACAGCGAACTAGCTATCCATCATGGTTTCAGCCACAGACCGCCTTTGGAGTCCTATCTACATTTTCAGAACGGATCGCAGCTTTTAAGCCAGGCGCTCGTGACATTATCGCCTACCAACCACGTCGCGATGATGTTGTCGTTTTTGTACCTTTATATGTTTTGGATGAGGAGGGATCCGTTGGAGGTTGAGAGATTGCGAGAGTTGAGCACTTCGATTCTTGCGTATATTACGACGTTTTCGCTAGATGAGGTTTGTGCCAATTCTAGTGGGAGTACGGGGACATCTGAGCCTGTCACGCTATCGCGGATCTTGACGTATATTTATGATCGCGATGTATTCTGTGGTTTCTTTGGCTGCGGCGCTGCGTTTGCGGGTTATGTCAGCCAGAAGCATGAGACGAGGCAGCGAATATGGCTTCTATCACGAATGCCGATATTACCTGACCAGACGGAGACGTGGTTCAGGTCTGAGAGTTTGCCGGAGACGAGTCAGAGAAGGATTCTGGATGTCTACTTCAGTCTAATTACAATACAATACGAGATAAACGTGTATAGCCAGAGTAGCGAGCTGGCTGTACTTGGGAAGTGGGTGGAGATTAGGAACAAGTTGGACAAGATACGAGAAGTAAGTTATTAACTATCTGTGAGACCGCCGTGGACTAACGCCGTACAGGAGCAGAACTTTCTCTTCACTTTATGGACAGACTGCGCTCAAGAGTCAACTAAACCACCACTAATGGCCCTCGTAGCCGTAACCATCTTCCACGCCCTGGAGATCTACCTATACCGCAGCCGCGACACATTCTTCGGCGAAACACCAGTGCCAGCTGATATCGAGCGCGCACTCCAAGAACTAGTCTCAGCAGCATACCACACCATCCCCGTCGGACCAGTCCAGCTACTAGAGCGCTTCCAATGGGCTCTCTTAATCGGAGGAATCGAAACACACGACCCCGTATACCGAGACTGGATCTCGGGGAGTATTTCAGACCCCGTTATCAAGGGCGTTTACAACCTCGTGGTGTCGGCTAAGACACTATCGGCTAAGGGAATATCGATGGAGGCGATCCGCGAGTTAGTTAGCAAGCAGACGAGACCATATCATCATAATTAGATAGTTTCAGCGTCCGTCTCGTCGATAAATATCGTGGCTTATCTCGTCGATTAAACTGACCACTCATAGTGCGTGCCACAAATCTGGGGTAGTAGACAAGGGACCCCAGATTTTGGAGCCGAAGTGATAAGGGGAATAAGGACTAGCGCTTGTCTGATAAGGAGAATGAATATAACTGGGCCCTTGCGCCCTGACACTGACTCAAAACCATCAACGCTTTGAAGTTTAACCTTCTTTTTTTTCTTGACTCCTGCAACATCGCAATTTTAATCATGGAGAGTAAAGAGATGAAAGAGTCGACACCTTCGGATGTTGATATGTACGGGACTGTTGATACGCTGTCGGTGGAGGAGGAGAAGAAGCTTGTGAGGAAGATTGATATGAGGTATGTGCTACCAGAAGCGACAGGTGTTCAGAGCTAATTTGTTAGGCTTATGCCGTTGCTTATTGTGAGCTATGGATTGCAGTATTTGGACAGTAAGTTCTTCGTGGCAATTTATACGCGGGTATTGACTTTACACAGAGACGAGTTTGGCGTATAGCGCTATTCTTGGCCTCAGAGAAGATCTGGTATGTACTCACCACCAAAGGAAAAACACCACTAACAAGACAAGCAACTCGTCGGTCAGCAATTCAGCTGGGCATCCAGTATCTTCTACATAGGCTACCTCGTAGCCTCATACCCCATCTCTCTCGGCTTCGTCAAATTCCCTCTCGGCAAATATCTAAGCGTCCTCATGTTTATCTGGGGCGTCATTCTCACTCTCCACGCCGTCGCGCATAATTACGCTAGTCTCATGGTTCTTCGTTTCTTTCTTGGTGTGTTTGAGAGTGCGATAAGTCCAGGCTTCTCGCTCATCACGGGAATGTGGTATACACCTCATGAGCATGTATCGCGCCATTCGTTCTGGTTTGCTGGGAATGCGTCGGCGAGTATGGTTGGTGCTATGATTGCGTATGGGATTCTGAGTTATCATGGTCCAATTGAGCAGTGGAAGGTGAGTTTTACTTACTACTTGAAGAAGAGTTGGAAACTGATTTGTATAGATGCTCTTTCTCATCTTTGGGCTTATCACTATTGCTTGGTCTGTCTTGACGTTTTTCTTTCTGCCTGACTCTCCTGCGACGGCTGGCTTTCTGTCAACTTCTGAGCGAGAGTTTGCTGCTCTTCGACCTAAGAAGTTTCAGAGAACTACTCAGACTAAGAAGTGGGACCGAGGACAGTTTATTGAGACTATGAAGGATGTCAAGTCCTGGTGGTTCTTTTTCTTCTCTTTCATCATCTGCATTCCCAATGGCGGAACTACCAGTGTAAGTTATCTTCTACTATCCCATTGAGACTGCGGTAACTGATATCATGATAGTTCAGCACCATTGTCATCAAGAGCTTTGGCTACGATGAAAAGCAGACTATACTCATGGGTCTCCCTGCATCAGCCTTTCAACTCACAACCGTCATCCTGGTCGCTGTCTTCACAACCTACGTTCGCAAGTCCCGTCACATTGCTCTTGTTCTGACATACCTGATGGCCATTGCTGGTATTCTTATGATCAAACTCCTCCCCACAGCAGAAAAACTCTCCCGACTGGCTGGCTTCTGGCTCATCATGGCTGTTGCACCTGCATTCCCTCTTATGCTGTCGCTATCCGCTAGTAACATTGCCGGTTTCACAAAGAAGTCAACAGTCATGGCCATGATCTTCTTGGGATATTGTGCTGGAAACTTGAGTGGACCTCAGTTCTTTATCAGCACCGAGGCGCCTGGTTACCACGTAAGTGACACCACTGCTTATTGTGAAGCATGTTACTAATCTCTATAGACCGCTTATACCACCATCATGGTCTGCTATGCCATCACCATTGCTCTTGTAGTGGGCATTTACTTCTATCTCACCTGGGAGAACCGTCGTCGCGATAATGAGCAGGGTGTCAAGAGAGATCCCGAGGAGTCTCAGCAAGTGGATCTTGCCGAGGACGGAGCGCTTCTTCAGGTGGATGAGACTGATAAGCAGAACAAGAACTTTAGATACATTCTGTAAAATGGGAATGAATTTACGTTCGGGTGTAGTGGCGGGTTGGCACAGTTTAGTTTAGGGTCTAGTAGTTGGTCATTACCAATGGGAAACTTATTTGAACTACTGTGCTCCAAAAAAAGCATCCAGCTTCTTCTGTTGTCTGGGAGAAGATTGAGAGGCGCCTCTGAAAATGGGCTCACAGACGAAGAGAAAATGGAGTACACGTTGAAGTTTCGTCAAATGCAATTTATCCTGATCTATATTGTACAGTAGAGGAACCCGCAGCGCCATGCTATATCAACAAACAAAGCCTATGACCCAACTCAAATCTATCCGAACACCTCCAAGATCAATCGCTCCTTGCTAACGCCTTCTCTCCAAGTCTTCCAGTCACTCGCCCTCGTAGTGTTCAACCTTCTGTCCTCACTATGAAGAATAGGACCCAAGACATCAAACACATCATCAGAAACCTTCTTACCACTGCAGACCATCACAATAGCACCCTGTCCCCAGAGTCGCGCCAAGGTATCGGCGTGCTTAGCTACCAAGTGCTGAACATACTTGTACGGCGAGTCCCAGTCTCGACTGAAGGCACGATGAATTGTCACAACGCCTGCTCGGGAGTACTCGTCCAGTGTATCGCGGCAAATGTCATCCATCTTGGCGCCACGGCAACCAAAGAAGAGTGTGGAGGAGGAATTGGACAATTGACCTGAGTTCTTTTGCAGGTATCGCTTCTGCATGAATCCCAAGAAGGGAGCGAGACCAGCACCAACAGCGATCATGACGATAGGGACGTTGAGTTCAGTGGTCATGGCGGTGCGAAGCTCAGGTCTGCAAGGCCGAGGCTCGATGAGAACAGAGTCTCCGGGGCGGAGTTGGGCCATGTAGTTGGTAGCTAGACCGCCTGGGCGTGCAAGCGATGATCCACTGGCTTCGGTGGCTTCAACGACGGAGAAGAGAAGTGAGCCGTGGCCGGGTTTCCACTCTGGTGTTGAGGCGAAGGAGTATGTGCGGGGACGCATCTGGGGAAGCATGGAGAGGAATGTTGAGAGAGGCATGTTGATGGAGGGATATTTGCGGAGGATGTCGAGAATGGACATGCGTTGTTGGTCGATCTCGGCATCGTATCTATCACCAGCGAGACTCTGGATCTCAGCCTTGGTCTCATCATTGCCTGCAAAGTCCACTAGTCTCTTGAGGCTGGTGCGGCTGATTGTCTGAGATAGTTCGACAAGAGTACTGAAGAGGCTCGAAGCAAGAATGGGAGTGCCAGTGGGAAGGAAAGTTGGTCGCTGCGACGATACAGTCAAGACAGTATCGTCATCAACACCAAAGCAAGTCATGACCCGATTAACAAGCTGAGGAGGATTCTTCGGCAGAACCAAGACATGGTCACCAGGAGTATATGTCATATCCTTCGGTAACTTAAGAAGTAGACTGTACTTGCGAGGAACACCCGGGCTGGTGAGAACAGTGTTCTCCACCACCTCAGCCCTCTTGAAGTTCCCTCTGATATCATTCCGCTGGGACTGGTTGATGGTGACGCTCAGTTCGAGTGAGTCAGGCTCATGGTCGAGGGTGATGCCGTGGTGGCTGGCCAGTTCGGGGAAGAGCTTGCTGTGTGCCCAGTCGTCGAAATCAGGGTATAAACGGCCGGTGCTAGCGTCGGTGAGACCAATGTCGACGAGACGGTCGGCGCCGGCGTCTGCTAAGCACTTGTCGAGGACCTTGGGGATGCGATACAAGGTCGACACCCAGTCTTTGTGGCCTAAGAAGCGTTAGATAAGTTGAGGCATGAAGAGATGAAATAGACTTACCGCATCCGAAAACAGCAAACTGGGTGCCTTCGAGCTCACCAGGCTGCAGCGCCTCAGCCCACTTTGTGAACTCGGTAGCATTATCAGAAGGCTTTCCATCATAAGACGCAGCAAAGAGAATATTCGGTCCATCCTTGGACAGGTTCCTAGTAGCGTCATCAAGCGGCAGAGGCTTAGAGGGCATAAATCCGAAGGTCGCACAATCAGCAGACAGTCGTTCCGCCAATGCCTCACACGTTCCAGTATTAGAACCATAGAAGATAGAAATGGGCTTCAGATCCTTCTGTGAAATGTTGAGGTTCTTTCGGCTGGACAGACTGGGCTGCTTGGAGCTAGCCATGCTGGGGTTCTTGAAGAGGTTCGTCAAGTCGCGTCCCTCCCGGAGCTTGACCTTCATGTTGAAACCGTCAGGCTTGATGGTGAGTGACTGCTTGATCTTGAGCTTGTAGTTTGGGTCAGCCTTGACCATGTCAAAGTTCTGAAGAAGCATGATCGTAACCTGCGAGTATTAGCTAGTGACACCAGAATAAAGAATGGTACTTACAATTTGAGCTTCTTGCCATGCAAATTCTCGACCGATACAGCCTCGCATACCATTTCCGAAAGGCTTCCAAGCGTTCTTGGGGAGTTTGTTAAAGTGCTCGTCTGCCATCCGCTCAGGCCTGAACTCTTCGGCATCAGGACCCCAGACTTCAGGATCGCGGTGGATCATGTGGAGGAAGAGGAGCAGGGGATCGCCTGCGGAGACGTTGTATTGACCACCGATGACTTCGTCTTTAAAGGGTGTGACGTAGAAGCCTGGTGCTGTGGGCATGAGACGAAGAGTCTCGCGGAAGATCATGTTGATGTAGGGCATCTTGGGGAGATGATCTGCTGTAATGGCATCGTCACCCAATACCTCGTCAACCTCCTCACGAGCCTTTTGTAGTTTCTCAGGGTTCTCGAGGAGGTAGTAGAATGCAAATGACAGGAGACCAGACGTGGTTTCGTGGCCAGCAATGAGGAAAGTGATGAGGTTATCGACGATATTTCCATCACTCATACCCATCCCCGTCTTGGGATCCTTGCCACTCATCATCGCATTGAGAAGATCTTTACCCTCTACAGGATTTTTCCTTCGCTGATCGAGGATATCCTGGCACGTCCTCTTCATCACAGCAGCATGCTTCTTGAAATGGGATTGGGCCCGTATTCTCAACGACTGCACGACGTCGGGAAGGAAGGATTGCTTTTCGGCGTCGATGAGAGCTGCGACCATGCTCTCTATAAAAGGGTGCATCTTGTCGTTGCTGTAGAAGCTGTTGAAGCGGAAGCCCATTGTGCACAGCGCGATGGTGTCGAGTGTCAGTCGTGTGAAGTCATTCCCGACGTCGATGGTAGCTGAGGAACCTGCTCGCGCCCTGTCAAGGTTAGTACCACGACTTTCCTTGGATAGCTGATGACGTACCATTTTAGACAAAGCTGCTCCGAGATTTCTCGCATGTCGGGGAACATCTCTCTGATCGTTAGAGGTCCGAAGAGCGGCATGAGGATTCGATGTGCGATGGCCCATTCCTGGCTATTATGCTGCGCCGAGAAGAGGCCATCGCCAGCTAGAGGCCGTAGCTTCTCAACACCACCAACAACAAGTTTATGGAATCGTGTTTCGTCCGATAGTTCGTCCATGAGATCGCGGCTGCAGATTATGATCTCTGTGTTTCCGCCTACATTTAGTGCGAACAGATTTGCTGCGGTTGTAGTGTTAGAGGCAGTCGGGAATAACGTGCAGCGGTCGGTGACGTACGATAATCTTTGGCCATGTCGCTTAATGATTTCAGGGAGTTTGTGAGATCGATGTCGAGAAGGCTACCGATGATTGGAAGGCCTGCGATGGTTAGCATGTGGTTGCATTCGTTCGTATTCAATGTGATGTACCCTTTGGACCAGGGATCTGTCCCTTGTGCTTCTCATCGTGCTTTTTCGATTCTTGCTTTACTGCCATTTTGTGTAGATTCTGTAGTGTTTTGTGTTCGTAAATAGTGGTGACAATATCGTAAAAGATCAAATCGCTTGCTGTTCAAAGTAGACTGTTGCTGTTGTTGATGGATTACTGCTCAAAGATAGCTTTCTTCAAGCTTATGTTATAGTCAAAAGATCATGAGGCTGAGCAAGCCATTTACGCATCCCAACGCATTGATCTCATTACCCTTAACCGTACTTTAGGTGATAATACCCGGCTGTAACTCCGCATTGACGATCATCAACTCCCGCTGACTACTCCGCCCGCGTCAGCACTTCAAACGCCCGCGGGGTCCGGATACCGGCACGCAGCCTTATAAAAGTCCCCCATAAAATATGCTCCGCGGGCACCCCAGTCGGTAACCCGCGGGCGCCCGACTGTTGTCCACCCCTAAAAATAAGCGGTCAAACTTTGACTTTGACGAATCAGACACAATCGTTATGTCAGGCTTATCCGAAAAAACAGTCTACGTGGTTTGAGTTTGGCAACATCTCAGCCTTGCGTTTTACAGTGACAGCCCCGGAGAACAAGGGCTCCGCTGGGGGAAATTATCATACGGCAAGGGTTCATCACGGCGTCCTTGATGCCCGGAGCGAAAAATATCGTTAAAAAATCTCATCATTGAACTAAACTGAAAAGGTCACAAAGTCTATCTATCCTGGAACGCTTGGCATCCATAAGTATCACAGCACAGCCCCAGCTTTCAGTCCGTTCCCCGACCGCAAGTTTCAGACGTCTCTGATGACGAGCCCATTTCGTAAGCCTGCGCAGTAGGCTCTGGCGATGGTTCACGACGAGGACGACGGCGGAAGCGCACGAGCCGCCACATTCTGTTGTTGGTGTTGGCGACGCCTCCGTTGGGTCGTGCTCGACGGACGAGGAACCATTGTGCTGTCATCAAGACCATGGCGCTGTTCCAGACAAACGCTGCTATCATACCGATAGATACTGCCCACGCAAGAGAGATCTGGATGTAGCAGAGGCCCATGACTGAGAGATCGTCGAAACCGTCGGTCAGGACGAAGCCGGAGAGCATGAGGATGACTTGGCAGACGAACATGTCGAAGTACTTGAGGTTTTGACGCCAGCGCATTCCCATGATTGTTCGAGCCATTCTTGAGCCAAAGAAGAAGTCGAAGAAGTATAGTAGCGATGCGAAGCCTGCAAACACTACCGTGACAAGTCCAATGACCTGTTTACGCGTTAGCTAGGCATTCGCCAGTCTTCGTCTAGAGTCATACCCCGTGTTCAGTTCTGAAATGATCTGATGAGCCCATTGCGATGATTCCCGCCACTAGTCCAGCGATGACGAGAGGCGTAAAGACAAAGGCTCGAAGTACAGACTCCCATTTCCGAACTGTGTGCTTCGCGACAGGTTTATTGATCAGATCACATAACACTGTACTTGACTCCATGAGCAAAATAATGGGATACACCAAGAAGAATGCAATAATCATGCATAGCGCTGCAATAGTCAGTATTACTCAAATCACGTAGCGAGTAAAAAACACACCATGAACATATGTCAGCGTGATGAATGTATCTTGATCAACAGTGTTCACATCAAAATGCTTCGTCGCAAGATCAACAGTGAACAAATTCCCCGTCGCGTTAAACGTATACGGTCCCCCCGAGACATAATTGCTATTCCACGACTTCGACTCCGAGAGATTCGCACGCAATAGCGCTAGGAGACCGCCGACGCCAGATTGATGCCAGCACGTTTCTCGCGTGTGAAGCTTCGAAACCTCATGTTGTAAAAACTGCACCACGTAAGCTGTCCTCTCCGTGGTATTCATGGCCAACGCGTCAAAGCTAATAACTGGATCGGGTTATCTGCCCGTTGAAACAAAACAAAAAAGTAACAAACACGCGATTATGGGGTAGCGAGGAGATCGTATGATTAGAAAGACGATAAAGTAGAATTTAAGAACGTCAGATCGAAAGTTTACGGTAATAAGTTGATTCAGATGTTTTCACGATGGGTACAGGTCCCTTCAAATCCCCCGGTCTAGTGGCTTCTCCGGAAGCATTTCTCTGCTATTCACCAATTAATCCCGGATGCTCGGGGCTGTTTAAGCTTTCTGCTACCCTGTTTCAGAGCCTGTGGTCTTTATCAGGGCGACGTCGAGCAGAAAGTTCCGTAACTGCCGAGTCAGCGGGGCCCACTAAGATAAAGCGACCAGAAATGGGCACAGGGCGCAGTGTGAATGTTGCGTAATGATAGTCCATTATGCTAGTGAATTTTGACAGGGGTAAACGAGGTTGAGCGAGAGAGAGTCCCGATTTAACGCGAGACGGTGACGAATCTCGAGCCCGCGGGCCGAGGGCGTTGGGAATAGTATCATATTGAGGCTTAGAACTTGGACGGCATTTTCGGTATAAAAGTGTTTTAACAAGCTTACTTTCTCAAATGCAGATCTCAACAATCTAGTCTACATGCAAGCAAGAAAGCAAAATATGTCATCGAGTTCAAACCCAAAGTCTTTTATTCGGCGTCTCGGCCAGATGTGAGCATCCCGAACAAACCGTGCTAGTGAACCACGCTGATGATCCTAGCGAGATGTGCGAATCAGCGCTGCATAACCTCAACTACTACTGCAGTACGGCCCTCACCTGCCGCTACACACTCCCGCTATCTCTCCACGGCTTCATCAACCACGACCGAGTCCTCCGACGCTTCGACCAAGCCATTGCCCAAACCGTCCTCCAGTTTCCCTTGCTCCAAGTCGGTCTCGTCGGTGAGGGTACGAAAAAGCCTGCTTGGGTGTCGCTCCCGTCGCTTGATCTCGCAGACCATGTATCCTGGGATGTCCGGCCAAACTCGAAGGACTATGGGAGGGCGTTTGAAGCGAATCTGGAGTATCAGCTTGACGCCAAGTTTGAGGGTGTTGGGACGAGGCCGGGATGGAGAATATGTCTGATGCGAACGAGGACAGACAACTTTGTTGATGTCATGTATATCTGGAGCCATGCTAACCACGATGGCATGGGTGCCAAGATCTTTCACCAAACACTACTCCAAAGCCTCAACTACCCAGTTTCTTCATCGCTACTTCGAAGAGGCTCTCGAGTCATGACGGCTTCTATATGCAAGGACAACTTTCCCCAACCACAAGAGAAACTCGCCAAGCATAACTTGAGCTTGGGGTATGCTTGTTCAGAGATCTGGCATGGCCTTTGTCCTTCCTGCTTCCACTCAGAAGAGTCGAAAGCTCTGTGGGCGCCTATCCAGGCAGATCCTTACATTACGCGCTTCAAGGCCATTGATATCGACGCTATTACTTTGAAGAAGCTTCTGAGCCAATGCCGAGAGAATGATACTACACTTACAGGCCTTATCCACGGAATCGTTCTAGCTTGTCTATCCGTTGATATCAATGAGGGCAACACCGATGCCTTTCAAGTCGCAACAGCAATGGATCATCGAAGGTTCTTACGCAAGGAGCTTCGACCGTCAAAGTATGCCTCTTTTGATCTCGATAATAGTATTCAGAACTGCACTGCGTCCCTCACCCATCTTTTCGACCACGAAATCGTCAGCGACATGCGAGCCCAAGCACGTATAAACAACTGGCCCGCCCAACCCATCGAAGATCTAGAGCCCACGATCTGGAAAGCAGCACAGCAAATTCGCAGAGACATCGAGAAGCGCCTCGACACTGGTGTAAACGATAATATCGTCGGCTTGATGAAGGTGGTGTCTGATTGGCATGATTACCTCAAGTCATTGGAGAGAAGACCTCGAGACTTATCGTGGGAAGTTACGAATCTTGGTGTTATTGATGGCAAGACTGAGGATGATGGTTTTGTGATGGGAAGGGCAAGGTTCTCGCTCAGTGGAAATGTCGTTGGGCCGGCGATTCAGATTAGTATGGTGTCGGTCAAGGATGGGGATTTGTCGATCGAGGTATCTTGGCAGGATCTGCCGGAGATTCATGAGGATGCTCAGAGGTTGGTGGAGAACATGCGAGCTTGGTTGTTGTATTTAGGCGCTTGAGAGTCAAGTTCCTGAATTATAGCGTGTTACAATTTGTTCGAGTTTTAGATATAGATATTATGTTTGCCAGAATCAAGATACCACGTTATAGATGCCAACTTAGAATGTCATAAACACCATGCCTCCATCTAGCTTAGATGGGCTTTACAACTTCCCTACCAACGTATTGTTTTCTTATCAGATTATGTTGTCCTGACATGCTGCCCTGGAAGACTTGGTGATTTCCAGCTTGCTCGATGTAACCTTCAGTCTTTCTGGCAATATCATGAAGGTCCACGAGTCAACAAGCACATTTTCATCCCCCTAGAGAAATACAATTTAGGCAAGTTCTGTGATACTTCACATGCTACACCGTAGTTATCGTCTATCTATTTTTAGATTCAGAAAGTCTCAATAAGCCATGCGTTAGGTCAAAGATAGATGCAAGAGCAAAGTCGTGAGCGCCATCACGAAAATACCCTAGATCATCTTCAGTGACTTGGCGGACCCGCCCAATCCGGCAGAAGAGCAGCCCTGTCCTCACTGGGTTTAGTGCAGCAGGGGCACAACAACACGTATGATCGCGATCCACAAGCGCCTCGTATTCTCATCGCTGTCAACTTCCTTAACTGTTATCAACGGAATCTCACACCGAGATCTACTTAGTTTGAGACAAACATGCTAAAATCTCATGGACATGACTCGTCATGGACATGACTCGTAAGACTAAGCTCTAGTGTTTGAACCAAGATCAACTTCAAGTCAAGGCGTAAATGAGAGGCTTGCGGGCGGCAGTGGAGTCAGCTAAAAATAGCGCACTCAGCTCCGGCTCAGACCATGTTTTCATGCTTGACTGATGAGACACGAAATCTACTCGAGCTTATTGTCCGATTCTATAAATACAAGACGCTCCCGATGAATCCCATTCTTCAGATCCTCCCTAAACTTATCAATCTTATCTCTATTCTTCTCCATAATCTCCCTCTCCTCTCTTCTCTCCTCTTCCGTCAAAGGCGGAGGGAGTATCTCCTCAGGTGGGCTATACCACTGCTCTTCGGGCACTTTCGTCCCATCGACGCCACGCCAGAATTTCTCGACATCTGGGTCATAAGGTAAACGATCAATAAGGGCTTTGATAAGTGCAGGCCGCAAAGGAATGGCGTAGTGAATGTTGCGATCAGCGTCGAGGAAGCGAAAAACTCCGTCTTTGCCGAGGTCTGCTAGACCTAGTAGATCAGGATCGCGATCCATGTTGCGTAGAATGTCGCTTATTTCTTTTTGCTCTGGGGAGAGGTCTTTGTAGGCGATGCCCCCTTCGCTAGAGCAGCATGTTGCTTCATGCTCGGTTGGCTCCTGTATCTCTATGTTGCGCTGAGACATGCTCTGCGAGGTTTTGCTGTAAGGATAGAAGTTAGAAGAGGAAAGCTGTGTTGAACTTGAGTCAGAGAGTCTAGATGCACCTGGTGGGGTTGGTCCTTTGAATCATGAGGGCCATGCTGCATCATTCGGGTAGACATGTGACAACTGTCTTCTAATCCCTGCTGTAAGACCAACCAACAGTCACCTAACCATCAATTGGAAGAGCATGGCTCGATCTAAACGTAATAATTTTTACTAGCGCAGACCATTCTCAAAAGTTCCCTCTTCAAAGTCCTGAATCTGTCTATTCCTAATCAAATCATCCCAAAAAGGTTCTTTGTGCAGCCAACGCCGCAAGGTTTTGATGCCCCCATTGACTGCCAACCAAGTTGACTGTTAATGCCAGGCTCAAATACACCTGCCCCTCTTGAATACCGCGCCAGTAAGCCCAGCACACACATGGCAATGAGAGTACTGAGAGCAAAGTCCTGGACCAAAGCAAGGAGGATGAGAACATCTATTTCCATAACCTCGAACTTCCACGTCTCTCTTGCTAGGAGTAGTCTGCTTGTCTTCAGGCTGCGGGTCATTTTCCTCCAAATCCGTGAGCAAGTCAAGCACCTCCTTGCTCATTTGTTCATCCGTAGCTAATACAATTTTCTCATCGACTTCAATGACAAAGCCTCCGTACTTGGGGAGGAGAACTCCCGCGAATCGAGGGGCAGCTTGCAGCTCATCCCAGTTGGTGACCCAGACAGCGTCTTCTGGGATTTCAACGGTGTACTTGGCATTCGCCATGCTACCGGCGAGCAAAGTGGTTAAGAGGGATGGGACTATAGCACATCAGTCAGTGTTTGGGTACTTCTGTATTATAGAGAAGTCATAGTCGTACTCAGCTTCATTTTGATAGCTTGATGGCAAGTCCGGCCAATGATTTTGTAATGCCAAAGGCTCTAAAGTAGTTGGGACCCTGTAGTGACATTTGGAAAGTTCATGTCCATCAAGAAGTACTTATAGATCAAGAAGAGTCATCATCACATGATGCGTTGACTGTGCCTCTCTGACCAAATCACTGATGAAGCTTGCAGCAATGCTAGCCATGAAGGCAACTGCCATAAAAGGGCTGGTCAATTACATAAAACGATGTTTGTCTGTATGTTGGTTGCAGGGAGAACGCTATGATTGATGCTCATATTTGGCGAAAGTATCAACTCTCGGTCAATCGTCATGATATCAGCAAGGGCTTTGCGCCTGTGCCGCGGTGGAGCAGAGAAATCATCCGGGTTAACCGAGTCACAAGTCTGTAATAATGAAATAATCTATAGGGCCGAAATTACTAGCTCAATTAATAACTATGGCACTGTAATACTCTTGTCCTGCTGTGGAAGTGGCATGTCCAAGTCTCCACAGTGGGCAGGGTAAAAGGACCAACAAAAGCCGCATATCAACAGCTGTCAAATGTTTTAAAATATACGAGAAGACTAAGAGAAATCCTGCTTGTTGGAGGGCCTCAGAATAATCCATATTTGTTATTTTGTATGTTAAGAAATCTTGCTACCTTCCGAGCGGCACTTTAAATCCCTATCTTTTTAAGAATGTTCCTTATTTCACCATTCATGACATTCCAACCTTTCATATGCTCGCTATGACCCGAGCCGAGATGAAAAACTACAGCGTCTTTGCTCGAGGCGCTTTGATGTAAAGGCGCCTGCTTCGCTAAGAACGAAACAGCCTGGACATGCTCATGCTCAACAGCATACGATAGTGGTGTCCGGTTTCTGAAGTCCAAACCTGTCATTGCACCACCGCTACTCTTTAAGAGATAAAGAATCTCTACGGAGCCAGCCATGGCGGCATAATGCGCTGGAGAGCTACACTGCGAGCTCTGGGCGGTGCCTTGATCGTTGACGGAAAAGCCACGTTCGAGGAGATAGGCGACAAGCGCAGGGTTTCCCGAAGTGACGGCTAAGTGAAGCGGCGGTGCGCGGAATGTACTGACCAGCTTTGTTGGGTTTGAATGTCTCTTGAAATATGATCTCTGCTTGTGATGCCGCCATATCGTCTCAACCATGCTTTGGTTCCCCAATGCACACGCAGACGACATAGCGTGTAGAATGTCGTCTTTCTTAGTCGATGGGAAAGCAATCACTGCGTTTTCATGACCATATATTGCAGCTAATTCTCGGGCGGAAAATGTCTTCCCGTGTGCGATGACTCGTGGAAATTTGAACTTTTGCAAGGTCGCTGGACTGTCAGCCCGGTCGTTTTTCCAGTCATGCCCACCATTCGATATCAACAGCTTCACCACATTGCTATGTCCATATCTCGCAGCAAGATGGATGGATGTGATACCCCCTTGAGCGTACCAATCCTTGTTTTTGTAGCTTAGTAGGAGTTTCACTATAGCGTAGTGTCCCCAAGTTGCTGCTAAGTGCAATGGCGTCATGAGGTTCTCGTCCCGTATGGTGCATCGCGCTCCTCGTTTGAGGAGGGCTGTCGCATCTCGTAGCGAACCAACAGTAGCCGCTTCCAGAAGGGCCGCGCTCAGTTCTTCCCGGCTGGCAGACATAGGGATCTGCTCCCGTCAGCGGTTATCACACAAATGAGAAGCCTTTTGGACCTACGTGTGAGGCCCCAGGAGGTCTGAAGCAGGATGTTTGGAACTTGAACGACGATATCCAGCGTCCACACTGGATCAGTGAGCTTTTCAAAAGTCCTGCAAGGCTCGACAACAGGTCAAGTACTAGCTTTGCTAAGTCCCACAATGTCGTTATAGACTCTTTTGCCAATCCTATAATGAACGATGTGACCCAAGTCCCACAAGATGTGAGAGTGGTAATGCCGACTTGAAGATTATCCTTCACTTTCACATCTGGAATAAGTAGGGCGCAGCCGACCCCGCAAGCTAAGCTTATAAGAACTAACCAGCCAAGTGAAGGCGCTGTTGTGGCTTCGATTACCTGACGTTGGAAGCGATGAGAGGAGCTTATGGAGGGTGAATCAAAAACACTAAATGAGAAACCCGTTCCCCGGGAAGACTTTATCGTCCTTGAGATATCGCCATGTCCTTTTATCTCGGAATGAAGTTGAATGAAGGAACTTTGCCTCCGGCCTGTGGGCCTTCATTAAATCAACGTCAGCGGAACTCTTTTGATGAGAATTGAAGTCACAACTTACAGCTTGAGAACCCCTACTAGACTTTTGACGAAACTATTTTGCTCATCCAGCTCCTTGCTACAATTCTTGAGCGCAGAGTCAGGAACTGCAAGTCTGAAGCGTTTCTAAAGATTTCTGTCTTCGGCATGGTTGCCTCTTGTCTGTATCTCTTGAGCACTGGCCTCGACCAAATTGAGAACCTTCTGAAATGAACTGAGAACAGAATGAAGTACATCGAGGCGTAGACCCAATTCTCCATGCAAAAGATGGCGGAACTGAGTCATAGATCCAGAAATACTTTCGCAACTCTCCATAATCGATGTTAGGAAGGATGGTGCTTCATGCCATTGTTGTTTGGTGTTTCTTAACAACAACACGATCTAATCGTAGCTCTTAATTGTGGCATCAGCCATGGAGTCTAGACGGTTGAGTGTTATAGCTTCCATTTTGACAAAGTAAAGTCGTATTAGTCAAATACCAATACCGCCAGAGGAGAATGATAAATTTATTTCTTGGCTGTGTGCGGTCTTTTAGGCACCGAGGCAGTTATCTTGACATCTTCCACTCATCTTTCAATTGTTTGTCGACTCACAAGTTAGTGGGTTGAAAACAAGGCTGCACTGAGAGCTGCAATTGGCGGGCGAGAACGCCACTTGTGGATGGTGGTGTTCTTGGTTGGGCCTCAACAGCCCCATTGAGCAGTGAGCATCAATCTCATCAACGTGGCTTTGTATGACTGGCTTGGACATATTCTGTGGCTGATTTAGCAGCACGCGAGAATAGGGACTCTGACATTCCTTGTCTCAGTTTCGCTTCACTTAGTGGTGTTGTAGCCTATAGATAGCTGGTGCTTGAGAGTCCTAGGTTGATAGGCAAGCCACACTTTTTAGCAACGGGCTTCACAATGACAGTGACATGCCAGGGATACAGAGAGCGAATCATAATCACCAGCCCTTCGTCACTGTCGCAAACATATCGAAGTCTTCCCTCTCTACTCCCACTTCTTACGCGGGGAAAAGAGAAACCATAAAGAGAAATCAGGCCCCGGTTTCCTGCCCCAATATACACTGATTCTGTCTCTTCTTCAGGCAATCCATCATGTGCTCCGATTTCTTGGCAGACATCAACAACAACCATGCAAGGGAATGTCGAATGGACTGAGGACCCAAGTTTGTCAGCGGTATAAAGGCCATCACAGCTCTTGGCCAGCTCCTCCTGATTACACGATGCGATTTGGATGTACCGACCCTCGAGGTCCCTGGCAGCTACGACAGTCGCGGCAGACTACTCACAATTGGAGAGAAGGTCCAGATCTGTTCAAGATTGTACCTAGATGCGTTCGCCGCATCAGAACAAAGTCTAGATAAGCTTTCTAAGACTGCTGGGGAGCTGGCGCATACTCGCGGTTCGGTATGGACTTTTCCAATATGTTATTACCTACGACCGAGTCTATTCTAGTCTGATCATTAAACCAGCTTCACCGTGTAACAGAACTGTTTCGCAAATACAATCCCGCCGTTTCAGTATCTGCTTTCCATGAGGAATGGAAACGGGTAGCCGACTGCTTCAATAACGCCAAGCAGCAGGCGAGTGCATCTATCGAATGTTGGACTCATCTGCTCTACTTTATCCAACAATTTAAAGGGCTTATTGATGAAATGATTAGTAAGTATATCTGTTGTGTCGAGTGTCTTGAATAGTCGGATTGTTAACTGTGTGATACCCAGCGGATAATAAAAAATCGAGTATCCGCTTAATTGCAACGTTAGAAGATGCCAAAGCAGAGATTGAGTCACGTCGTCACAATAGTAGGTCCGCATTGCATTGAATACCCTTTTGTACTATGATCTTACTTTCACTAGTTGATCGAGAGTCCCAGGCTCAAAAGGATACCCAGAGATTCGACTTCACATATGCCGTCCCACTCTTGATCACTGTATTCTTAGTACTATTTCTCCCTGGTCTTTTTCTCAATACTATGATTTTGTCTGCCATGTTCCTTTGCGCCCTCCTTATCCTCCGAGAGGGAGTTCAGTCGAGTTATGGGGCGACGTTAACCGACGACAATGGAGATCAAAGTCGTGATCTCGAAGTCGAAATAGAACGTCTAACTTGCAAGCAGAAGCGTAACGTACGTTATCTATCTCCATCCATCATTATCTGATTACACCGCATTGAAATACCATTCCTTATCTTCTAGGCCGCCATTGGTGAAACGCTCCAAGAAATAGGCACCTCACTGGCATCTGCGATAGGCGGAGTGCGAGAGATTCACGACTCCTACAGGGCGGTATCTGAGAGGCTCAACAGCATGAGCCTGGAGAAGATCGGCCGTTTTGAAAGGACCATGCGTAATGTCTCCGACATGATCAGTGGGGATGAGTCCTATCTTCACAACCGCCCGACCCATCACCAGCCACGAGAATCGAAGCATGTGACGGTAAGTCTGGCGTTATCTTCTTAAGTTGAAATAATTAAGAAGCGAGGGATGCCTAACGCGATGCAGGAACTGCGTGAACTTGCCGTCGAGTTGCGCCTGACGTTTTACATCATGTTTGAATGGTCATTACTTCATATGCGAATCTTTCAAGATATATTTACCCCAACTCTACATGAGGTTCAATCATTCAGCTCTTTAGCTTTGTTAGTCAGTCGAATCGACTTATCTAGTGATAGACTTAAATTACGCCCTGCCCAACAAGGACAATCGACTCCCCGACAAACCGCACAACTACACTCTAGGAGCTCTATTGAAAATACTACTATACCTCCGGCATACTCTGCGAACTCGGATGTCTATTTCGCTCAGCCATCTTCCCAAGGATTTAAGGATACATTGACTCTGAATGAAGTAGCAGGGATCGCTGAGATTGAACTTGACAAACTATATCGTAAGGTAATCATTTGCCAGTCGATCTCAATTTTGGGCTCGTGATACTAATAAGGTCCGCATTTGCAGGCCCCAGGAAAGCGCGATAAGCTCGGTACAGGCGAGGGTGACAGAGGTATATACTACGACTATGCCAACAGTAGTTAGGGAGTCTAGTGAAGCACAAAAGTACATCTTGGATACAAAAGAGGAGAGTTTGCCGGCGCTTGGAGGACCAAGTCGACAGGCAATTGCCGAGCGTCATAGGTTTTGGCGGTTCAGACCTCGAGATCGAGGTTAAATACTACTCAGGGCTGTCCATACATAGTAGTGATCCCATATTTCACAAGAGAAGACTCTCAGTGCACGCATCTGAAGTTGTCGAAACAGGAGCATCTCTAATCCCGAGATGCACAAATAGATATAGTATAAGTATCAGCTTTGCCAGTGCTAGTGGCTAGGCAATAGTACAGAAGCAAGTTGATAGTGACGAAAGAAATTTAGATGCCGCCCTCCTCCACAGGCTTGGACTAGACTCGAACAGTATCCTATCAGTGCAGTCTTTCGGCACCCCCAAGCCATAAACCACACAGGAAATGCACATAGAAGCCCTCACAAGATCGACTACCGCGCTCCTCGTCTTCATGATCAGCGCACTGAGAGCTCCCTCAAGGTGAGCTTTCCTCTAGCAGTCGCTAGGAGATTGTGCGAGTTGCTTCATCTCTTGTCAGCTTAACTTCATCGGGGAGATTATATCCTAGGAAGACTCACACATTGGAAGGACTTTGGACCTGCCTCCCAGCCATCACAGTACCACTGAGGGCTCTGGTTCAGAGAACCGCAATGCTCGTCAGTGTAGTAAGTACACGTGTAACAGAGCTGGGCGCCACTGATCTGTGTCTTTCCGTCAAGAGCAACAGAGTGCACCTCCCAGACATCGCTCGAACAAGCATTGGGACCGATAGTACCGCCATTGGAGTACTCGGTACAGGTCGAGCCCGATTGGCCGCCGAACTTTTGGCATCCGTCGAAGTCGCCTTCATAAATTCGGTAGTTAGTGTCGCCCTCTGCTTTGCAGTCGTCGACATTCTTGTAGGCCGCCACTATGGTAGTATTAGCAGGCAAGATTTATGTGTTGTTAAGGATATAGTAACGTACAGACATAGCCTTCAGAGAGGGCGGCTAGGCCGCTGATGACGGCAAGAGACAAGAGCATTGTGTCTTTCGATGCTTGTAGAGTATTCCGGAAGTCAGATAGGTTGGATGTTGGGTTGCTTGTTCTGAGTTACAAACAATAGTGATGCGCCAGCCCTTTATATAGATATCGTACTTCGCATATATGCAGTCCCTCATACTCAACCAGGTCTCGACTCCTCCCTTGTGCCGCCTGATTAATACACACGTATCATCTCAAAGCCAAGGTACTGAAGTAGCCAACTTTGGACAACATCAATGGTCCTCCGTAGCAGTGCATTCCGCTCATAGATCCTACAAACTCTAGAAATCCTTCGGCTTTACGGAACACAATACTTGTAAGGCCGACTGAATGGCGAACTCACCAATCCGGTATCCTTGAAGATAACTCAGTGGGCCGAGAGTTGCAGATCTTCCGCCAGGAAGGAAATTCAACATTTGCCGAGTTGTGGGAGGATTTGTGTGAGATCCTTCGAAAGTATAATCTGCCAGGGTTAGTTGCCTACGGCAGCGGGTCTCATCTGGATATCCGGCTGGTCTAGCGACCATATCTCAGCAGATGGATTAGTAGCACAAGGTCTGAATGATATGTATCAGAATACAGGGATCTCAAGTTGAGTCTGATCTCGCTTATATTCAGATTACTACTCCAACCAAGTTCAAGAGCCTTTAGATTGCCGGATCGCCAAATTCACGCAAATCGCTAAATAAGGAGAGCTTTCACACCGCTCCTTCTTTTTCTTTCCCAAATTAAGGTGCCTCGTGTAATCCCGGACGGCTCGTTGCATATTCTGAGGGATGAGTGGTAATGTCACTCGGAAGTTCAACCTTGGTTTCCAAGGGATAGAACTGATGCTGTTGATCCTGAGCCTCCTCTGTTCCCTTGATGTTCTTTCTGCCATTCCCAAATCGCCGCCAGACAAGCAATCCGATACCACCGAGAATCAAAAGACCACCAATGATGGCGCCAGCGGCTACACCTGCCGTTGCTCCTTGAGATAGTTCGGACCCTGATTTTGTAGATGAGATGGTTGAGGTGGTCGAGGTGGATCAAGTGTGCTCAGTATCCGTCTCTGACCCAGTCGTCAATGCCGATGCGTGCTGTCCAGAGGCTGAAGTTGCGAGTCCTGGTCCAGTGGCTGTGGCTGATATACTGGCAGACGTAGTCTCATCAGCCTGGGGTGAACTGACATTAAAGTAGTCCGATCGAGCGACTTGGCCTTGACTGGACTTAAAAAGTGTAAACCAGTAAACAGAATCCTCATTACCCTCTGCTAATCCGAGAAAGTCGTACTCAGCCAGCCAGTAAGTTGGATTTTCCGATCCATTTCCTAGTCACCTGAATTAGCAAAATGAGTGCAAAGATGAGAGACCTGTAGTGCCATACTAGCTAATGATCTGTAGGCGCTGACCCCGTTCAGAGGAATTTGATAGATTTCGATGGCAATTTGGTCGATGTCTGTTTCGTATTTGATCTGGATCTTGGCACCTTGCTCATAACGTTTGTTTTTGGTCATATCGGTATCTGAAGGCTGCTTGGAGCTCGATTCTGGAGGTTGGATGAATTTGGAGTCACAGCAGGCGAGGCTGGCAACTCCGACAACTATTAAAGCAAGAGATGTCACCACACGCATGGTGAATGGGTTAGGATTGTATATTGCCAGATAGGCTTGTCTACAGTGACAATAGATAGTAAAGGGATTAGAAATGCTCTGTTAATTTACAACAGCCAGCACTTGAGTTTTAACTCATTTACTAGACTGAACCCAGTGGGCTGTTAAATAGACTAAGGCTGAATTCCGGATACCGGCATTCTGTAATAAGCTTAGTTAAATAGTAGCAACCTTATAATCTAGTATTATTTATAGAGTAAAGAGGCTAAATTAAACTAATTTATTAAACTTAAAATAGTTTATATGTAATAAATAATAAATGTCTTAATAGTCTGTCTAGTAGTTCTTAAATACTTCTTTATAGAAATAATAAAGAAATTAAATTTCCTACTGCTACTCTCTTATCTTAAGATGCTAAAAGATGCCGGGCATCTGTACTAAAAATAGACTAATATTTATCTAACCAATCAGGCAACAAGCCATAGAATATTATTCTCAGCTAAAAAGACCATACCAGGATATGAAATAGGATCGTCCCGCTCATGTCTACATCTAGCAGGAGGCGAAAGACAAGCGGAAGAGAGCCGCTCGACGATCAATTACCCTAAGTTCTGAAGAGGGGCTTGGAGGTAAATGAGTCTATTAGGAGGAGAAACATATATACGGAGTACTTGTTGCTACGATTGGGAAAGGGAGCTTTAAAACACCTTGACCTGTAGCCTTCAAGGTCGTTGATAACATACTGATTACTGAGAAGGTTGTCGAACAAGCAGCTCGGCGGTTGCGTTTCTTGCCATGAAGCTTCCCTCATATCGCAATATGTCCAAGTTGACCCAAGGATCAGACATCGACTTCCTCAGGAAGTGAACACAACCCATTCCCGTCCAAACCTCATCGCACCTCATCCCCAGACCAACAGGAAGGAATTCTTGAACAGATGGGGGCTGACCAACGTGAGGCGATGGAATATTGCGGAAGTTGAGCATCCATCTATCTGGTGGAGGCGCGTCGGTGACCATTTTCTCAGGAACGAACTCAAACTCCACCATCTTTCTTCCAGCGGGCCTCTCCGTGCTGCCGGTGACAAGGCGTGTACCTGTGAACTCTTGAATAAAACTCTTTCCAAGTACCTTGGGAAAGCCAAGGAGCTCTCGACCAGCGAAAATGGCGGCGTCGTTATCAAGAATGAACAGAAGGTTATAGTGGAACTTTTTGCCCTTGTAGGTAACCTCTACTTGATGGGCATATTCAGTATAGGACCCAACAGGGCTCATTCCGTAGCTGAGGAAGAGAGAGGTCATAAGCGGCTCTTCCTCTAGTTCGAGAACATCTGGGACAAGATGGGCGACCTGAGATGCGGCAACGCGATATGAGATGCCGACTGCAGTAGTATTGGTAAAGATTCCTCTTGCTCTTGAGTATGCTGGCATAAATGTTGGCATTGATTCGCCATTCAAAGGCAATGTTCCCTGAGGCATGATTGCGGTGGGTTTGTGCAGTCTTAGAGGCGTTTGGAAATGTTAGTGTATATGCGTGAAGGTTTGTAAATAAAAGTACCCCAGTTCTCAGATTTGGACTATGAGGTTGACTTAAATAAACGGCTTGCTGTACTGGTATGTCTTGTCTTCTTCGGCAAACCTGCAGTCCTCGCGTTGATGCCGTTGCGTTGCCCGCACACCTCACCTTATTAACCTCGTGATTTGCTGACGTTGCCTGCAGAGGCTAAACGTTTGCAAGATAGGTTGATCGAGGAGCCCTCATGAGACTGACCAACCCATCATATGTCCGTAGTGTCTGGGGCATGTGTACCTCGGCTCGCGAAAGTCACACCACCACGATGAGCCCACTTGCTTCTTTGTCTGTCACGACCAACGAATACGCCAGATGGCCTAACCTAAATTACTTCACAGCAGTTATATTTACTGCCTGTGGCATACCCAAGTCACAAAATCGGCAACAAAAAGCTTGCCTGGAGTTCATTATCTAAGGTTGCAGGGTGATCGGATGGATGTATCATGGAGGGTCGCTCGTGATGGCCCCTCTTATCACGCTATGCATCTGTCTCCCGAGGGTTCCGATAAACGATTTCTTCCTGCTTCAATCAACGTGGTCCAACTTCGACTTGATACATGAAGCCTTTCTCAATTGACAAAAATGGCGCGGCCTCCTTTGAATATGACCTCACAGCACAGACGGCGGCAGAATGCTTTGTCGCAGCGAAACTATCGTATGTTATACATGCCAGTCTCGTGCACGCGGCTAACAGCCTGAACAACAGGCACGCGCCAAAGAAATAGGAGACTTATGCTGGAGAATCTAGCCATCTCTAGCATCATTTTTCCATCTACCATGGATGTCTCATGCATGCATGGCGTAGTAGCGGCGCAGCATAACTATCAAGACCGAGCGGTTGGACCAAGTCAGTTGGCAAAAACCATCTGTCCTAATGTCGTCGATGCAGAATGTCACAGCTTAAAAATCACAACGGCATTTAAGGCTTCTGACTTCTTCTCCTGCATCGACTCCTGCCCAGAACGAGAACGTCGTACTTTTTTCCTACTAATGACAAAAGAGCTCTTTGGTATCCGGAATATCATCAAATATGGCCTCATCTTCCTAGGATATCCCGTGAGCCCCTCACTTTACGACAACGCCATGCATCTTCCAATGAGCCAATGGATTCATGACATTCAACAAAGTCTAGGCAGCTTTGATCTCAGAGCCGCAACGAAGGCCGGTATTAGTGTCCTAGGAAAATTAAACATACCGTCGGGACATAATTCCAGGATTCACGAGATAGTGACACCCCCATTAAGTCACTTCCAGCCCAAAGACTACATTCTTCTCTGCCGAGTTTCGTTTGTGTCTGCTGTTTCCATGAATGCAAGACATCTGGGGATCCCATGGCACGACCTCATATCTTTTGAATCCAAATCGCCATTTCCTTGCCTAAGAGAGAAGCTCATACAACAAGAACTATTGGAAGATGGCGAAGACACTACGGAGCAGGCAGCTCAAATGCGTCTGATACTCAAAGATTACTTGAAGAACATACAATCAGATCTTGTGCCCACACAAGCACAGCTAACGATGGCTCATCACCCAACACTGGATCTCATTCCATGGCCAAACTTTCGCTCCAAAGCCATCACCGGAGTACATTCAACCCCACCGTTGATTGACAGAGAGGATTTCTGTCTTGACTTACTCAACGACGGTCTTCGATGCTGGGGCTTTGCAAACGGGACCTCTTTGCCCTCCGCGGCGCCCTGGGACGCTCAGAACTGGGAGGCAGCGCCGTGGTTTCTGGAGAAGTGGGAGCATCTCACTGACGGAAGAGACGGGGACGAATGGAAGATAAGTGAACGGTGGTGGTCTATGGGTGCTAGGTCGAGTGTATAATAGAGAGCGGGTACAAGCTTATTTTGACCTGTATTTGGAGAGAATCAGTAGATGAGAAACACATCATGACAATTTCTTTTTGGCGAGTACGACTATTTTGCTGATGCAAGTAAATCTTATCGAAGTGATCATGACACTGCTAAGATCTGCGATCAACGTTGCCTGCATTAGTGCCAAAGACATGTCACGACATATGCATATAACGTCATGCACAGCAGCCGAGGTATTGGAATTTGAGTAGTATTCATTACTGAAGCTCGGAAGACCTCAAGATATCGAAAGAGTTCTTCGGCCCGAATTCTTTACCCGTACAAGCTGTTGACTATTTGGGCCAAAGAAACGGCGCCATTGGCCAAGTTATTAGAATGCATCTTGACTATAGTGAATCAAACCAGTCTTTCAAGGCCGAGGTATATTTAAGCACGATATCCATCCAGCGTCCTTTTGCCGTGTTTGGAAAAAAACCACCACATATCTAATCACAACAAGCTCACATCCATCATGCAAGCATTCCAATACGGCGGCCCAGAATCTCCATTTGCGCCTCAAACACTTCTCATCCCTACGCCACAACAGGGCCAGGCCCTCGTCTCAGTCAAGGCAGCCGGCCTTTGTCATACTGACGCCCATTATGTTGATGGACACGGCATCTCTATGCTGGGATCTCTTCCAATTACTCTTGGGCACGAAGTAGCCGGAACTGTCGTCAAGCTCGGATCAGAGCCATCACCAGTTCAAATCGGCGATCGCGTGGTAGTCGCCCTAGTAGCTCATCCCGTTGAAAAGGCAACACGATCCACAACGATTGGGCTCGGCTACGATGGCGGCTATAGCGAGTTTGCCATAGCTCATTATGAACACCTGGTCAAGATTCCAGAGGGAGTATCCTTCCCCCAAGCAGCTGTTGCCACGGACTCTATCTCCACGGCATATCACGCTGTAGTTGTGACCGCTGGTGTCAAGGAGTCAACGACTGTCGCAATCATTGGAATCGGCGGCCTCGGCCTCAATGCAGTTGCGATATCTGTACTGCAGGGCGCCAAGGTCTATGGAATTGATATCAACGAGGATAAATATGACGATGCGAAAGGTTTGGGGGCGGTCGCGTGCGCCTCTAGTCTCGCCAATTTCTCCGATGTTTCATTCGACGCCGTTATCGACTTTGTTGGCACCACAGCAACAATTTCTGCGGGAATTGCCGCTGTCAAGAAGGGTGGCACTATTGCGATGGTTGGCCTGAATGGACAGGGTGTGGAGGTCTCATCACTGTTGTTGGTTACGAAGAGTGTTAGTTTGAGGGGCTCATTTGGCGCGTCGAAAGAGGAGTTGGTGGAGGTCTTGAAGTTAATTAGCTCTGGAAAGATCGTGCCGAAGTTGAAAGAGATTCCCTTTTGGGATGTACCAAAGGGTTTGGAGGATATAAAGAAGAACAAGGTTGAGGGCCGTTTGTTTGTCCGTCCGAGTCTGGAGTAGACGACCTTTGTAGTACAAATCTTCCTAGCTATATTTGATATTTCCAAAAATTGACTCTCTGCTCTATAAGAAGGTCAAGTCTTATGCTCGGACGGTCTATTCATGACTGCTATCTCTAGTCGGCCCCAAAACTTGGACACCAGACG